TAATTATTTGAAAAAGATATTAATGAAGCCAAGTAAAAGGAAGAGATAGAAAATCGTTCATAATTATACATCTCTTAATTAACTTAAGAATTGAATCAATTAAAATAGAAAGAAAATCTCATTAATTCAGAACGCATCAGTTATCAATAAACTATTAATAAATTATAGAATAAAATTAACTTATAATAAACAATATAAAAAAGTGCAGCAAATATGATAGGCAATCTACAAAGGGAAATAGACCAACTAAAGCATCAGCTATCCAAAAAGAATCAAAACAAACACTCTTCAATGAATAAGTCCGATGATGTGATTGAAGAATAAGATTTATCACTATCGCAAGTACTTAAGGAACTAAATCAACAGAATAAATTTGAATAAAATTAGGATGTTATTGTCAAAGATGTGATTGAAGTATTACCCTTAGTCTGTCATAGTGTTGGTGTTTAGACTTTCTAAAAATGTCTATGCGTTATCGAAACACAAACTGATCTACAATTAATATCTCCTTAATATGATAAGTTTTTGTCTACTTCTGAAATAGAAAACACCTTAAGAGAGTTTGAATTAAAATAACAACTAGAATAGCAAAGTTGGTTGGATGGTTTATGTGATCAAATGAATATGCATCTTGATGAACCATCAATTCAAGATTATGATACTAGAGGCATTACCAAAATTGATTTAATATATGAGGTACCAGAAAATGACGAAGGGTCACCTGATGTATTGAGTAGAAGGAAAAATGACTATATACAAGAAAGAAGACTTTAAATTGACAGATCTGAAACATCTGAAAAGTTGATTCGAGAATTAGACAAATACGGTTCAGATAGACTATTAAATATCAAATAGGTTTAAACAGGTTCTAACAATACTTAATAGAATTCGTAGTAATCTTCGTAAAAAATAATTAAATTATCGCCTTAAGCAGGTTCTTAAGTAAATTAAACTAGCGCTTGTAAAATTGATTCAGTTAAATAAACACAAAAATAACAAGGTCCCTAATAATAATAATAACAATAATAAGCATCAATTAGTTCTCAGAGATATTTTCCATCTAATGAAAATCTAGAAAAAAAGAATATAAATGTATAAGAGAAGTAAGCATAAAAGAAAAAGAAGATGAGCGTATCATAATAATATTAATAAACATAATAACAAACTTAATAATAATAATCCTAGTCATAATAATAATAATAATAATCATCCTTATATGCTATACAGTATGCTGATTAAACTGAAAAAGTTGAACCTTAGTAATAACCAAATTTATCAAAATAATAAACAACAATGTTGATGTTACTTTATTAGATACAAAAACAAAAAGCACAAAATGCCACAACTCGAATGAATGAAACAAATGAGTTATTAACTTAGATTTTACTCTTTGCAAGAAAATTGACTGTTCATATATTAAAAACTTAATTCAAAACACATACTTAGATAGCAGAAGAATTTTTATTTGAATTTGAATCTCTAAGGAAGAAGATATAGAATGACAAGGAAATTTTAGAAGAAGAATATGTTTTGGATGAAGAGAAAGAAAAAGAAGAGAAAAAGCAAGAGGCAATGAAGCGAAGAAAAGGAAAAATACAAAGAGCCCTACGACTTAATTTTGCGACCAGATAAATGAAATAAATACCGACAATTGATAGATTAACTCATCCTGGAGTGCTATTAGCAATAAAAGCCAGGGAATAATCTCATCTATTTAAAAAGGTTGTTGCATATTGGCCAGTTAAGAATGTCTTAAGAACTATTAGTCAAATTTATTTAGAAAAGGCATCCTTTGGAGGAGAAGCTGATATGCAAATCTTTGTCTTCAATTTCTTTCTAAATAAATATGGATTTAAGCATGTGGCAGAGAAGAAATATTTATAATTTTTATTATCCGTAATTCATTTTAGTCAAATCTTCAGAGTGAATTTATTTGCTAGATTACTGTGTCTTTTACATGATGAACATCTGAATTTCACTTAAGAAGAATCAGCTTTTCTGCTCTCAGGGTTGGAATATATTCATAGTCAAACAAGTCTAGGAGTTAATATAGTACAAGGAGATAGTGAGTCCAAGTTTCATGTGCCTTATTTGAGAGCACTAGAGTAAATATATATAATATAATTGTTTAGTTACATTAAAATGCATTTGGAAAATAAGTTGACTGAGGATGAAATTAAAGAACTGAGATAAGATTTAGATAATTTGAGGGAAAGTGATGCAAAAAATAAAGCTGGAGTAGTTGATATAGATTTATTTATGTCTAAAGTTCTCGATAAATATAGAAATGTAACTCATAGAACTAAGTTATTTGTGATTCATGCGTTTCAAGCTGCTGATTTGGATGGCAATAAAAAGATTAATCATAATGAATTTTTAACTTTGTTTAGACACATAGAAGATGGAAAATTTGATTTCTAAGAAGCACTTGATTTATTTGATGAACAAGCTGATATTATTCATTAGGGTGAAAAGAATTTATCTTTTAATCGTTTCACATCTGTTTGTGTCAATTAATAGATCTTTACTGAGACTTCTCTCAATGATTTCATTGGCAAAGAAGCAAATATGGAATAAATATTTGATGATGTAGTGAAAACTTGGAATTAATACAAGTTGGAGATTTAAGGATTGCTTACTCAATTATAACCATTTGTGACATAAGAAATATATCAAGAATGGGTTAATATATTATTCATACTAGAAAAAAGGATTCTTCAATAGAAAACAGATTATTAAAATGTCAGACCTATTTTAATAGCACACAAAATACTAAAATTAGAGTTAACAAGATTGCTGGATGAGGATGAATAAAATTAGAATAAAGATTGATTATATAATAGCAGTTTACTATTAAATTCAGAAATTGATCGTATAATATATCTAATTAAATTAACCTAAATTTGTAAAACTACAATTTATGGTCTTAAAATTCTTTTTTTTTCATTATTTTTTAGTTTTCTAGAAATTTATTGTTTTTGTAGATAGAAACAGAGTAAATAGACCTTCTAGATTTTTGAATCGATCTTAAGAAAATGAAATTTCTCCTTCTAAATTATGTTATACTTATTATTATATAATATTTAATCAAATAATAAGTCTCATAAAGAATATAAAATAAGAATATAGTTCTCTTTTATATTATTAATAACATTATTAATACATAATGTCTTGATGTGTTATAATATCATTACATACTCCAATAGATTCATAAGAATGCGATTTAGATACTAATAAATGTGATAAAAATCATTTTTAATTTTCATGTGTAAGCTCTCTTAATATTATACCACTAACTACATTTTTAAGACTTCCAAATTCTTTCAAAAAGCTTTCTTCATAACTGTTCAATTTATTTTAAAGGTATTGTTTTCCATCAAAATCCAAATCAATATTTTTATCAATTCTTAAATATTTATATCTTATGTTTTTATTATTCATTTCTGATATTATACTTTCTAATTCTTTTGATTGATTGTCCAGTTGTAATTGCTTATTTGCAATATGAATGACATATCTAAAAGATTTGTTATTACTCTCTCTTCTCCATTTAGTTGTTTAAGTAGCTACTTTAAGACCATAATACATTCCTTTCTATACTTCTACCTATCCCATCTGCTTAATCTCATCAAGATTTTATAAAATCTCGTCTTCATCACACAAATCAATGACCTAACATTATTGCAACTTTTAATTTGTAATGATATCATTAAAACTCACTATACTGAATTTTATGTTAGAACTGCATTTTTCTCTCTCTTTTATTTACTCTAATATAAATTCTATGGTGTTCTAAAGTCAAAGAATAATTTACTTTTATATATTCAACACTATTGCTATTCAGAAGGTCGGCACCAAAAAAAAATACAATGTCAACTGTCGCTTTCTATTATTTTTCTTATTGCTCTTTTTCCTCCTCCTCCTCTTGTCCTTTCTAATTTTTTTTGATTTCGATCTCTGGTGCAGTAACAATTATCTAAGGGATTACTTTTAAGTCAGATTCATTTTTTGGCTGATTATTTTTTACGTTATCTTAAGGATGCTTAATCTTCTATTCTTCATTATTATCTGTTTAATTTAATTGTTGTTCTTTATTCTTTTCTTTGTCTGATAATTCATTTTTATTTTTATCATCGTTATGTTCGTTCTCCTATTATTATATCAAATTATTAGGCTGATTCTCATTAGGTAAATCTTTTTCCTTACTATTTTTCTTATTAAGATTCTCTTGATTTGATTCTTGATCTTTACCATTTACATTTTTTAGATCCACATCGTTTTATTTGTTTTCTTCTTCAATGTTATTCCTATTTTAATCTGACTTTGATGGGTTTTCGCGATTTTCATCTTGTTTGTCTTAATTTGTATTTTAATTTTCTTATTTATCTTTTAGTTCATCAATTTTTGTACTATAACAATTAAGTTAAACATACTTGTGTTTGTCTTGCATTTTTTCGGCTTTAGTTCTTGTTTTTTGGCGTGAGGAGGATGGTTTTAGTTCTGGAGATAATTTATCTTATGAGTCATCTGAATGTATGGATTCTTTTTATTTAGTAGTTGAAGTCTTGATTTTTGAAGATTAATTAGATTTTTTTTATTTTGTTGACGTATTGACATAATCTGAATCTTCATCGGATTCATTTTTTTTGACTTTCTTACTTCGTGTGGCTCCTAATTTTTAATCAATGATCGGTTTGCTCTCTTTCATGACTTCTCTGATGGTTTAGGTTTTTCTTGGTGGCATTTGCAGATAAATTGTATTAAATTATTTAGTTTCTTCTTTCTAAACAGCTCTTTTTTATTTTGATTAAGCACACAAATATTTTGTCAATTGAATTATATTATTTAATAGGAAATTCTATTTTTAATTTAAGATGCAAATGCTAATCAAAAATTTATTAATATTTAATATGCCATACTTATCAAATATAACAAATTCAATAATGGATTGTTAAAAGGAGATAAAAATTATATATATATATTGAATTTATATATAAAAAATGAAAAATATTAGTAAAGTTCAAAGTTTAGAATAACTTAAGAAAAACAGTGTTAAGTCGTCCTCTCTTTAAAAACGATTTTCTTAACGAGTAATTACTCCTTAATAGTGGGTTTTAGGAAAGAGGGTGGAACAATAGGATAATTGCATGTGAATAAATTTTAGGAGTTGTACAGAGGGACAATTCAAATAAAAAGTTTTTGCCGTCAATAAATGGTGGAACAGCCTCGATTGTGCAGAAATACATTCAAATGCACAAGAATTAGTAAGATCTAGAAAACCTTATTGAGTGTGAACAAAAAATATTCACTACCAAATTGGAATAAGTGAGGCAAGTTCACAAATTGTATAATGTTCCGAAAATACATTAAGTATTTATGTAGATTTATAAGCAGAATGTATTTAATTAGGTATTGGCATCCTCAGATGACAAATTAGCAATATTGGAGGAGGAACTTAATTTGATGGATCAAAAGTTGTCTCCAATATTGCATTGCATGTTCACCATAACAGCCAGGGAGAATTGTTTAAATTAGATTTAGACTCTATTAAAGCAACCTTCCTTTAAGGATCAAGAAAAATTAAAAGAACTCATGAATGATTTCAGAATATTATCACTCAACACACTTGAGAGCATTGTGAAATGGCACTAATACATTGAACATAAAAATCTGAATGTCCCATTCTGTTTGGATGACAATACTGTTTACTCTTAGAAGTTCTATTCAGATTATGAAATGTTGAGGCCCCAATTATTTAAATTCTTTGACGTTTCAGAGTCTCATGATCCATTCTTTATCAAATTGTTAGGAAACAATCAACATAAATTGAATGCAAGAGTGAGAAGAGCAGAAGTTGAATTATTGAATTTGATTTTTAACAATAATTATTTAAAATGAGAAAACAAGCAGAATTTGAACTCTATAAGCGTCTCAAATTACTCGGAGAGGGTTCTTTTGGAAAGGCTTATTTAGTTGAATTTCTTCAAGACAAGTAGAAAAGATACTTAAGAATTTTAGGTCACTGTGGGTGACTAAATATATGGATTTGGCAGCCATGTCAACCTAAGAGAGAGAAGAAACCTTGAGAGAAGCTAAAATACTTGAATTCCTACAGCATCCAAATATCGTGAGATTTAAAGAAGTCTATAGAACAAAAAAAGGTCGTTTGTGTATCGTTATGGAGTATGCAGATGGTAAATTTAAGAATTTAAAACAGGGGGCGATTTGGCTTAGAAAGTTAAAGAAGCCAGAGGGAAATACTTACCTGAAGCCCAAATTTTAGATTGGTTTACTTAGATTTGCTTGGCCATCAAACATGTCCACGATAGGAAGATCATCCACAGAGATTTAAAATGCTAAAACATTTTCTTAACAAAAGCAGGATAAGTTAAACTAGGAGATTTTGGTATTGCAAGAATTCTAAAGAAAACTTTTGAAAAAGCAAAAACCATGGTGGGGACTCCCTATTACATTAGTCCTGAAATCATTGAAGGGAAACCCTACACATTTATGACTGACATCTGGTCATTGGGTGTAATCCTCTATGAACTATGTGCCTTGCAACCTCCTTTCTAAGCAGAATCTCTTCATTTTCTCGCTTTGAATATTGTCAAGGGTTAATATAAACCAATTCCCAATCATTATTCTAAAGAATTACGATAATTGGTTGCTACATTACTTCAAGTTGATTATAGGAGGAGACCCACAATCCAAGATATTCTCAGTAACTATTAATCTAATTACTAGAAATGCCCGTAATAATAAATAGAATTAAAAGCTTTCTAAGTGAAACTATTCAAAGATAAGAGTTCTCTCATACGGTTCTCCATAACAGAGTAATTGCATATTATTATATCCTAGAATTTTGAAATCAAAGGAAATTTAGATCAAATCAATCTCATTTTAAATGAAAAACCTTGCCCACATTAACTCCTGGAACAGAACTAAAAAAACCTCTAAGAATTCCCAGAAATTGTAAAGAAACCCTAACCTTAAATATAAGACCCAAATGCCATTATAAAACCTCCCTAATTATCAAAGTAACCTTCTTCGAGACAATAAGAACCTCCATCATCCAGATAAAATTAATAATAAGAAGTTCCTAAAATTACTGAATTACCTAAGCCCGTTTCTTGGGAGGTCCCTAAATAAATAGAGATTCCAAAGTAGATAGAGATCCCAAAAAAATTAGAGCCAATTATTAAAAATTCTCCAATCATTTAAAAAAAGGACTCATAAAAAGAAATAATAACAGAAGAAAAAAAACAATCTCCATTATTATAATAACAGGCTAGACCCAAAAGTGACTAGGATAAAGCATAATAAAAAAGTGAACCCAATAGATTTGATGGCTAATAACAGAAGAAGCATTCAAATAGTGAACAAGCCTTGAATGAATAAAAAGTTGAATAATTTATTTCACCCAAAGTTCCCTAAAAACCAGTAGAATAACCAAGGTACAACAGATTAATTTATAAAGGCCTCCGACTGCTCCAAAAGATAAAATTCCACCACCTAATAGTCAAAGACCTTAAAGTTCAAGATAATAAGTAGTTGATTAAAAAAAACCTCAAAAAATAATTATAGAGAAAAAAAGACCAACCAGTGTTGATAAAACTCCTGCTGTTAAATATTAGGATGAATAAGGTTAAGGATATAATAACCAGTATCGTCAAGAAGAAAGGATCAGATAATTAAAAATGAAACAATAATAATAGGGAAAAATGGATGTGGAAAAAAAAGAAAAAGAAAAAGAGAAAGAAAGAGAAAAAGAAAGAGAAAGAGAAAAGGAAAAAGAAAGAGAAAGAGAAAGAGAAAGAGAAAGAGAAAGAGAAAGAGAAAAGGAAAAAGAAAGAGAGTTGATTGAAAAATAAAAGAAGCTTGAAAAATAATAACTCTTAGAAAAATAGCGAATCAATAAAGATAAGGCATTAGAAAATAATTAATATTAAAATTAATACTAAGTTGAAACAAAACCACAAGAAAAATCTCCTTAATTTGGAGGTAAATAATAAAGAGATTCAAGAGTATAAATTAAACCGAAAAATGATTTATTACAATGTGTGTAACAGAAAAATAAAGATTTAGATCTTATGCTTTAAGAATTATAAGGATTAGTAATTATAATATTTTATAATTATTTAGATCGGAGGGGATAATAATTAAAATGAGAAGATACCCCATTAAAATGGAAAAGAAAATGTTTATGATTACAATGCCCTACCAGTGACTTAAATTGAAGACAGAGAAGATGATGAGGATGAATCTTGTGATAAAAATGTTAATAAGTAAAAATAGGTTGTCAAACCTATCTCTGAGGTAGAAGAAGAATGTTTTGAATTGCTGAATAAACAAGATTAAAGTAAATGTAACACAATTCTGATCAAAATTGAAAAATTCTTAGGTTAAGAGAAAATGAAAAAGACAATTGAAATTTTGCGTAAGGCTGTAAGATATTTTATATACTCTATGTTAGTTAGATAAAATGAGCCTTGATTTGATTGAATAAAACTATGGTCCTAATTATGAAAAACTATTGCCATTTTTGACATTGGAAGAAAGGAAGAAGTGTACACCACTCCTTATAACTTACATAATCGCTGATTGATGAATTAAATGATTAGTTATTCAAATTCTTCTTTTAAATTTTAAATATTCGTTATACTATATATATATATATATAATTTGGCAATATATTTATAAAAAAATTCGAGCTTGGCAGTACTCGAAACTGCAACCGCCTGATCCGTAGTCAGGCGCACTACCAATTGTGCTACAAGCCCATGTTATATTATTATTAGTTGATTGAAATATAAACTATAACACTAATACTAATAAAGTATCTTTTTAAATTCCAAATTTTAGTATAGTTTCAAAAATCAATAAAATTTAAATACTAATACACTTGCATTTATTATGAACCTTTGGGATACTTTTCGTCTAGGACATCAAAAATTCTATAATCAGACTTGACTAGGGAATACTTTAAGCAAATTAATACTTTTATATTCTACTTAAGGTTCTAATTTTGGTGGTCCTTCTTCCTAATATTCAATTTAGACTGCTAAGTTCAACTCCTTCTGAACCTATAAAACTTCTGTAAAGAATTCGGTGACATCATTAATCAACATTGCTTCTACTTTGATAGCAGCCAAAAAAGCCAAGTGATTTGAGATATTATTGATCTTCTTATGCACTCGTAATAACAGAGCTGCAGTAATGGAAATAATGATATTTCCTCTTTCTGATGTGGCTTTTATTGATTGCTATTACTAATAAATGATGAGATCCCAGGCTCTATACAGAGTTTCTGATGGGAGGACATCAGAGAACAGATTGAAGAACAATTCAAACAATTCGTTCTCCACTTCAATCCCATATAAGAACATTTTGTGAAATAGATCTGGATGCTTTTTGTTGAGATACACTCTTAACTTAGCACATTGTTCAAGGAATAATCGATTTTATAAGGTTTAGTCTTCATATAATGGATAATCAGCCAGAACCTAATTGTGAAAGCCAACTAATAGCCAGAAAGCTCTGCTTTCGTTGATTAAATCAGAAGGAGTCTATTTAGTTTCATTAGCAAATTCAGTGTAATCATTGTACCTGACATGATAGTAGATTTACATGACCAGCATCTTTTTGGCAAAGGTGAATAGATGATGAATATACATATGGTTTGGGATCAATCCTTAATTACCTTGATACAACAAGAAGCAAATCAAAAGATTCTTTAATTGATAATAAAATTGCTCATTGCCAAATCCTTTTCGACTGTCTTCCTGTCTCAAATAGAGGTCAATCTATTAAAGAAGTGTTTTTTTTAAATGTTATTTAAGTTGGGATAATTTGAAATAGAGAGACACACTTTCATTCATACCATCCTCTCTATCAAGACTTACTTTGTAGTTTTAACTCAAAATTGTCTTCATGGGCTCAAAGGATATTTATAATAATTGAAACCATAATTTGTTTCTTAGATAATAGGGAATCCCCATTAAAAAGAGTCCATTAACTAATTCTTATACTTGGGGATTTTTGATATTGTAGAAATTCATAGATTCTAAGCGGTATGAGACCAGTTCGTATTGCTTGATCTATTATTCCATTAATCCAAAATTGTGACACAAATTCAAAATAACCTTCCTAATAAAGACCATTTATAATTGATGCATTTGTTTATTCAGAGTTTCTGGGTTCTTTTATTATAAGAACAGGATGTAGCTTAACATCTACATGCTTTATTTCATGCAAATGTTGCTTTCTTCTAAGGTGATGAGAATGAATTTCATGATATCCTTATTCATTTTGGGAATTTGTATCGTGCTCAAATAAATGGGATCAGAAAAAGCAAGACTATGTTCAACTATATATTCTAGTTCCTCCTCGTAGGATTAGGGATTATGCATCATAATTGATGGTTTAACATGAATATCAATTTCCACATAAATGATGCCCTCCTTGGATTCAGTTTTCAATGAATTGGTTTACACTAATTTTAAGGGTATCCACATGGATCTTCCTTGCTAAGATTGTTGAAGTAATTCTTTGACAATAATTTTGAAAGGGATAGTTGCCGTGTCATAGAAAGCATTGACCATATCCTTAAATTAGATTTAAAAGACATCTTGATTATTGATATTTGAAATAATGAAAGAGCATGGTTTCCTCTCCTATTATTTGGACATAATTTTATTCTCAAAGTTTTATTCCCTCAAGAGCCAATTATAAAAATGATCTGTTTTTTGTTATCCTAAATAGGCTTCCATAGTTAATTTTGAATCCTATTCCACTGATTATAATTCAACAAATATGGTTGGTTTAATTAAATTAATATCAACAGCAATATTAATTGATTTGATGAGTATGGTGAAGACCAATTCCCTAACTTTTTTAGTGTTTTGTATTTCTTCACTTTTTTCTAGCCAGTCTGCCATCATTGGTCTTAGCCATTCAGCCAATTCAACATTGAGTACAGATTTGGATCCCAAAAATTAACGCCAATTCATTTTTTTATTTTCATCTTCTTATCTTATTTATTCTAATTTCTTCCTCTCTTCATCAGCCAATTGATTCATTCTCTCTTCTCTTTTGAAGAATTAAACACTCTTGTTTAACCACTTCTTCTATAATATATTCCTTATAATTTTGATATCAATCTCCATCAAGAATTTGGCTTCTTCTTTGCCTAACTTAGCAGCCTTCTTCCTTTGTTAAATGACATGAATTGAGTAGGTCTCTAATCTTTGAGCAAACAGTAGTAAATAATTCTCTTTTACAAGTGACATTGATTCTTGAATAATAGTGGGTAATTTTTGTATCTTATTCATAGCCATGTGGCACTTGAAGTAATCATAGAATTTTTGACATTCCTCGTCATCCTTAAAATAGATCCACACAGGACCGTGTTTTACAAAATTGAATAAGAGTCTTACGGGAAACTTTTGATAACTGACATCCCATTTGAAATCCTTAGTGGCATCTTCAACATGTTAGATATGGAATGTTTTAATGACACCAAAGGTCTTTATAATGACATTGCCTTTCTTAGATTATCCAAGGGTGGTTTTTTATAATTGACATTATCTTTGAGTCACCGATCCAAAGATGCCACCTTTCTTGTAACATGGATAATCAAGAAGTTATTCATCGAGTGAGAGAACATGTTGAGTAGCTTGATGTGGAGGCAAATCTTCTGGATTTTCATCAATATACTTTTGAAGTTGCTCTGTAATCTTCTGACGAGCATTTCCAGCTTATATTGATCTTTCTTCATGCAATTTTATTACTTCGAAAGCACCGACTATATTTTCTATATACTTATCTTCTTAATACAACCAATTTTTGGTGATTTCTTTCTTATAACAATTCATTTAATTATATATTATGCAAGTGTCCAAAAAAGGTCAATAGTAATCATTTGCAGAATATGTTAAATAAATAACTAGTTAATCCGTTAATAGATTGTAGCAAACATCGACAAAACAATTTCGATCAACCAATCTTCCTCAACTGTTGAGCGACATGGATCAATCACCTTACATGATGACCACTTTGGACCAGGCTAAATTCCCTAAGGTGGTCAAGGTGGGCAAGACTTCCTATTTGAATTACAGTTCGAGTGAATAGAAAAATTTTGAAGAGTTGGCATCCAAATTCGTTAGGCAGTTAGAATAACACACAATAAGAATCGACAAGGAGACGTCAAGAATCAATTTAATGCGCTTTTAGATAAACATTTAGAAGTCGAGGAGGCATCTGTAAAGAAGGAGTCCAATGCCATGCTGATTTGATATGATACTTTATTAGTCACTAATATAAACATTTTATCAGAGAATTGTAATCTTTTTTGAAGGCTCAACGTCGAAATGACTAGCCAAGTGAGATTTCATCATAAATATATTTATTTTAATTAAATTATTTAAAATAATAAACACCGGTATGACAGATTTCGCATTGACAACTTTCAGTAGTAAAGGAAAACTATTATAAATTGAATATGCTCTCAATGCTGTGGCAAAGGGAGACACAGCCATAGGAATCAAAGCGAAAAATGGTGTTGTTCTGGTGGTTGAGAAGAAGCAATCATCAATTTTGGTTGAAGAATCCAGTGTTCAAAAGGTTTCACTATTGACAGATAATATTGCAGCCACCTATGCAGGATTGGGTCCAGATTTTAGAGTCCTGTCATAACAAGCAAGGAAATTGGTGAAAAAGTATGATCTCAAATACCAGGAGGAAATATTCGTATAGACATTGAGCAGAGAATTAGCAGAAGTATATTAAGCATTCTAAATTAGGATGTGCAAGTGGCAACCCAAAGAGGAGGTATTAGACCATTTGGAGTCTCAATTCTCATCGCAGGGTATGACGAGGAGGGTCCTCATCTTGTTTAACTTGATCCAAGTGGAGCCTATTATAGTTGGAAGGCCACTGCCATTGGAAAGCAAGCTAAGAATGCCAAGGCATTTTTGGAGAAGAGATACAATGCAGATATGGAGATTGAGGATGCCATAAACACAGCGTTGTTGACTTTGAAAGAGGGATTTGAAGGTATAAATCACATATTAACTTGAATAGGTTAGATCACCCCTACAAATATAGAGGTGGGAGTGATAAGAGATGACCATGTGTTTAGGATATTGCCTCCCTCGTAGGTAAAGGATTATTTGGAAGAGTTAGAATGAAAATATATATAATTATTAATATGAATTTTCAAGAATAACTTTAGTAAATTATATAGGGAATATTCTCTCAAAATAATTAGAGTAGAAAATAAGGGGAAGATCGATTGGCTTAACTAAGAGAGGCTTAACCAAATGAATTTGTAATGCAAATGCTCAATCTTTGTAGACACGAGGAATTAAAAATCAGGCAATTTGCTCCGGTTTACTTGCGATATAGTTTGTCGAAGTTTGCTCCAAAGAGTCACAAGAATGTTTGGAATTAATTGATATCAGAAACTAAAGAAACTGTAAAGTTGCATCTATTCTAATTTATTGAAGTGGAAATGAGTCATATAGTCAGAAACTAATTGTGTGATACAATCGGTGAAATAGGGGGATCCTTGTACGAGGACGACATCCATAACGAATGGCACAATTTACTACCGACTTTGTGGCAGATGTTTTTGTCACCAAATAATGATATAATAGAGTGCGGATTCAAAATCCTTGGGAATCTCTTTATGTATTCAATTGATCAATTCGATAAACATCAACAAGATCTACATACGTTGTTTGTGTAAGGATTAGCTAGTCCGCAGATTAAAATTAAATCGTCTACCATGCATGCTCTGGGTAATTATGTTAAATATGCTTTGCCTGCTCAATATAAGATCTTTTAGGACTTGATATCAAATATGATGAAGTCTGCACTCGATATCACGATATAAGATCAATCTTTAGGAGAAGGAATCATGGAAGTGTTCTCAAACATTGTGGATTCTAAACCCAAGTTCTTAAGAAAGCAGTTTAATATTTTCTTTAATGGAATATATTGCATGTTCAGGGAATCCCAAATAGAGAATGGAGTTAAACGTATAGGAACTGAAACCTTATTGAGTATGGTTGAGAAGTTTCCAGGGTTGTTTAAATTTGAAAAGATCTATCTAATGTAAGTAATTGAGATGATATTCTATCATATGATATAAATAAGTTCCACAATTACCGATGAATGGATGAAGCCTCCAGAAGGATTCAACGATGATATAGAGTAGGATGAAGACTGTGAGACGACAAGATTTGGAATGTCTAGTATAGACAGACTAATAGAATCATTAGGTAGAAAGGAAATGTTACCTCTATTAAATCCAATTGTAAGTGAGTTGTTAAGACATTAAGATTGGAGATGTAAACATGCTGCCATAATGGCTTTATCTCAAGTAGGCGAATATATAGATTAAGTTACTGATATCAGATCAACAATAGAATTGATATTGCCAATGTTGAATGATAGTAATTCTATGATTAGATACGCTGTATGTCATGCAATTGGTTAGATTGCTGATGATATGAAACCGAAGTTCCAAGAATCTTATTTGCACATTGTAGTGCCATAATTCCTGAATCGCTTAACTGTTGAAGATGTGCCAAGAGTAAATTCGCATATTTTGGCTGCTCTAACCAATTTTGTGGAGGGCACTGAAAAAGGCATTGAGGCCTACTTACCTAATTTAATTCAGTTGTCGATTAAATTTTTGAACATAGGCATTTCTATTGAGAAAGAAAATGCCATTAGTGTTATTGCAGCCACAGCAGAATCAAGTAAATTGTTCTTTATTCCTTATGTGAATGAATTATTACCATTGTTATTCTAAATATTTTCAACTCATCAAACAAAACAGTATAGATAGTTGAAAGGTCAAGCCATTGAAACAATCACCCTAATAGCTTCGGCAGTTGGAGAGTAAGTCTTTCTACCTTTCTTATAATAGACAGTTTAGATTCTAATTCAAGTATAAACTAGTAATTTGGAAGCTATCGACCCGTAAAAGTCGTATGTACTTTCAGGATGGCAGAGGTTGGCTTTGGTTTGCCCTTTGCAATTAGCCAAATATCTGGGTTAAATTGTGCCTTCCTTATTCAAATTAATCTAATAGGTGTTTAACATCAACACTTCAGAATCAAACAAAGAGAAAGAATTGCATACGTATGATAATGAGGAAGCCGAGGTTGCAATTCATATGTTATCTGTATTTATTGAGGAACTCAAGCAGTCATTCTTCCCTTTTGTGGAGAAGTGCATAGAATTGATTGTGCCTTTGTCGCAATTCAATTCTGATGAAACCATTAGAAGTGCTGCTTGCAAGTGTTTAGTCAGTTTGGTCAAGGTTGTAAAGGAAACCAACAACTCATAATAATTGATAAATGGGGCTAAGTATTTTCTTGGAATAATTTTGGAAGCAGCTTTTAAAGAATGTGATCCCTCTGTGATTATTGAATAGGTTGATTGTATCAAACAAATCATTGATATTGTATCCTCCCCATTTATGACAACAGATGAAGTCTCAGAGCTGTGTGATAAATTATTTAAATTATTGTTAGAATCAGATAAACGAAGGGCTTAGAATGAGAATTTGGCTAAGGAAGATGATGTGGATGAGGATGAAAAGAACGCTATAAAGGAGTAAACTGAAACCGAAGAGAATCTACATGGAAAGATCGCAGAATGTATTGGTTCATTATTTGAAACTCATAAAGAGTTGGTCTTGCCTCTCTCCGAAGTTATTTGCAATAAAATATTACAAAAAGTCCTTGATTAGCCCAAAATTGTGAAGATGCATCAATTTGGACTATCACTTTTAGATTACATAGTAGAGTATTTTGGATTTCCTTATATCCAAAAACACTTCATTGATTTTACTTAAGTGTTAACTCTCTATGCAGTCGATCCGATATGCTCAGTCAGATAGGCAGCTGTATATGGAATAGGTGTAATGGCTACAAACATTCCTTAGGAGTTGTACTTATAAGTCTCGCAATCTCTAATAAAAGCAGTGGTCGATTCGTTGAAAGCACAAAAAAATGAGGATGAAAATGAAAAGTAATTTGGATTAGCAAGAGACCATTCAATCTCTGCTTTAGGTAAAATCCTTAAATCTCAACCCCAATCATTGGGATAAGATTTAATTTAATGCATTGAAACTTGGCTACATCTATTGCCTTTGCAATACGATAGAAGATAGGCATACATCTAACATAATCTATTGGCTGAATTCATAATATAAAATGGAGAATAATTCGTTAATGGTAAATCTGAAAATGCATTTCAAGTATTTTTTATTCCTATATCCTTTAGATTCTCAAAGTACTTGCTAATTGTTATAAGTCAAAGTGGTCTACAATTTCATTAGATTCATAGATAGTTAATGCTCTTAGGATCTTTGAAAAGTTAGACTCAGTGAAAGTCTTTCTGCAATAAATATTTTTAAAATTGAGTCCTGAAGATCAGAAGAAATTATTAGAAATACCTAAATGATGAATAGCTTTTTTTGTGTATTTGTTAATATTAATAATATTTATATTAAATGAGTTCATTTCTTCCCTCCCTCATCTGGTAACTCAGCCTACCAATTAGTAAGATTATCATTTATCAATTACAGTATTGTGGTCACATCCTTGTACTAGTCTTCCTCCATGTCATCCAACTCTTTAATTGCCTTACATATAATTTATGAATGAGTACATCATCTTTTACAGTTTTAGCTAATTCACATGCTTTGGCTACATCACTCATGATTTCGTAACAAAAGACAGAATAGTTGAGAGTAACTCCCAATCTTAATAGATTGGTTTTTGGAAACTTGTCCTTGTCGATCAATTCTAATGCTGTTTGATAGGCTTACTGAGCCTGTTATATTGCCTTCTCCTAAGCTTTTTATTATGAATATTCTGCAATGTATCGATTGTAATCTCCTTTCATTTTGTGATAAAATACTCTCGCCTCAGTGTTCGTTGTCTTTTTCAATAGAGTGTGATCTATCAACTACAAAACCTCATTGCAATAATAATCTAATTCCTTCTCCACTCTTGCCTTGTAATATTGGAGCACCTCCTGATATTTCACTATCTATCACTTATCCAGTTTATTGTTACCTTCTATTTCTCCTTAATTTCATAGGCAGTAATGGCTCTCCAAGCAGTTCTCCGCTGTCCCACTGTATTCTTGTATGCTATTGAGAGTAGATTTCTCTCCTCATTATTCAAATCTTTAGTGATCTCTGCTACCTTCTTCATATTCTCTACCTACTCTTGAAATGCGTAATTACCATGTCTTCCCATCTCTCAGTCTGTTCTGCCAATCTAGCCATGTATGTGTGTTCATCTCTCTTATCCGACATTATAAATTATTTAGATATATTATTTAATTTCTGAGTCTGTAGGAGATGGAAAAGAACATTAATTCCAAATTTAATTAAAATGCTTTAATAAGGACCCCATAATAATTCTCAACAATCATTTCACTTTTTCTTTGCCAAACTGCTTGGGAAACGAAGTTCTATTGGGATAATAAGAATGTTGTACAATTCACTGCTGCTTGTTTAACTAAATTTTATTGTAAAGGCTGAGGCTTTTGAATTTGTTACTTAGATTAGGAAGTTGGTCTTTATTTACTTTGGATCTAAGAATGAGTATGGATATTACTTTTGGTAAAGTGGGTACTCCATTGGAAATGGATGATTTAGGTTTAACTTATTAGACAACTCTTTTTGTGCTCTACAATATTGGTTATTACTATTATTATTATTATTATTATTATTATTGTATTTGTTTTTTCTCAAAAATCTTTTTGTCCATGCTTAAACTGATATCACCTTCATTAGTGTCTTCTTAAACAAAGTTCTTGTCCTCATCTGTATTGTCTCCCTCATCAAATCCCTCAGGCACTTCCTCATCCTCATAAACCCATTCGTACTCTGAGTCTTCCTCTTGCTCTATCTGATCGCCTTCCTCATATTCTTCATATTCTTCCTCTTCTTCTGCTTCTTCCTCTCCATTCTCAAGTTCATCTTCTTCAGCTTCTTCGTCGTCACATTCAAATTCCTCTTCATCATCCTCTTCCTCCTCAAAATCAAACAATCCATCGACATAAAATTTATGTGTATGTCTTACGATATCCCATATTTGATTGTAAAAATAACATAAACCGATTCACGCTCCTATCAGATGGATTGATCTTCAGAACTACAGTGACAAATGCATTTACTTTCTTTGCCAATCGAATAGGCTTCTTCGTACTTGTGTTATTGCACTGCCAACAAGAACTTAAAACTCATGGATTTATCCTCCATCATCTCCTAGATAGTGTTATCCATTTTTTTAATTTATATATATAATATTTAAATTTTGCTTCTCACATAACTTTCTATAGAAAAGTCCAAATTTTATTTGATAATTGCACATCTGGATGATATAGAGCCAAGACAAACAAGAGACACATGGTGTCTAAACAGGGGATGAAAGAAAAGATCCACATAATCCAGCCTTGGAAGGTCAAGTAGGTCGAAAATATGATGAAATAAGGAAGGCACGTGTAAATCTCACCTAATATCAGTTTGATCACATTCTACCAGTGGTTTGGTATTTATTGATTGCTTAAAAGGAGGGAATCAGGGCTCCAACCAAGCCAGTCACAACTCTTGATGCGATGCCCATAAAAGTGCACAGGATTGAGATGATTAGTATTCCAAAGACGACTTGAGATAACTTGAGTTTGGGCTACAGATTGAGAGGATGTGTGTTACGTTTGGGAAATATTTCTTTAGTGGTTCATATTCGTCCAATTCTAATATGCGCAACTTGGCGATGATGGGCTCCATTTATTGCATTAATATTTATATTAATTTATAGTATAATTTGTAAATTTCGTGGATAATGAGGGGGAGACACAAGAAGGAAATTAAATTTGATCTGGTTACTGCGATGTTGCAACTCGAGAGATTTCCACTTATCTTCTTGGCATTAATAATTCAATAGACCATTAATATTTGCCTTTTGGGTAGTTATTATTAAATTTACTTATAAAACATAATAATGAATCGCACCTCAGTTAAAAATTAAAATGAAACAATGTTCTTTCTATCAATGATCAATTTGATTTTTGGGATTATAAAGTTGGAGATGTTCACGATCATATCGAATTCCATACTTTTTGGTTTGATGTTCTGTAAGTAAACTTAATATGGCAAGGTTATTTGGGGTTCAAGTACAAGAGCCACAGAAAGCATCCCATTTTTGAACAGGTCATTCTCATTTATTATTGCTGTTATCAATTGGTTTTGAGAGGAGTGCCAGCAATCTGGTTTAACATCTTCTCAATCGCCTTGGACCAACATCTGGGCCTATTTGTAACTCTCGTACTCATAATCTCATTCACATGTGCCCAAGTGCAACCCATGGTGGAGATTAGTACACTCTAAGCAGTTTTAGAATAGTTGATTCTGATTGTCCTGTTCCTATACAATAGGTACAACTTCACGAGTCTCAAACAGCAAACTCAGAACAGAATACTCAAGCAGATAATGAAAAATGTCAGGTATTACGCATTTGATTAGTACCAAAATGAAATTGATGGAGATTAGTTATTATAGTCAGAACAGATCTTAAATTCGAATGCCACCTTGTTTTCTTGTCGTTCTGAAAATCAGAAATTACAATAGCAAATAAGGAAGGATCTTAAAATCAAATGTTACACCATATTACAAATAGACATCGTCCAAGAATCCCAGATTCTATCATCCAAACCTTCTGTTTTTGAAACATTGGCAGGATTTCTGGAATTCTATTAAAAGGAGAAGCATAAAATGAAAAATTAGGTTATCTTGGCATCGGAATTCGATGAAGTAACAGGACTAAAACAGTCATATCGATTATACATTGAATAATTTAAATAGCTTAAAAGACTCTACACTTTGGTTGCACTGGTTAATTTGGATGATAAAATACCTTCAAAGCAAAACAAGAACATAGACAAGTTCAAGATGAGTTTGTCCAAGATATTCACTCACAAATTGAAAACTCCCTTGAACACCACTCTTGGGTTCTTGTAGGCCATCGTTCAAGAGAACAACACCATCGATGAATAAGTGAAGAATAGTTTTCTGAAGCCTGCCTTCATCAATTCCAAAATACAATACTATTATGTTTAGGACATCTTAGATTACGTGAACTCGGCCAAGTTGGTTACGTACAAAGTGAGTAAGGTTAATTTGCATAAGACTTTGCAATTGATCTATGATATGATTGAATTGTAATGTAGAGCCAAATAGATCAAAATCATCTTCACCATCAATTCCAAGCCCTTTGATGCCAATGAAAAGTACTCAATTCACTCATATCTTAGACCCATTTATTTGAATACCGATTCATTAAAATTGGAGCGGATCCTTTTCAATCTGTTGAACAAATCCTACAGACACACACAAATAATGGGCAAAATCCAATTGAATGTGGATGTGTTGTCTGAAGACAATCAAATTTCATTTAAAATCAATGATAATGTCTAAGGATTCAATTCAGAACAATTTGAATAAATCAACAATTTTGCTAGATTGCAAAATAAATGCATTCATGGATTCCGCAATTCAATTATGAAAAGATAGACCTTTAAATTTAGTCTCACTCTCTAAATCACAAATAGGTTAATTTATTTTCTGAGTGACTTTCAGTGTTCCTTACAAATAAATCACGATTTAGAAGAAGGAGCTATTTATCAATTCTTCATCAGTCTCAACTGCCAATAAGTAAATTTCCACCACTCTTTCGAGATTAGTTAAAAAAGGAGTTCAGGTTCACTTAAATAACATCTACCTAATCATATTTCGCTATTTACAAAAAGTTAAAATTAAATATCGTATTAATTGATATTATTTTATAAGTAGGGATAAGGTTCTGGAGGAATATGAGATTGAAGATGAACCTCTTGCTAATAAGCCTCTCTAATTAAGTACACAAATGGCTTAGAACTCTCCTCAAAGTGCTTTATTTTAAAGTCATCCAATCTAGTAAAGCGTCTTTCCCCTCAAAAAGTCGGTGTTTCAAAAGGAAATCAACGACAAATCCCTCACCATTTCAGTGGCTTTCGACCATTCCTTCAATGTGAAACGTGTGGCAGATTCCATAGACATTAGACAAGACATGAATCAAACCATAATGTTGGTTGATGACGAGCCATTCAATCATGACACCCTTAAATTGATGCTCAAGAGTTTAGGATTCAAAAATTTCATCAGTGCCTACCATGGTTAATAGTGTATAGAGTTGGTGAAAAAACACCACAGGTCTATCAAAATTATATTCATGGATTTGGACATGCCGATAATGGGGGGAGTGAGAGTAAATAATGCATCCTCAATCTAGGCTACCTAAATTCTTATCCAATAAATGCAGGATGGGGAGATCGATTACATCCCAATTGTTGCCTGTACTGCCCATGATGACAAGGATACCCAATAGGAATGTTTTATGGCTGGCATGATTTGCATAATTGCTAAACCTGTTTTTATTAGAAGTCTGCAAGAAACATTCTTGAGAATTAATGAGATCAAAGTTAAATCTTAAAACCTTATCTTTGGATCCAAAGGGATCACTTCAAGTATTAAATGATAAAATTATGATTCTCGTATTATATTTTGAATATATATATTTTCAGTATGACAAATAATAATAATTAATTTATCATTAACTATAAAGTAAGCAGATTTTTTAATTATTCAATAACATCAAAACTGTAAAGCTAAAATCAAAAAAGAAGAAAAAAAGTTAGGTTACATCTATTTAAACATTGAAAAATTGTCTAAGTTAATTATTAATATTAATATGATTAAATAAAGAATAAAATTCCACTTTATGTTGGGGGTAATGATTTTATCTGACCTAATCAAAGGACTAATCGATAAGCACATCTCCATACTAGTTTGTATATCATTATTGCTCGTAATATAAATTGGTAAGAATTCTTAATTTGATAGTCAGCACAGCTTGTATTGATCGCTAGATTTACTAAATTCGACCGATCAACCTACTTTATCTTATTTTACTACAGTGCATTTCAGCTCTCGCACTTTGGAACATAGTCCATTTGGTTGTTGTTGTGTCTTGTAGAAATTAATTAAACAGAAAAATAAAGAATACACCTCTTTAATAACAGCTTGTAAGTTACAATCAGCATCATTTTGTATTCACTTCAATATCAAGGCAACACCAAGTATTCAGAATTTCAATCTATTATCTATTGTTTGGCATTTCTATTCTATCAACTTTTAAAGGATGTTGGTCAATTTTCTAAATTTGAAGTAGCCGAGAATGAAATACTACAAGAATTGAAGAAACAGATCATCATTAAAATATATGATTAAAATTACTTGGACATTACACCTAGCAATTCGCCACAATTGGAAAGTAATCCTTATGTTTTGATGACCCAAAACACATAAATGGACGATAATCAACAATTCTACATTAAATGCTATTCGGACAAGGATTTTGCAGGCAGTCCTGATCATAATCAAAATAATAAAAAATAGGTAGTATTCTAAGATTGCATATCCTTATTGAAGTTCATTAACGATTAAGATTCACTTGTAAGTTAGGTATAGAATCACTTCATAGCTTCATCAATTGACATGCAAAAGAACACTAAATAAAAATTTAGAGTGATGCACAGGAGAGTAAGTTTAGGGAATACCTAAATTTTAGCTTTTTGGAAGATTGATTCCTTCACAGTAAAGCAAACAAAATAAAAGTTTTCTTAATTTAAAAAGTAATTCACTGATCTCTTTGCTCATAAACTTAAAACTCCATTGAATGCAACCTTAGGATTTCTGTCCTCAGCCTACAATAGTCTTGACGTTGACAGTAACACCAAATCTCATTTCATTAAGCCTGCTTATATTAACTCAAAATTGCAGTATTTTTAAATTTCAGATTTATTGGAATTCTTAAGTCCTTAATTAGACAAGATCACAATACAACAGACCAAAATCAATATGAGAACATTTCTACTTTCCTTAACTGAATTGATTGAGTCACAATGCATTAATAAAAGAATCTTGTTTCAAGTCTTTGTGGAACAAGTTCCATTGTAACAAATTGACAAGTATGGATATTCACATAATGATTAGCTTTTACATAATTTCAGATGATCTCAAATTGGAACGGGTGTTATATAATATTTTAAATTAATCTTATAGACATACACCTTCTGGTGGTTAAATTACTCTGAGGTTAAGTATAAACAAGGAGAATACAGAAATGGATTTTGTCATTGATGGAAGTGGATGTGGTTTCAACGATGAAGACATTGAGAATATTAATATGTGGATCAAATCTCAATCTGATTTCCATTTCAAAAAGAAACACTTAGTCATAAAAAAAGAATTAAGGATGTCATTAGAAATCACAAATAATCTTATTAACATTTTAAGTTCTTCGGAATAAAATTTAGAAGTAGCATAGTCTGAAATAGGGACAGAATTTAGATTCAAAATCAACATCAAAGAGAACAAGGCTACGGAGAGTTTGCAAGAAATCTAATCTGTTGGTTTGATGCTCAAATAGAGAAGTTTAAGAAATATGAAAAGTTCTTAAAACAACAACGGTATGGCTAAATCGATCTTCTCTTCTCCAGATCCATAGTTATAATTGAATTCATAGACAGTGCTTGATGAACCACAAGCCAAATAGCCTTTAACAAACAAGGTGAATTTTAGCAAATTGTAAAAGAAACACAAAGAATTGAAACGAGCACGTTCTTCTTTGTTGAATAAAGGTTTGATGGATACTGACAAATCAATTTTGATTGTGGATGATGAACCATTCAATCATGACACTTTGATTTTGATGATGAAAAGCATGGGGTTTAAGTATTTCCTGAAAGCCTTTAATGGGTAGTAGGCCATAGACATGGTTTAGTAGAATGAATTTGATATTTGTTTGATTCTTATGGATTTGGATATGCCAATTATGGGAGGTATTGAAGTATCTAAAATTTCATCTTATTAGGCCACAAAAATATTAGTTTAAATGATGATTAACTTAGATTTAGCCTATATTCCAATAATTGGTTGCACAGCTCATGATGATAAGGAAACTTTGGAATAATGCATTGAGGTTGGCATGCTCCATGTAGTGTTGAAACCAGTCTTTGTGAAAACCTTGAGGGAAGCATTTCAATATATAGTATTTAGCGAAGAGGTTAAAAAGCGATCATAATATCTTTTACCTTCTTAATTGTAAATTTGATTGGCTTGCACTAATAACAACTATTCCATAAATTTTTATAATTAACAATTACACAAGTTTTTATTTTCTATTATATATTTTAAAATAAATGCAAACTTCATTAACCTACACATTAGGATTAAAAAATGATTCCAATTATTAGTTCCTCAGTAAGCACACTCTTGCCAAAAGGAAAGAGTTGTCGGATAAATATAACAATGATTAATAAGTTGCTGTAATTTGCGAACCTCATCGATTATATAAACAATCATAAACTGGTGCTGGCCTTGAACTTCCAACGTAAGTGTGTGTTAATATAATTCATTAGATAAATGGTGTGTGTGTTTAGCAAAAAGGATCCAGTCTCTAGTATTTTCTAGACTTTAAAAGCCAAACTCAAAATAAACAAAGAGACTACATTATATTTACTTTGCAATAATTACATTTTGTAATACGGTATCTTATTCAATTGATTTAAGAACAATCCATTGGATAAGTCTACGAGAAATATAAGAATTAAGAGGATGACCTTTTGTACATTAAATATAGTTCTTAAGAAACTTTCGGAAACTGATTGATATTATTAATAATATGACATTTGAGTATATGGATAATCAGCTCTGCTTAACATAAATTGGACTGTCAGCTGGTTGTTTGATTCCAACAATAAAGTGTTTTAATTTGATGGATTCCTGAAGTTCTTCTTGGATGTCTGATCCTGCTGAAGAAGACTCCTCAAAACTGGCTTTTCTACTAGAATTGATTTCTTTTGGAGGAGAGCGAAAACTTGTTCTTTACATTTAAATAAATTTTAATCTAATTGCAGGTTTTGGTTGAAAATACTATAACCCCAGACGAGCCCCACTTTCCTCTTGAGAGAATAGAGATATCAAGTATTCGTAGTTTGGGTCTTCCTCAAACTTCAATCCTTTTACGTATTCCATAAATATAGATAGTTGAATAGGCAAACCAAAGAATTTATCGATTTTTAATGCCTTTTTCATTTTTTTGATTTTTTAATATCGGATTTCTTTGTCCTGATCACTGATAGAATACCAAGGCAAATTGCCCTGATGCAAATAAATGAGCATGTATCCCAATGATTCCAAGTCGTCCCTTCTAGATTGTTCTATGCCTTTCAAAGCATTTATGGATGCAAATCGAGCAGTTCCTATCATCCCTTTATTTTCTTTGTAATGAATGTGATGACCATCAATCTGATATTTTTTAGAAAGTCCAAAATCAATCAGATTGATCTTCCCCTCTTGCATAACAAAATTCTCAGGTTTTATGTCTCGATGGATTACTCCTAACGAATGGAGCTCCTTCAGAATTTTGATGATCTCCAATCCGATAGGCAAGATTTTATTGAAATTTCCCTTCTTTTGGCGATGCTGTTCCAAGTTGTCTCCCATGAGATTCATAACAAAGTAGGTATTATGTTGATCAGAACCAGATGCAAATAACTATGTAAATCCTTAATGGTTTTAGTATTTTAATACCTTTTTTGCCTTTCAGGATTTGGAGGATTTGTATTTCTCTTTACAATAATTTTTTTTCCTTCTTCATAGAATTTTTGACTAGCTTACAGGCAAATATCTAACCACTCGAAATGTGTTGGACCTTCCAAATGTAACCGAAAGCACTAATTTCTAGATGATCGGCATTATTACCCTTCGCCTAACTTATCGAGAAATTGATAGGAGGAGGAGGCAGACTACTTGATTGACCTTTTCATAATGAATGAATTAATATATTATATAATCAATTACTTATAATATATGCTATTTTGATTATGGTCGATTTCAAATTAAAAATCCTGAACTGAACAAACAGCATCCGAATTTAAAATTAGAGTGAAAACCCATATAAAATTTGCTTAATATTTTAGGGAAATTAAAGAATTAATTAAGGACAACTATTAATCATTCCTGAGGTTTTGTTGTACATGCATTGCTATAACAATTGGGTAGGAATGGGACATTATTTGATGTTTGATTTGTCGCTGTTGAATTCTTCGAATAATTCAACAAGCTACCCAGAGAACTCACAATATCCTTTTTATAATATATATATAGATATTAATTATCATTTTTGTTTTATTCCTCTTTGTTTACTTCGCAAAGAATATAATTCCTCTAATTATTAAAAGAAATTATCAGAATAGTTCTTAATAACTCCAGCCAAATCCAACACAAATTGAGCCAACATCACCTAATTCTGATACACAATCCTGCTCTCCTGAGCTTGAACCTTGGAGAGCACAAATATCATGGTTTGACTCACATGTCTATGACACTCATCGACATTCTCACCCATCTGAAATATTCCTTCGGGATTGTCGTCCTCATTGATGGAGTTCACATCCACATTGCGTTGACTGATTTAGGCATTCCTGGCACTCATCGTCAAATACCTGGGACTGATGGACGGTTTCTACCCATTCATCCTCGGAGTTGTGGAGTCAGGAGGAACATAGCGTTCATTTTTAATTTGATAGAGAACAATCGTACTCCTGACATCTATTTTTGTGATATCGAGTTCAAATTGTTTAGCCATTTTGTTCATGCTGGTGTGGAATTCCCTAATATGCATTTTGACTTCTGGGTTCTTGATCTCCTTCATGAACTTCAAATTCTCGCAAATCCTCATCTGACCTTGATCAAACAGCAAACTATCATATGTCCATGGCCCAGCTCCAATCTTGGTAAATACAATTTAATTCTCTTCAATACTAATTAAGTACCATTTGCCATCCATTTAATGTAACAACTTAAAAAATGAGCAATCCGGCAATAATTAATAAGTGAAGTAATTCTCTATCAAATAGAGTATCTAAAAGAAATATTTAATATTCGGTTTTGGAAACTTCAAAATGCCCATCAATGAGAACAGTATCTTGCTCTCTACTTTAAATTTACTCTAAAACTTGAGTTCTTTGATCAATTCGAATTTCTAGCCGTATTCAGACTTGAAGTACTGTTCCTCCTATTATTTTATGTACATTTCACTAGTGTCTCTCAAAACTGCATTCTGGATGAGGAGATCATGATTCGAAATGTTGACATGTTTCCGTTTGAACATCTCGTCTTTCTTGATTTCGTTTCTAATGTGAACCACATATTCTGTAGTTACATTATAGATGTTATGAGACTCCTTAATGAATTTCATCTCCAAGAACTCCTAATAGTCAATGAAGTAATCGCAATACAACTTCTATATTTCAAGCAATTCATCCTCAATAATTTAAGCCAGATCTCCTTGAGGTTTCAACTTACGAATCACTTGATTTGGATTGATTCCCACCCTCAACACTTTACTGTATATCTGCGTTTCTATTTGAAAGTCCAACTCAATAGGAATCTCCTACTTCTCATCCTAATGAGCTCTCAGACCCACACTTCTAGGTCTAAACTCCAAGATGTCTGGATTATCATCATTAAGAATAGCAGTTTTCTTTTGCAACTGAATGGCATTGCTTAATTGAGTTCCATTTCGAATGTCATACTCTGTGCCCATACTACTACCTAAGAGTGCTTCATCTTAAAAATTGAGTTGCAAGGCTACTCTCTCTTCAGGTTTGAATTACTCCATTTCCTGTTCAAACAGAGTCTTAGAAACAACTGTGAATACTTCCCAAACTAATCCTCCAATGAGTGCTAATAAGAAGATAGAAAGAAAAACAAATGAACCAACGAATATCATTGGAGTCACCAGATTCTTGGTGTCAAATGCCAGTTCAAAAACTAACTGTCCCCATGAGGATGCTGTAAACACCTGTAACATCATTAAGTAGGATCCACCCATAGAATTAAAATCAGCATATTTGCATTGTCCCCACAAAAATCGGAATTCGTTTGGATCGCATGAATTGTTAGAGAATGGGTTCTGATCATCAGTAGTGATCCCTCCATATATGTATATTCCTATACAAGCATATGTGAAAAAGACAATTTACACTGGCAAGATCAATCTCAAAATTAGAGGCACGCAAATGATGATCTTATACAATAGGTTTTTCACATGAGCGAATATCTCCAATCCTCTCAACAAGTACCCCACTAATTTTATTGATCTGAAGGCTCTAAACAACCTAAATACCTTCTAGATTTTGGCAATCCTCAAAATTCTATTTGCCTTTATAGATTGCACTATGTTTCCGGTCACAAAACTGAATAGGATGTAATCGAACAGTATCTGCAACAGGATCAATGTGATATCAAAAACATTCCTAAGAATACAATCAACTTAAATACCAACCATCCACAAAAAAGTCGTATATGCCCAAACCTATAATCTTGATCAGACATTCAAAAATGAAGATGCCTAAGAATACTGTATCTATAGTATCGAATATGGCAAGCACATCTAAATTCTCTATAAAGAATGCGGAGATGATCAAACAACAGTTGATTATCGTCACAAGGAACATGAAAAAACCGAATGTCTTGAATATTATATTGATATTACATTGGATTCGATAAATTTCTTGAGTCCATATTTATTGAGGAAGTTTCGTAGCGATTCCCAACATTTAAGTGGTTTTGCTCGAGGCAATGAGATTTTCTTGCTATTCTGTAAGACGTAGAGTAATTGATTAAACTCATCGAATTAAATCTTATCACTATTTGATAATTGTAAATTACTTGAAATCTTTGTCGATTTCCGAGAATATGATCTTGACTTAGTCATCAGTCAATTAACCTCGATAAAAGGTTTTAAGGAATTTCTTAAATTGATTTTCAGTCAAAAATCCAGCATCATTTGAATCCAATGAGATGAAACTCGCCATCATAGCTGATTTCTATTTGATGATGTCTTGGATGGCAATCTGCATTCTGTGTCTTCGAAATCCTTCGTAGACCACAGCCAAGGGTATGGGTTAGAATAGGAACAAAAAGAGAATTATGTAGATGACAAAATAGAGAGCATAAAAAGTGCCTTAAAATATTGGAGGAATCATAATGTCAGGGTAGAAATCAAGAGTGGCAGCCATGAATAACATATTGAACAATTTGAAGAAATCCCCATAATCTTGGGTTTCTAAATCCACAGTCTCTAATTATCCAATCAAGTTTATTCCAATAAAAGCAAATGTTGAAATGATTATTACGTAGAGTAGTAATAACAAGAGCAAATCTTTACTGGCTTTGGCTATTCCCTTTAGATTTCTTCGGAGATCCTTTGAAAAAAAGATCATCAACGCTGGTCTAATTAATCTACTGAATCTGATTTGAGAATCATCAATCTTCGAATTTATATAATCTGTGAGACACACTAAGAAGAACAACATCTTTATCATTCTTTTGGTGTTGAACTGAAATCCCCCGTCATTTTTTTTGGTAGCCAACAAAACCAAAGTTATTAAGAAGTCAATCCCAAGAAATATTAATATGAACAATTCAACATTCCTGACATCAGGTGCCTCGTAGAAATCTGATTCAGGATATGGTTTCTCAAAGAAAGCCAGGATCTGATAGAGGATCGTCAATGTCAAAAGGTATCCACTCCAAATTCTGCTATTCTCAATGATCCAAAGGTATTTTAAAATTACTTTATCAGCCAAATCGATATCATTTCGAATAGTTCTCAAGTAATAAGCATCATATATGTGTCTTTCTGCTTTGAGTTATTTGTCATCAGAAGGCATATGTTTAACAATCTTTTGGATTTGTGCCACAAGCATGTCATTCTTTTCCTGTAATCTTGTGTCCAATTTGGTGAGACTAATAGCATTCTGCTATTTAAAGATCGCTGATCTCCTGGGATTGTGTGGTCTATGTTGAATATTTTCACACAACTAAGGAGATTGAATGTCTTCTTATTTCATTATTTGTTTTATAATAATGTCTTTTTCAATAATCAAGTATTTCTTCGCAAATCACTTCATCATCATCTATATCGTAGCAACATATCTGTAGAATCATGAAAGCCGTCAATATCAACACGAAAAGTAGAGCAACCGTCAACTCATAACATTGCTCCTTCACCATCAATATGAAAGAACCAAAAAAGAAAAATCTAATCCATTAACCCAATTTCCTTACGCCATTGCAATCATTACTTCAGAATGCTTCACCTTCTTGTGAAAAAGACTCGAATGAGGCTGTTGTTTTTCTGATTGTAAGCAAAAAACGACTAAAAATACCAATCTCACAGCCGCTGCGATTAAAAATGCCACTCCGCAAAAGTAAGTCAATGGCAGAGTCATCGTGCATTAATAGTAATACGGATTTGACTTGCTAGTTCAAATTACCAAATTACCCTTCTATGTAATAATTTGTTTGCAAAAGCACATAACCACAAAGCATACACAAGAAGGCAATGCAACAACTATAAGCAGATTAAGTTGATGTATTGTCATCGTGTATTTCACTAGAATAATAAAAGTCATCATTATTTAGCATTTTATTAATAATACTATAATATGTATACAGTTTTAATAATATTTGAAAAAATTATTATTATTATTAAACAATTAATTTATAATTTCAATCGTTACCATATCATATATAAGTATAAATATGTTATGCTCCTATCCTCAAATTGAATGATTAACTAAGTGTTGTAATAAGAATAAGAATGATACTTGCAGAGGTATGATTACTTTTAAAGAGAGGTGTATAAAAAAAGAGAAAATCATCATCAATAGATATGAACTATGACGGAAAGTAAATTATTTTGAGTTCTCTACAAGTGATTACACATATCTGAAATATCAATTATTTTGAAATATAAAAATACGTTAATGAAGAAAGATTAAGACTTCCATAATAATTTACTAATTAATCATTAGACTTTTAAATTTTTTTTATGTATATTTTCTTTCCAAACAAAACTTTCAAAATCATTTATTTTTTGCCTAACTTTGAATAATGTCGTAGAACTAAATTAAATACTGAAAAAGATTGAAATGACATATAAATTGAGAAAAGTATTCATATTTTTGTTCATACTGCTAGCTTCATAGAATACTCATAAAAATAAAGAGGCCCAGTTTCTGATAAGTTTACTTTTCAGAAACAAGTATGTATATTACCAGCCTCATCTTAGTAGTTTTAGGATGATAATAAATTATTAATAATATAGTAAATAAATTTGGTTATGAAGCAAAGCATAATTGACTTAACTGAGCTAGTATTAGTTTGCCTGTGTCAGACAGTGGGGCCACATATGGTTGATTATAATATTTCGATTGGCATGCTTTGTAGAATAATTTTTTTTATATTCTCAATCACCCTTAGAGATGTAAGATCCTTTACTTGGAGTGAACTATGGTATTAAATTGGTGCATGGGCAATGTTTCATTTGTTTGTAATTTGCTTTGAATATGAATATTTGTTTAAAGGAAAATCATAAACTGTAAAAAGAGAGGCGAGATATAAGATTTTTGACACATTATAGTCAGGTATTGGAATCATATATTCCATATACAATTTAGATTCATACTATTATTACATCTTCATAGGTTTTTTTTCATTGAATTGTTTGGATAATATAATTGGATTGTTGATATATTGGAGATAAAAAGAAAAACCCTAAAATCATGTTCAAGAAGGAGGAATTATGGAATTTTTTATTGGCTTGACTTTAGGAAGCCTAGCGGTGAGTGGTTATTTAATAACTATTATAGTTTTATATTGGTTTGAAATTTAGGAGATAAAAAATTTGTTGTTTTATTTGTTTCTCACAGTTGTTGGAGAATTGATAATATCTGTGTTTTCATGTTGCTTCATTTAATATAAAGAGAATTCCTAGAAAATAAAATTCTCAAAACAAATGTTAGGACTTAGTTATGGTTTAAATTTTGGATTGTTCAGTATTTTTTATGGATTTCTTATTGGCCTATTTATATTTATTACTTCGATTATACTGTGCTTAAGAAACTCAACAAGTTCAAGTCAAGTGCATACAATTACTGAGTGAAAATTTTAATATTATTTTCATTCAATATATCTTAATTAGAAAAATAATAACCCCACTCAATTTATTAGTCTCATTTTTATTTACTTTAGACTTTTCTCATGAATAAAAATAAATAATTAAAATCTGAAGAAGTGGAGTAATATATCAATCAATTCTCTCATATTTAGATTATAAAGAAAAATGATAATTTCTTATTTGGACTGATGAACAAATGAAAATTAATTGCCACTGTTGGATTAAATTTTCGCATATGAATATTCTATCAAATAAGCAATTTAAAAGATAAATAGAATTGATGTATAAATTCTTAAAGTACAAAATGGATTAGTACTTTGATTAATCAACATTGAATCTCGTAATCATAAGAAAAAAATAACATAATCCTTCTATTACAATAAAATTCTTATAGATATTATTTTTAATTTAAAAATTATTAAATAGTAACAGATATTTAAGTTTTTAGTGACCAAAATTGTTTTAGTTGATAATATTTATTATACCAAAATATGTTAATGGATATTATAGTTAAATCCTTAAATGATTTAGTTTTTATTATGTTTTCCAGATATGAATAGATATAATTAGCTTAGTGAAAGAAATATCTTAATAAAGATTTTTCTAAATTATATAAGCCTTCTCTCTAATATTTTATCGGCCTGGCCAAAACTATTAGAAGCTAAATGTTTCTTCTAAACATATAAACATTGGTCATGTAGCAAGAGAAGAAAACCCTTACAATAAAAATAATCCTTTTTAATAGATGCGATCTTCTTTAAACATACTTTGGAATAACATTCCTTCTCATCAGTTATATCTTGATCTCTACATTTAATTTCAAATTAAAAGGGGTTAACATTGTTAAACAATAATAAGAGAAACACAATTCAGTAAAAGATTGAGGACAAATAAATTAAGACACTCATGAAACAATATTTTTAAAAATATAACATTCATTTTAAGAGACAAAGTATTATCCCTATCTTTCATAAATAATTCCGTTTTCTTCTGCATAAGCAAGATATTTTGAGAAAATTTGTTGATCTATAGCATTTTTGTAGAAAAGACATAAGTTATTCATTATGTGCTTAATGTTTGTGGATTTTCCAAAAGATGCGATAATCTTTATTATGTTTTCTTATAATTAGTTTGGGAATACCTAATTTGGCTCATTTGGATAAAATAGTTTATCTATATTAAAAGCATAAACTAAATACCATACTTATCTGTCTGAGATATATCTTTAATTTACTGAGTTTCTTTCTTCTAAATTGAAAGTTTATTTGCTATTTTAACTTATTAATATTCTTATTTTCCTATTTTTTTTGAAGCAGCTATTATTTTTCTTAGTTTTTGTTTGGTCCTTACTTCGAGTTTTATTGGCATCTCTTGAGTTTTTTATTTATTGAAATGATAATAATGAGCTGCAAATAATTGGTTAAAATAAAATCTTCTTTTTATTTGGATTAATTAAATCAATAATACAATATGAAAACAACGAGTTAATGATATGTATTTAATGTAAGGATTTTGTTTATTTATCCTAAATATTAATTTTAAGAATAATTTAATAAGAAATTAATTTATTGTATGAGTAATTCTAAGCTGCAATAAAATTGGGAAAAATTACAAAAATTGTGTCAGCCAGGTCCAAGATCATCTTAAAAAAGAAGTTCGAGTAAAGACCAAAGATCTATTCCTAATTTATAATCAAGCAGATAGTTGTAGAGGAGAGCATCCCAATAGGATTTGGTGTACAAAGTGGTTGAATGCAGCACTTAAGATATAGAAAGCAAGAACTCAAAACAACAACTGGATTAACTATTCAGTGGGTTGAATGGGTTATTGGGTTATGAATTAATAATGAAGAAGGGTAAATTAGACGAATTGTTGAAGAAACTTAAATTTTTTCTCTATTGTGATTCTTTGGAGTTGAAGTCGCTTTGTTCAAAACTTGGGGATTACATAATCAATCCCAAACTGTGTATTTATAGTGATGTAAACTTAGATAATCTGATTGTGGCTCCTTAGGAGGAACAGGCATCTAAGGAGATGTGCGAATTACTTATACAAGAATTATAGTTATAAATTAGTAAGCGGAAGTAAATAGAGTGGAATTACTAAGCATTAAAAGAGGTATTTTTAGATAATGAAAAATAAAGAAAAGGAAATAGGAATCACAAGAATAACAAGATGAAATAGCAGGTTTAAAGCAGGCTGTTGCATTATTAGAACAACAGAATCAAACAATTTAATATAAAATACGAAATGACAACCTCTATTAATAATACGAGTAATCATATTCATTAATCTATTTCAAAGGGAGCTGAAGAGATTCAATAAATCTTTGAGTCACAAGAACGATGACCTATATTTTCAGAATCTGTCTTTGTTGGAGAAACTTCAATCTGTTTATAAGTAAGTGGACGTGTTTTAGACCGAACAACTACTGTTTCCCTACATGTTTTAGAAAGAAAAGTATGATGAAGCATTGCAATCGATTAAAAAAATAGTGGACGATATCATAAATCTTGATATCCAGAGGCCTCAGCAATTCATTGATGTGGATTACAAGGACAAAGTCACCAACATGACTCCGAGGCCGAATTACGAGCACTTGATTTCAAAATACAATACCAAGAGCATTAAATACATTCGTCAGTTACAATCTACTAATGATATTATTTCATATTTGATATAATAATTATATTAATATACATGAATATTTTAAAAGTTGAAATTATTTAGATCAATTTAAATTCGTATTATTTTTCCGATATTCAAATACACTAAGTTTAAAATAGAATAATTAATTATTTTTAAATATGAAACCAAGATCCAGAGGCTAGAATTAAACAGGAATGCCAATTAGGCCAATTTCAGATGTCCATATTGGCAATTATGTTGTTGAAAAGTAGAAATTAATAGGGAGAGGGTAGTATGGCATCGTCTATCAATGCTACGATTCAAGAAACAAGGAACGACTTCTCTGTGCTAAATGTGTAGATAAAAAAGGAGTGGATCCAATTCTATTGAAAAGGGAAATCGAGATCTTGAATCTGCTCAAGCCACTCTAAAGGGAGAATGAAAATCTTGTTGAATTGGTGGAGATAATTGAAGAAACCTAATATCAAAATTTGTATATCATAATGGAGAAATGCGATCAGGGGGATCTTAAGGGTCTGATGGATGCCAAATAAAAGAAGTCTACTTGGTTTACAGTCAATGAAGGAGTGGAAATAATCAAACAAGTAGTGAAGGGGTATGAAGCCTTATTTAAAATGAAAGTTATTCACAGAGACATCAAACCAGCAAACATCTTAATATAAAATGATGTTTATAAGATTGCCGATCTGGGTATGGGTAGAATATTAGATGACATGGTCAATATGCACTTAATTACTAAAGTTGGCACTCCTGCATATGCTGCCCCACAATTATTTTTAGAACCCAAATTTTCATCCAAAGCAGATGTATATTCGTTAGGTGTCATCTTCTATCAATTAGTTTATTGCGATCTACCCATTAACGCTTCAAGTTAATCTTAATTAATTGAAAATTTAAGAAATTTATAATAGAATCCAATTAAGTGTCCAGCTGTTTCTGCTTCAAAAGAAAATGTTCCTGAAAACATTCGAACCTTAATTGAATCAATGCTCAAATTTGAAGAATAAGACAGATCATCCTGGATGGATTTATTTGCCTCTCCCATTTTCTCGTTAAATATAACCTAACCAAAGAGATCGAATCCCAGAAAGAACACCTTAACCAATTAAAATCTCAGTTTCTATTAGGAATATTATAGAGTCGATTCAACTTCAGGACCTACTAAATCTGATAAAATCCTGCATTTAATTAAAATTTTGATTACCAAATGTGATTTAACAGCTAAAACTTATAAACTATTATAGGATTCAAAGTATTATCGTATTAATTCTTAGGTTTGAAAAAACTTCAATCAAATTTGATAACGATTAGATGGCTGCACTCTTGGTGTGTCTCTCTGGATATAGATATAGAATCATACTCAATGCACTTGGATTATTGATAAATTAACAAACTTCAATTCTCCCTGAATTTAAAAAGAGGTTCTCTTAAGGAGAACTTGCAGAGTTCTCTTAAAACTAGACTGACAAGACCAAGTTCTTGAAAGAGTACATAACTAAAATATTAAATTCAATTATCCTACAATTCAGAGTAATAATTTTTAATCTATTCTAGGAAGACGAATGCGTGTTCCTTAGTAATTTGAAAAAACCAGATAACCAAGAATTCAAATCCTTGAAAACTATTTTGGAGGAAGAAGAAAATCCAGACTTTACGCTACTTTCTAAGTCATTTAGGAAGATTTTTATGGGAGCCATCCAATATATAAATTGGAATAAAAATGATTAGAAAAATAAAGAGTATTGCAGTAATAAATATATGTAGTTTGGTTGCTTCCATTGATAAATTTGGAACTGCAGATCTACAATTTGATATCGATAAGTTGTACGCCACTAAACCAACTGAGATTCTAAACAAGTCATAAAAAATATCAAGCTGAATATATTAATTTTAGCATTATGATTTAAATTCAAAATTACATTAATGATAATTGATCATTCAAAATTATCCAACAATTCTTAAGCTAATTTCTCATTGACATCTAATTTCCAGAAATTGCTCTCATTATATTCCTACATAACTTTGTCATCATCTTCATCATTCTATTTATCCTATTGATCCTATTCCTCTTAAACACCTTCCTCCTCAGCATTGTCCTCCTATTAATCTTGCTCAAATTCATTCAACACTTCAGTATTCCTTAAGACTCCTTCTCCATTTTCATTATTTCCGACGTGCTTGTCACTCTTCTAAAAATTATTGTTAAATTTCTAGCAATGCTTATTAATGAAAATACTCTCAGAATGTTCAAGATATTGTCAGTTTCTTATTCGTCAAGAACATCAGGTTCTTAACTTGGTCTTGGATTGGCATTACACAAGTAAGGTTTCTCCTTTGAATTCACAGTGTTCAAGATATTTTCTGTAAATTGCTACCATTGCTCATCTATTAATATGGAAAATCAATCAATACTGTTTCGAAGGAACTTTGAAATTTTGCTGTTTTGTTTAGCCTTTTCTTCAAGGTAATTAGAAATCTGAGTCATAAATCCAATGAATCCTTTTTTTGAATTTTCAACAGTGTGATTTTATACAATATAATTGAGAAGATCATTATTTTCAAAAACCTATTGAAAGAATTAAAAATACTTTACATCTTGAGTGAAATCATCTTGATTAAGATCAATAATAGCTCTGAGTATTTTATCACAACATGCGTGGATTTAATTGTTTGATTCATACTTAAGGATGATAACGTACAATGCTTAAATAAGTCTGCAATTTATTAGGATCTTGATGATTTTGTAATCGTTGGTTCTTTTTAATTATATCGATATATTAATTACTGAACAAGAACTTGAATTAGTTTGAGCAAGTGCATTCTAGCTAATCCAAAGGGTTGGATAGAAGATCGATTAGAGTTAACAAAGTTGCTCGTGTGATAATCTTGGTTCAAGAGGTTGGGAGGCAATTCAGGTAGGATGGACTCAAAAATTGAATAGTCTTTCTCCAAATTGTGAACGACTTCGTCATCGTCTTCCTTTTTGGTCTCTTTTGATTGCATCTCCACCAAATTAATCAGCAATTGATAGGGTCCTATACGCTGGGTTTACAAGGCGATATTCAAAAATAAGTCAGGTTTCTTGATGATATCAATAAATGGGATTATCTCCCCGTTGTTGTAATAGAGAGAACTCATACTCTTGGAGGTGATCTCAATCAAAATATCACAAACGTTATCCACTATCTCGGTGTTGTAAGATTTGTGTTATAATAATTTAATTATTCTTTCCAATAATTCCTTTCTTTCTTCAAAGAATTTCTCTTCGTAATTTTCTTGGGACGTATCCAAAATTATCAACTTCTCAATTATTTCTGCGATGTGCTTTATGTCGATGTGTTTTATTAGGTTTGATAGTATTGCTTTGTTTTTGATGATCGTTGCCCAAACCTAATTATTTAAAAATATCATACGTCAAAGCCTCTCTTCTTAATTATTGCTATGAATGCTTTTGCAAAATATCCTGCTGAAGTAACATTCAGAATATCATTCTCCAAGAAAGACAAGAGTTAGCTGTATAATCCTTAGCGTATTTATTAATTTTCAAATTATATTTCCTCCTCAGGACATTCAAATAGGTAATCAATCAATTTCTAATTTTAACTACCCAAGATCTCGCTTGTCAGAAAGGGGAATCTAAAGGGATAAATAAGAAATTTACTAAATTTGAGTCTTCTTATCAATGAGTTCATCTTCAAATTAAATAATGTAATTAATCATTTTTTAATACATTTCTGGATGCTTTAAGACGCTATGTAATATGCTTAGAATAATACTGATCAGCAAATTTGGTAGCCCCTAATCCTTTTATTTCTTGCAATATCCCTTCTGTTGATAAAATCGTCTCCAAATCGCAATCAGGATTGGTTAACAAATTATCCAATTGCTATTGCTGATTGAAAAAACGAGCGAAGCTAACTACATACAATTTCTTACTTGAAAAACATTAAATTTAAATTTTTAATAATGTTATAAGATTGCAAATTAGTAATTATTATTATTATATACACAACCTACCCATTTATTATCCTTTTAGGCTTCTATCAAAAATCTTGATTTTCAAAGAATATATTGGAGAAATTATAAAAGATAATATTAATTTACATATTTTATATAATATGAATACAATTTATACGAACAAGCTAAATTCATAATATAATATTACTAGTTTCTCATTTGATAAACAATGCATTAGAATTATGTCTATAAAATGAATCAGATTTTAAGATTAACTATCAATGGTCATGTATAAATTTAGATATGGGCAATTTTATATATAATATGTATTAGTCATAAACTTAAAATTTATCTTCTATTATCAAATATAAATTATATACAAATCATTATAACATCTGATACTGAATATGTGGTCTGGATAGAAGCAATAATAAACTTAATTTGACTCTTCTATTTCCATCCAATTTCACATAAGTTCTCCTCCTCTCATTGGCTGATAAATTTTGTATCAACTCAGTTTATAACTTTTAGATTCTTTCAATGAGGAATATGTATTGTAGTTTATTTTCAGCAATTCTAAGATAGTTATTAATAAGATGGGTTACTTGTTTTGATTGAACATCTCGATGATGAAGTTGCTTCGATGAAATCTAGTGGCTTGGGGTGTATTTGGTTATCTGAATAATTTAAATTCTTTAGTCTTTTACTAATGATTAAATGGTGGTAACTTATTTTATAAACTAATATTTTTTTTATGAGTTCTTAAATTAAGCTGATTACGTTTTGAGTTGAACTAGAATGATTATTTAAATTCGCATTGAGTTGCCAATAAAGTGGATTAAAATAATTCAGTATTTTCATGAGTGTTTCCTAAAAGGTTTTTTAGTTTTAATTTTGCAGCAGGTTGTTAAATTTCACATATACTACAAGTATTCGATATGGAGTTCTTACTTAAGAAAACATGGCTATTCTTAGGAGAATTGAACAGACTTGAAGCATCGCTTTTTCTTTTTCTGTGATAAGTTTCACTCGAAATCAATCTTCCCATACTATCTCTCTCGTTAATAAATGGCACGAAGGTTTATTTTTTTTCAATTAATTGATTGAGTGGATGATCCTGATCCTTGATTGAATCCATAATCAAAGCCTTCATAAATTTGTCTGTCTTCTGTATTGCAGGAAGTTCTTTATCCTTGAAGAAAACACAATAGTCCTACAAATTTTCACTATAATGCTTTTTCATATTAGTAATATAATTAAATATTATCATATATTGACATTGGAGCAGATACTGGAAATTGCATCATTAATGGGCAATTGTGCAAAGCATGGGAATTCCTATTATGAATTTTACAATTTTTAAGTATAGGAAATTGAAAAGTTGTTTTACGTCTCAAATACTTGACATTTATGGAGTGCATTACTTTGTACTTTTAAGGATAAAAGGGATAACAAAGAACTGTTTGAATTAACCTAATTTTCACGAAAAGTTTGAATGGTTTTAATTTGAAGACTGAGAGATTCTAAATAATAATGGATATTCAAGAATTAGTTGATTGTTACACTTTCAGAGTTGTAAGTTGAGTCTGTAAAAATAATTTCTCTGGTATCCTCTGTCCTATTAATTAGCATAGGATTTTGTGGATATTAATGTGGAAAATTTCATAAAGTACTATAAAGGAAATTACATACTTTTAAATTCGATAAGTCAAGACTTAATTTTTAATATTGAAATTAAACCCGTTATATAATATTCTTTGTATTTATTCAATTTTATTGCAAAGATAAATGATGTTGAACGAATAACCATCACCATTCAAGCAGTGCTTTGATATGCATTCTTGTTCAACCAATTTCATCTTTTGTTGTATCATTTAAAAAATTTTCAATTCTTTTATGGAAGTCTAAATGCTCTTCTTTTAATAGGAAAAAGATTGAATTCTCGATTAATCGAAGATTTACAAGATAAACTGATAAGTATGCTTAAAAAACCAACTTTTAAAAACATTTCTTCAGATATATATATTTAAATACTAAATAAAAGATAAAATATAATATTTATAATCTAAAATGTATTACTCATTAGCGCAACTATCTTTTTCTGGTTTGCTTTTCTTGATTCAAATTGTTTTTCTATACTTCATCAGAAGAAGAGATCAGAGTTAGAGCCAAGTATTTTAAGAGTAAATAAATTTAATAATGTAGAGTATAGTAAGTAAAAGAATCGGAAGGTCATACTTAAAATGGTTAGTAGATAAGGGCTTCAGTCATGATAAACTCTAAGAATAGATAGAGAGTTTAATCAGGTCGACACAATAGTTTAAAAGTTGATGGGATTGAGGAGCTCCCACCTTTGACTTTGGGGAATCATTAGACTCATCACTACACAGAAGGTGTTGCTAAGGAACAAAAAACTTAGCCGAACAGGGTTGAATCGCCCAATAGTAGTACGATTCTGTAAGTACAAACTTCAAAAGTAAAATCTCAAACAGAAAATCCAGAGAGTCATAGAGATCCTTTTGATTAATTAATTGGGGATTCTGGATCAAAGTAGAGGAAAATTGATCTGATGATATAGTTAACATATTACTTTGAGCGAATTGGATTTGAATAAGGATTACTTTTGTTACTATGGAAGTTTGATTTAAATTTTTACATCTTCATTCCATTGTCGTTGTTTTCAGGAGTGCTGCTGAGAATGTAAGAGAAATTGGGGTACAGAATGATTTAGATGATGGTATCAATTTTGATCCACGGACTTGTTGTACTTGAGATGTACCTCTTGACTACAGATGAATACGAAACCATTTGTTATTTAATAGTGTTAGGGATAGAGACTAAGTTCAGTGTGATATCATTGATTTTGCATAAGAAATGCCAATGATAAAATTTATTCATATGAATAGGGTTGATGTTATTTATATTTAAATATCAAAATTATAAAATTAATGCACAAATAATTAGAGTTGAATGTTTTTGAGAACAACAAAAAGTTCAAGATCAAAACTGAACGCAGCACATAAATTGCGTCTCCGAATAACAAGGATATCGATGGATAGGAAGATATTGTTAAGAAATTGTCGGATAGTTATAAGTTGCAATAAAAAGAGATGGATAAATTACAGGTCACCATCGAGAATAGGGAGGATCAAATAAGGAAATTATCGGATTTGGTTAAGTTGCAACAAAAAGAGATTGATCGTTTGACTCACATCAACGAATACCTTGTTCAAGCCAATTAAGCCAAATTAAGCATATTGAGAGATGAAAGGCAATTGAATCAAGGGAGCAAGCCAAACCAAAAATTCAAGTCTCATAAATCGTTATTACCAATAGAGAAAAAGAGTAATAAAATTTAAGAGGAGGCAAACACTCAATCAGTAAAACTCTTCAGGAGACAAACGTTTCGGAATCCAACCCTAGTGAGGTTTCATCAGGAAGATGCAGATGCATTCAAAAGTGATAGGAATGCACCTGGCGCCTCTAATTTTTATGATATTTTGTAACAAGAGGATTGCTTTAGAACCAATGCAATATTGAACATCCAATTATGTAATAGTGAATACTTAAAGTTTAGCTGATGAAGATGCAACTACCTAATATAATGTAGATGGAACAGTCTCTTTGATGAAAGCTCTTCTGGAATCTGAAGAAAACTTTTGTGAGATAATCCAATCCATCTCAGCATAAAAATTATCATTCTTGTATGACAAATTCAAAAGAGTGATGTCAGATCATTAACAATTGTTTATCTTAGTCTTGAGACTCAAAAAAATAGTTACAGGGGCTTTGCAGATGAATTCCTCAGTCCTCTTAGATGATGCATTGCAAACGATCATAGACCAATGCGTTGATTGTCTAGAATGCGATAGAGCCTCTTGTTTTATAGTTGATTAAGCAAAAAAGGAACTATGGACCAGAGTTGCTAAAGGCACTCAAACGACAATCCGACTGCAAATTGGATAAGGACTTGCAGGATTTGTTGCCTAGAATCGAATCATTTTGAATATCGAAGACGCATATAGAGATTAGAGATTCAATACCTAATAGGATGTCAAAAACAACTATAAGACTAAGACAGTATTGGTATCGCCTATATTGGATGGAGACAAATGCATGGGGGTTTTACAATGCGTCAATAAATCAAATGGATACTTTACTAAGGATGATGAAGCTCTTTTGCAGATTATGGGAGAATTCAGCAAAAGTGTCTTAAAGAATGCTATGAATCATGATGCTTAAATGCTTATCTAAAATAAACTCAGACACCTCATTAAAACAGGTATTGTTCTTTAGAGCAAACAACACAATCTTATTGATTTGATTCTCTCTTCGGAGGAACGATTACGATCTTTGATGAATGTGGATTTGGCCAAAGTTGTGTATTATAATCAGGTTCTGTTTCACATCGATAGAGAAGGCAAACTAAGTCAAACTGATACTCTGTTAGGCATCATGGGTCTGTGCATAAAGGATCAATAGTTGGTGGCAGTGAGCAATTGTTACACTAGTCCCATCTTTAATCCTAATATCGACATTGAAACGAATATGCCGATTATTTGTATGCCTTTAAAAACACAAAATCATCAAATCATAGGAGCCATTTAAGTAATTAATGTCAAAGGTATTGGTAACATTTCTTCGAACAGCGAAGCCAAGATAAATTCTATAGATTTAGATATGTTGGAACTCTTTTGTTAGTAATGTTCTTAATGTTTGCAATAATGTAAACAATTAACTTAATAATGATATTAATATATTATAATAAATGGGTAATTCATAATAATAAATTATGACAAAATTAAATCGAACTGTTTGGTTTGGTATTAATTTAACCATATAATAATCACGTTATAGATATGGTTTAAAATAATAATGAAATACCTATGTACATCTTAATGTTAAGTAGAAATATCAAAAAATCCTTAGTATTTAATTTAAGAATGATGGCGTTATAATAAATTATTATTCATCATTCTTTTTAGTTTCATATATTAATATAATACATATATGTGCATAGTTAATTCATGAATTAGAATGATTATTTAGATTTAATTAAGCAATGTAATATCAGTTCATTGTTATTCTAGATTTTTAATTGTATTATATTATAAAATAGTCTGAAAAATCTATAAATAAATATAATTAATCAAGATGAGAAATAGGATTATAATTACATCTAAAATTGATGATCTAATTTCCAATCTCAAGAAGACAGAGGAGACTCACCCTCCTCCTTATTTCAGGAAGCTATCTTTGAATCCGGATACATCTGTGGAGTCTCAGATAATGAGTCATCTGAAGATTAGATTGGATGATGATACATTGTAGACTAGGTTTGTCCAGGAAAAGACGAGATCCCTTGCAAACAAGATTAAGCAGCTACAAAACTAAACGAAATTGAAGAAGACTCAAATGCCTCAAGAGTATGTCAGTTTTATCAATTCAATCTAAGAAAACCTGATACAATAACAGGAAACCAAGATAAATAAGATTCTAAAGAGACAACAACAGTATGAGGAATAGAATAAGAGTTTTTATTAATTTAGAATAAGGGCTTTGGAGAGACAATAATAGCAGATTGAATAGAAGCACACCGAGTTGCCGAAAGAATTCAAATCGTTTTATTAACCGATAGAGGAAGCATCTGCAAGTTTCAATAATATGGATTAGAGAATCAGACAATAGTTGTTTAATCGAGGAAAGAGAAAGTTTTTTAGTTTTTGGAATAACAATGCGAATACTCCGAATAATTATGGGAACACTCCAAATAATGGGCAAGAAATGATCGAAACTTAATCCTAATCCTTTTTCCAGAAACAGAAGAAGAGAGTCTCCATCCAAAATGCTCCGACTATTAAAATCAACCAGGTGGGATGATGGGAAAATCATGAAAATCTTATTACTATGTTTATACAGATTGATTAACAATTAGGTAAATTGGGGAATGTATAATATTAATAAAATATTGATTAAATGGATTACGACGGAGAGGCTAGTCAGTTTCCAGATGTCTCACGATTTAGTTTCAATCAAAATGGAGTCCTGCATCCTAAGCCAGTTTACTCTCAGTGCTCATTCACTGGAGTGAAGAAGAAAAGCTTTTCATTGGATGGTTCTAAGAATAAGGGATTGAGAAATCTGAGTTACAAAGTGAAAAAAATAATTGAATCAGAGTCACAGACTACTTATAGGTTCGTTGCCGATAAATTAGTATCTGAGGACAGTGAACAGAAGAAGGAGGAATAGAATGTGAAGCGTCGAGTCTATGATGCACTCAATGTTTTGATTGCTGCTGGAGTGATCATAAAGAAGAAGAAGTTCCTGGTTGCCACACCCGAGACCTTCAAGAGTGGGAAGTACTACATAATCTTAATAGGGTGCCATAACAAAGACAAATGGCAGAAGATTAAGGAGGATTAGTAAATGCGAGCAAAGAAGCGTCAAGTCTTGAGTCACAAGAAACAATACTTGATTAACTTAGTGAAGAAGATGCTTTGTATTCGTCATCTGATCACCAAGAACAACAATAACAAGAGTCTGCCCAATAGTTAGAATGCAGCTGAAACGTATCTTTTGCTAATTGATGTAGATTCTTAAAAGATGAAAAAGTTGATCCATCTCAAGTGCCTTGTAGTTAATAGAGTGTCCAAAGTGGAGTCCTACTAAACTCCTATGTTTAACCCCAAATTGTGTTTCAGTTGCCACTTCTTGCCTTCTGGAGTAAACCAGAAGATGTAACAAATCTATTGTTTATCCCGTAGCTGCGTATAGTGATCAAGTCCTAAAAGGAAGTGTCTTTGACCACAAAAAAGAGTTGCTCCTTTCTGACTGAAATAGAATTACTCTAAGATGCGCAACATTAAGCAATGTTGTCGAAAGTCTTCGATGACAAGGCTTTTGTTAATTTCTATTTGAACTTAACCAAAAATTGATCTATATATGAAAATAATTTTAAAATTTATCAAATATATGAAGAGATTTGATTTGTTTTATGAGTTTTCTAATTAATAATTGGGATAAGGAGTCTTTGGTTAGGTCTATTTGGCCAAAAAGAAAACCACTTAAGAATAAGTGGCAGTCAAAGTACCGCAATTAAGCTATCGTAGATTTTACCAAAAAACAATTAATTGACCATTAGTGAAATTGAAATACTTAACGAACTAGCCAAGCATTCACATCCTGCCATTGTTAGAATAATTGATGTGTATGATTAGGGAACTCAAGTATAGGTAGTTTAAGAATTCTGCAATAGTGGCACTTTATTTGATTTTATGAAAAAGAAACCCCAATATATGGGAGAGGAGCATTGCGTTGAGATCTTAGAACAAGTTGCTCAAGGCCTTGATTATTTACATAAGATCAACATTGTTCATCGAGATATTAAACCAGAAAATATATTAAGAACCACATTTAATGGCTAGATCTATTATAAGATCTCGGATTTTGGATTAGGCAGTATTGGAGATATGAAATTAGCTTCCAAATTTGGAACTGCTTATTATGTTGCTCCTGAAATCATTGATGGAAGAGCTGAACTATATGGATATGATAAATCAGTAGACATCTGGGCTTTGGGATTAATGTTCGACGAATTACTGCATGGCACTCCTTTCTATGATGGACTTACAGAAGATGAAGTCTTTATCAAAATTAGAAACGAACCCTATTATCCAAAAAAACTAGAATATTCAGGCAGTCGTTTACTCCCAAGAAAGCAAATCATTGCAAATATTCTTATGGGCATGATTAATAAAGAACCACTTCAAAGGAAGTCCCTACTTTGGACTCTAGATTAAATACGGCAATATAGCCTTGGTTATTATTTAATCCATTATAAAAATAAAGTGTTGTCAATAGTTCACTTTCTCTCCTCAATTAAGCTACATTCTCTCAAACTCCTATTTCTCCACTTTTGATTAATGATTTAGATGTAATTCAAGACAGGAAGTCCATTTATCAACAAAAATGTACCTTGCACAATCAACCAGCTATTTATAGGATGCCAATTAAAGAGTAAGATGAAGACATTTCAAGAATAGTTCCTGCTTGTTCTAAATGTTTAAGAAGTATAGGGGTTTACGAATTGGATACTTTATAAAAGAAAGTTGATGAAGCATTGCGAACACTCACGATGGAGAATTTTGATCAATTCTTTAGTTAAAATTACATAAAATAGGAGTTACAAGAAATGAGAGCAGAGTATTTCTTAAATTATTCTTATTTTTCCATTAGGGATGATCAATTACAATCTAAATTTGATGCCATCCTTATGGATTAATAGAAAAAGGCAAAAGTTGAATACAACTCCAAGATTAAATAATTAATGAATTTTAGAGATAAAAATTATACATCTGAAGAATAATGGTTGATTTATGTTGCAGAGAAGCTAACAGACTCTTCTGAAAATGAGTTTGTATTATACATTAAAGAAGATCTAGCTTAATTTAGTGAACATGGAGTTGAAGATTGTCTCTAATTGATCAAAAGTCATCTATAAGAGGCATCAGATTAATTAAGTTCTTTGATTTGAGATAGTTAAACNTTAGTGAAATTGAAATACTTAACGAACTAGCCAAGCATTCACATCCTGCCATTGTTAGAATAATTGATGTGTATGATTAGGGAACTCAAGTATAGGTAGTTTAAGAATTCTGCAATAGTGGCACTTTATTTGATTTTATGAAAAAGAAACCCCAATATATGGGAGAGGAGCATTGCGTTGAGATCTTAGAACAAGTTGCTCAAGGCCTTGATTATTTACATAAGATCAACATTGTTCATCGAGATATTAAACCAGAAAATATATTAAGAACCACATTTAATGGCTAGATCTATTATAAGATCTCGGATTTTGGATTAGGCAGTATTGGAGATATGAAATTAGCTTCCAAATTTGGAACTGCTTATTATGTTGCTCCTGAAATCATTGATGGAAGAGCTGAACTATATGGATATGATAAATCAGTAGACATCTGGGCTTTGGGATTAATGTTCGACGAATTACTGCATGGCACTCCTTTCTATGATGGACTTACAGAAGATGAAGTCTTTATCAAAATTAGAAACGAACCCTATTATCCAAAAAAACTAGAATATTCAGGCAGTCGTTTACTCCCAAGAAAGCAAATCATTGCAAATATTCTTATGGGCATGATTAATAAAGAACCACTTCAAAGGAAGTCCCTACTTTGGACTCTAGATTAAATACGGCAATATAGCCTTGGTTATTATTTAATCCATTATAAAAATAAAGTGTTGTCAATAGTTCACTTTCTCTCCTCAATTAAGCTACATTCTCTCAAACTCCTATTTCTCCACTTTTGATTAATGATTTAGATGTAATTCAAGACAGGAAGTCCATTTATCAACAAAAATGTACCTTGCACAATCAACCAGCTATTTATAGGATGCCAATTAAAGAGTAAGATGAAGACATTTCAAGAATAGTTCCTGCTTGTTCTAAATGTTTAAGAAGTATAGGGGTTTACGAATTGGATACTTTATAAAAGAAAGTTGATGAAGCATTGCGAACACTCACGATGGAGAATTTTGATCAATTCTTTAGTTAAAATTACATAAAATAGGAGTTACAAGAAATGAGAGCAGAGTATTTCTTAAATTATTCTTATTTTTCCATTAGGGATGATCAATTACAATCTAAATTTGATGCCATCCTTATGGATTAATAGAAAAAGGCAAAAGTTGAATACAACTCCAAGATTAAATAATTAATGAATTTTAGAGATAAAAATTATACATCTGAAGAATAATGGTTGATTTATGTTGCAGAGAAGCTAACAGACTCTTCTGAAAATGAGTTTGTATTATACATTAAAGAAGATCTAGCTTAATTTAGTGAACATGGAGTTGAAGATTGTCTCTAATTGATCAAAAGTCATCTATAAGAGGCATCAGATTAATTAAGTTCTTTGATTTGAGATAGTTAAACATAATATCACTCATCTTACCATTTAATCCTTTTGCCATCCTCCCATAATCCTCTCTTCACCCTCCCATGTAATTCTTAATAATATCCTTCTCCATAATATTTACCATTCTCCCAATATCCTTCGTATTTTCTTCCACCCTCCCAAACATAGACTCCAAATCTATCTTGAACAACTTCTCCTTAATATGATCACCCATCCTTCCATTTATAGTATCCCTGACCATGCATATGTACCATGATCATTTATGTTATTCTCTTTCCAATCTCCTTAATGATAATTTCCTTCTGGCCAATAGTATTTTCCTTACCCTTCTTTTTTGCCAAAAACATAAGATCCTTCATACTTATTACCATTTGCCCATATTTCAATTCCATTGTACATCATTCTTCCAATATCCTTTACACTTAGCTCCATTAACATGCATATATATGTTATTGCCATGTGTCTTATCATCCTTCCATTCTCCTTCGTCTAGTAAAAACTAAATAAACCTACAAGTGTTGATGTCTAATTGCCAGAATTTACCATTGCCATTCGCTCTGTTATCCTTCCACTCACCCTCATATTTAGCTCCATTTTGCAAATAGGCCAAATATCACTAATTACCTGGCCAAGTCATTATTCGGAACTACTCTCTCTTGTTTCCTACCTACTCGCCTTCATGTACTCCTTATGTAGAGTAAAGATAAGGAGGACGTCTTTATTGCTGAGTATTATTATTTAAATGAATGAATGGTTCTTTACTCTCGGTGAAGTAGCCTTTCTGATTTTGACTCCTCTTTGACCTCACTGACCGGGGTATGGATTCAAATCACTTAATCTCACAACTTAAGTTTCAGGCTCATCAAAAAATCTCGTTATAATAATTACTCATTTATATTAATGAATTCAAATTCAAGCTATGGTGATTAGATGTAGATTTCAATATTATTGATATATCAATATTAACAACTCGAAAAGTAAGGAATGTTGAGCTTTATAATAAGATAGCACTATGACGTGAAACTAAATGATTATAAACTAAGGTGTTTTTAGGGCATTTGAAAGGTAAAGGAAATTGAAAATTGGGACGACAGTGATATCTTCCTGGCAGCAGTAGGAAATGCTTTTACACCTACAAATCTGATAGGCTCTCTGCAATATCATAAAAATGGATAACAGATTGGGATTCAAATTAGAAAAGCGCATCGATTTTACATTAAATGTTAACATAATTGAGAATAGCGAGTATGAGTGCAGAAGGATCAGCTTTTATGAAGATTTGAATTGTAAATTCTGTCAAAGGATTATTTAAAATATATAAAAATACACATGCTTTATGAATGCAAGATACTCCTTTTATAGGTTCGAAATCTTTACATTTTTGGAATCCTTGAAAAATAGCAGAGATACTGCTCCATAGTAGATATCTCATTAAGGGAGCAGGAAGAATTTATGAAAGAATCTACTGGTTTATTTGCTCAATATGGAGAGTTCAATAAAATCATTGAATTATATGAATATTGTAACACATTGATGATTTTATTAATGTTTTAGAATATTAAATAGATGAGGCAATGCAGGTAACTTTATTTAGCGTTATTTTATGACAAGAAACTAAACATGCGAAGGAAGATTATCTTCAAAATTAAATGGCTTGAGGAATCTAAATGATTTTGCTTATTGTATTCTAGAATTGGGAAGAAAAATTTCAAACTATAGTAGCTAAGATAAAAAAGATAATACTAAAGATGTATATAGGAAGTGTAGATTACAGAATGAAAGTCTAGAGAATTTAGACAAAATAATAATTGATTAAGTTTTTAAGGAGATGCTGAACTTTGATATAGTATTGCTGCAAATTTTATATTAGATTTGTTAAACAATAATATAATTATAATTCTAATTTATTCAGAGATTAGCCCATGAAATATAATGAATAACACAGCTGTTCCCCTTTCAAAAATATTTCTCCTCAAAAGTTTTTCAAAGATTAGAACATAAATTTCAATAATAAAGTCAACCCTTAATAATATTAATTTGGCGAAATGAATTAGAGAAAATAAAATATGGTTTTTTAGGTACCAAACTAATAATTTAACAATATTTGTGGATATTAGAAAGTACAAAGCAATGATCCTTATTAATAACCATAACAATAATTTAACATTAAGTCTTTTTTATCTCCTCCCCATCCACGATAGGTTTAAGTTTAAGATTAGGAGGAGGAATAAAACGAAAAGTATATTGTGGAATTTAAAAAATTGAAAGAAGTCCTGAAAGAGAGAAACACTTAAAGAATAAAAAGATAATCGGAAATGCTGAATTAGGTACTAGTTGATGATTTCTAATAATGATAATATTATAATTCTATCATGCAATATATAATATCATTTTTTATTTTTTTAATATATATTAAATTAGTAGAAATCAATAGTGATTGAAAGGGATATCAATTGAATGAGGAAAGATGAATTAAAGGGCTATATTATATATTGAGAATTATTTACTTTCTTGATTTAAATCATAGGACTCAAACAATAGTTGGAATGGAGTTTCCAATTAGTCTTTGAATCTCTGAATCTTTTGGATATTAAAATAACCAATAAATTGGCATCTGGTTTTTTGATCTCTGGTTTAGGATGTTCTGATGACAAGGTTTTAGCTTAAAATGTTTTGAAATATTTGTAAAATCACAATTTACAAGATATTAACACAGGTTTCTATAGATGGATTGCCTTAATATTGGACACTTACTCTCAGATTGTTATGTAATTTGATCGCATTGTTGAGAAAACTGTTCAGTTGAATTTTTTTCAACTTAATATCCTTGTTGATGTTTTGAATCAGATGAACAAATATTAATTTTCTTTGTATGGATAGATATTTATTTTTGCAAAACTGATATTGATTTATCCTATTGAGAATTTTTACCATCAACTTGATGGTTGATTCATATTGCACTTAAATCAATTTTGTGTTGATTCTCTTTTCATAAAAAAACTCCTTAAATAATAATAATATGGTAGGTTTGTCTCCTTAGTAAATTGAAATTTCAGCCCTTATAGTTCTTTTAAGAAAATTAATCAAAAACGTATTGTTGAAAGTTTGTTAATTATTTTCTTAAAATTTCCTAATGAACCCATAGATAACATTCTGCATTGTTCTGTTCTAATGAGTGGCCTGTTTCAAAAATGAATAAGCTTCTTGCTCTGTTTTGAAGAGTTTTTCGCAATTTCTGAGTTACTTAACAGAGAAATGTAAATTCTCCTCTGAAAATTGTAAAATCAAATAAGACTGTTGCAGTAAGAGCTTCTGAAGAATGTCTTCCCATCTGGTGTCGGCCAAAGTCAATAAGTATTGGGATCGTTTCGCCTTGTTGTACTAATAATTGAAGTAATTGATGTAGAGAATCAAGAGAGTGGAGGTTACAAGTGCCGAATATTGCATGCCTTCGCTTTTAAATACACCCCAAAGTAATCTAAATATTTAAAGTGTTATTATCGTTATCATGCCATCAACATATTCTCCATTCAGGACCAATAAATAAGTTGCTGCCATCTAATTGACTCCTTAAAGCATGGCCATTTAGTTATCCACTCCTGATCTATCCTCGAAAGCAATAAAAAAGATAGTGACAGAATGATTTAATAAAATGATACCCAACCTCAGATATTAATTGTTTTTCCAAACAAAAATCAACTGCACAATTAGGTAAAAGAGCATTGATAAATTCAGAATAAACCCATAATTGTTTTTCTCGTGGCTTGATTATATTACTTTGACGACGAATGCAATTATGAATCCAAAACTTAAACTAATAAATGTACTCAGTCTCTTAGAATGCTGATTGGAAATCTAATATGATTGCTCAACTCTTGGGTCTTTGAAGTATAAGAATAGGGAATTCATAAATAAAATTTGGAAAATAATCTAAATTAGTAGTCATTATATAAAATTTATCCAGCATTATTTTCAAATATCCAATATTTTTCTTGTATTTTGACTCTGTTCTGATTTTTCAACACAATAATCTCTCGTTGAGCCCTAGAAGATGTCTTGTCCAACAGGATACTCATTACGATGAACTCGATAGTTATTAAAAATGAATTTTGAAAAATTAAAATATATACGTCATATGAATAAATTAATTAAAAATATGTACAATCAACAGTTCAACACTTCTCATAATGTGATCTCTCATAGAAGTTAAAAAAGTACAATGGCATGATTTTGTAAATTTACCCTATTTTTAATCTACTATTTTATATTTCCTTCATGAATAAATAAAAATATAATTTATAATATATGAAAATTAGTGCTTCTTCACTGAAGTAGACTTGGAAGGAATATTGGTGATTTTAGAGAGTTTTATAGATTTTTGAAAGTGAAGAATCAATATAAATAATAAAATTAATACAATATTTTGACCAGCATCCTCAGACAATCGACTTAGGAGATTGGTAATTGACAAGAAACTCTTCGTATTCCTTTAATTAAAACTAAAATGAGATTAACACGAATATTTACTGCATAATTTAGGTTAAAAGTATCAAAGTCTTGTTGCAGCCTAACCTCATCACAATCTGTAATCACCTTACAAATTAATTTTGGTGTTATGTAACCATAGGATTTTGACAAAACCTTAAAACTTGACGTGAGACAATCCTATGTAAGCACAAATTATTTATCGGCAGCCAATAATTGAAAATCCTCTAGAGTTATGTCAACGAAATCGGAAATATTAAGAGAGTACTCTTAAGGTTTTTCGTTGAAGAGTAGAATTAATTCTTACTCGTTCAATTTACCATCTTTGTCGAGGTCTGCGTTGGTGAATAGTTTGGTAAGAACCTTCAAATGATCAGTCGCATATATGGATAGAAGATATTGAAAGAGACATTTGTGTAGGTAGGTCATATTCTTGCATTTGGTGATGTTCGTGAAGGGTTACAAGTAGTCCTTGGGTTGAATCTACTTCATGTTAAGTAAATAAGGATGGAGCAAACATTTGTCTAGAGTCAATCTCTCACTTGGGGTATGATGAAGCATTTCAAACAATAAAGGATAGATGTCTAAGGCTTATTTGGCATAGGTTATTTCTGGTTTGAATTTGCTGATTTCTTCAATTTCAAAAGGAAATTACTGATTTAACAATTGTAAGGCAATTATAGCCAATGCCCAGATGTCATTGGATTAACTCCTGTTTTTGGTTTGTATGTTTTAGAGTTTGCCAGTATCTCTGTTGTGATGATGATGATTTGGTGAGTTGGGTGGTTCATAAAGAAGAGAATTCTTAGGATACATAAATTGATAGATGCTTCTGATGTCCGATAGTTTGATGAAGGGAGTGGAGGAATCATCGAAGACTGAGAAACTATCAATGGTCAATTCATCATGACTGTAGCCTAATTGATGAACGTATGCCAAGGCTTCTACCATTTGATAAAATATAGATCCGATGGTTTGGTATTCCAATTTGTTAGACTCTAAAAATTTTGAGAGTGTTCCACCTTGACAATGTTCATAAACCACTTGATAACTTCGTTTATGCGAATCAACGTGAATGTCTACAATCTTAATTATGTGCATATGGTCCTAAATTATTATTTTAGAGGGAATTACCAATCGAAGTTCATCTAACATATCGATGTATTGTTGATTTCTATTCTCAAATTTGAGCATTTCAACTAGTACGAGTTGTCCAGTTTCATTGTGTTACATGACCGTTTTGCTTTGGTTATCTTCAATACTATGACAAATATTTACTGTGATGACCTTATCCAGAGACAACTGAATATTTTCTGGATGCAGGGGATTGGAGGGATTTCGATCCTGGTTTGGTGCTCATTCTTTGCATAGGAATATTCAATAGAGATCCATTCCTGGCTTTCTCTTGTAATTACGTTGATTAGACAATCATAGTTTTTGGGGTGGAGTGCAGAGACGGAGAAACCCTTTAAACTGGAGTAGTTGCTTGATTTGGCGATGCCTTTTTGGCAGGAGTTGTCGCTTGATTGGGTGAAACACGACGAACTGGTGTTGTAATTCTTTGAATCGAAGTTTGCTCTTAACATTACAAAGTAACCGTTTTTTGCTCCCTTGTAGTTAGTGGCTACTGAGGTGGCAAGGTTACAGATTGATGTTTATGTTCTTTTACTTTCTTTGGTTTACTTTAAGAGGTACAAACTCCCATTATTGAAATCAATTATCAAATTTAAATATTATATCAAATTTAATTATTTTAGTACCAACTTGCATCAAATAGTCTTGCTATTTAACATCCATGTACTACTGATGTTTTATTTAAAATATATGATGTATATTTCTATAAGATATGGTAAAGTGTAAATTAATCAATTACATGTATTGTTCTGCAGATCTACCACACAGTTAGCTAACATGCAAGTAGTCATACTTGTTATTGCATTACATTAGTCACTTTGGTTTATATTTATAAATAAGTAATTGCCTGCTCCTTACAAATTGACCTCACAGTATCCACTAACACATTACGGTTGCACAAAGGTTTCGTACATTTTCATAGTCACCAAATTGATTTATTTCAGTGCCAATGGGTAATAGGTATTGAAATAGCATCTTAATTTATATTGCAAATTTATATTGTTGCTGGTTCTGATGATATAAATGGGAGTCAAGGGAGATTACTTACCAAAGACTTCTGCATACAGCACTGTCACTTACAACATCCCATTTGTTTCATACTCTGTCCATGTTATAGTAGCCAATCCAGAATATTATAATGATAAGTATTTCAAATGAACTTGGTTGAAATTAATAAAATTATACTGTGTATAATAATACTCTGAAAATGTCTTCAATCTTAAATAGTAAATGTCAAGCATTTCCACAATCTTATTCATGGTGCTCTTCTTCTGTGAAACAGCTAAACGAGTATCATCTCTGATATTTTGAATTGACTCATATATTATTCTCTCTAAATAATATGGATGCGAATATTAGGTTATCAATATTTCCGCAAATGAAATGTACAAATCCAAAATCTAATTTAACTCTTCATTCTATCTTGACAACACATCAAGATTATACAATCTTAACATATTAGTTATGCTCCTCTCTCCATTAATTAGATCACTTAGCAAAATACTTGTTTCTTGTATCACATCAATTGTCAAATCTGAAACATATCGCGAATAATACGCCTTTAAACCTGATGAGGTAATTTCATAACAAGTTTAAGCTAATTGAAGTGGAATGTAAGGAAGCGCTACACAGTAAAGTGTCAAAGCTCCAGCATTCCTACAGGCTGCAACCTCATCTATCAAATGACAATATTATCGATAACATTAACCAGACCATTAACAATACCCACTCTATCTACACATTCCTTCATTGTTAAACTAATTACAAGGAATCTCCCCCAAATTCAAACCATCCGATACTCTGAACAGTATCAATACTAGGCAAATCATAATTAATAATAAATTACTAAAATTATAAATAAATAACTCATTGCGAATAACAAACATACAATTATAAGTGTTAATCTACTTGAAAATGGACGTCGATTTCCTTATTGATTAAATAAGTCTATCCGAAACCAAGTTCATAGTTTCCCTCCTCATTAATTAATTTACCAAGTCCTTAGAGACACAATAAAATAGAATGCTGTTTTAGTTTGAATACCTTTGATTTCTCTTGAGCCTTCAATTCCAAACAATCCTAATTTGTCTATCAAAATAAATTACACAAGCAAATTCCTAGTACTTGGTTAAGTATTGTTTAACTGTATATTCATTAGACTGCTCGACAATTGGTTCAACATAGTTGGGCTACTTCATCTCACAAATTAGTATTTCTTTCATTGTTTCCACATCCTTCTATTTTGGAGTGAATCCGCATCTAACAACATTATCAGAATTCGCCATTGTTTCTATGATATTCCCTTTCAAATAAGCATGAATCAATCCAGCCTCCAATACTACTGCCTAACCAGGTTACAATATGAGATGGTTCATCAATAAGAGGAATAAATAGCCAACATCATATTTTTCAATTTTCGATCCTGGATCCAAACTTGGATTACATTTGACTGGCCATTAGAAGTTGTCTAAGATCTGTTTCACATCGTCTTGAGTCAATGATAAAAATATGGCCACTATTTATTTCAAAATGTCCTGAGCCTATTAATTTTGTGCAGCCAAAAATTGATTCCACAGATTTTCACCGACTTTCTATATTATTTGAGGATTCTAGAGAGTATGCTTATATTTAATACTCTGTCGATATTGTTAATGATGGTTTATTGATCGGCAAAGCCTACCAAAGCTTCAAAATTGGTTAAGGCAATAGCCATTTCTGGTTTGTGATTATCGTCAGGATATAGATTTGGTTTTGTTGCATGCAGAATCTTAGCTTACTCTTTATTGGGATGTATTTGAATGGAGAGTGGCTTAATCGATTAAATTTTGTACTTAATCAACTGACAACACTTTAAAGAGATACGGGAGATCTAAATTAACCTTTTCTCCATTCTCATACAAAGATGGCAATGATGGATGACTCCCCATCCAAAACTCAGCAAACGGTCTTACTTCATTAGATGTCTTTTGAGTCAACTTGTACACCAAACAATCTGGATTGGATGACAACATTCCCCAAGCATAATTTTGTGCTTAACCATGAAGTCTTTATATAATTTTTTATTACATAATAATTTATATTATAACAATTTAATACACTCCCTATCGTTGGAAAGGATCAGTACCATTGTAACAAAATCCTTCTAAAAAAGTGGATTATTGATTTGATAATTATTGATATAATATTGATTATGTTTTATTAAGGTGATATTTCCTATTTGATTGAATGAGCCTTGTTTAAATCTCATGATAGAATATTTCAGCATTGTTAATGAGGAGTATTTTAAAATTTCAAAAGAGCGGGAAATGAAAAGGTACTTAATTTGAAATACTTTATTGAGCGCATTAAAATAATTTGAAAATTAAATAAATGTTCACAGGCACTATCTCAGTAATATATGGTCCAATGGTAATATATTTTAGTAATGTAGTTTTCTGGAAAAACAAGTGAACTAATGAGGTTAGTTAAGAGATTTACAATTTCAGAGAGAAAATGTGTAGTCTTAAATTACGCTAATGATAACAGATACTCAGATGATTAGTGCATTTCTAGTCATGACAAGTAAGAATCTAGTTCTAATTTTAGATAATATTTGAAAGCCATAAAAGTGACCAAACTTTTTGATGCTTTTGAGAAATGCAAGGATTACGATGTCGTAGCTATTGATGAAGGCCAATTCTTTTGCGATGTAACTTATTATACAATATGCTTTTTAGATTGTTGAATTTAGTGAAGCCATGGCTAATTTGGGAAAAATAGTAATAGTTGCAGCTCTTGATGGCACATTCGACAGAAAACCTTTTCGTAACATTCTGAGTTTGATCCCACTGGCTGAACGTATCACCAAATTAACAGCAGTCTGTTGGTTTTGTAAGAAAGAGAATGCCTCATTCACTAAAAGAACAGTTTAATCTTAAGAAAGTATAAAAATATAAATATAATTTAGTTGAATTAATCGGAGGAGAAGATTGTTATAAGCCAGCATGTAGAGCATGTTTCAATTTGACAGAAAATAAATTCAACAAACATACACTACCATAAATCCCCATCCTCTCAAATGATGAAAGACTATTTGGTCAATAAAATTTGATTTGCTGAGACACTATAATTAATTAATATATTATAAATGATAATAACAATACTTTAATGATTTTCTGTAAAAATATGTGTATTGAAAAGAATAAGTATTCATATTTAGAAGGTGCTTAACAATTCAATTAATTATATTGTTCAGAACTAATTGTAATTTCCAATCATCTGTTGATAATTCTACTTATATAGATATAACTTATAATGAAAGGAGTGTTCGTTCCCTTAGAGGTTTAATGATATGAATTTGAGTATTATTTTGATATTTTTATTATAAATTTAATGAATAAAGCTGGAAGAGTAAGGTATTCGAGTCTTGATGAATCTCGAACCAATACTAAGAGATATTAAACTGTGTATACAGTTACAGATACAATAAAAACTCAAGTGAACAATCTTAAGTTTAACCATCATCCTTTGAGCTATTATATATCCAGGATTTGCAAGAATGTAAAAGAAATGCGAAGATATCGTACTGATGCTTACATTAAGAATCAACTCACCAAGATCTATGCTCAAACTATTCATCTCAAAGAGATCCATGATGTGTTCAAGGTGCCTATCCAATATATCAACGAAGATCTTATTCTCTCCAGATGCACCTTACAATTGATTTCGCAGATGCCGCATCAATATACTCTTCGTCCTCAATAACAACTTACCCATTTCCTTCAATGGATGGCCTATTTCGATGATTAAGTCTATTTGGAAATGCAAAGAATCCATGAAGGATACTTATTTCAAATTCAAAGGAATATCCAAGAACAATACACAACTAATGTTATTAAACAACAATAAATCAAACATCAAATCCACCCTCGAAAGAAAGACATGTACAATTATGTGAATCGACTCATTACAAAGCCCTCTTTTAGAACCATGAGTCGAATATCTGTCTTAGAGAATTATGAGACCAAGTTTGGTGAATTTCAATTAATTACACCATATGCTCGTAGTTATGCTAAACAGTTAGATACTATTTCTTAAAATCTCAACACAATTGAATGAATATTCTTGGCAATCATATATTATTATATCAATCATTAACCATATCTAGTCTCAATAGCCGAATTCATCGCTTTCTTGTTTAATTGCTATTATCATTATTAGATAAGGAGACCTTCAATGCATTTAGCTAAAACTTTAATTTGATCTTTCATCATCAACAAAGATAAGAATCAAAATCAAACAAGCAACTTTTGATATAGATAAAATAATAAAAATAACATAACGTGTTATTAAAAAGCTACCCTTTTTCATTTATAGAGATATCGTATATCACCAAAAATGCTGGTTATTTATGCGTTCAAATTTATTAATTTGGATATTTCATCTTCAAGAAATATAGGATTTAATAATGATTTCAATAATTTCTTTTTGGAGTTCTTGTAATTTCAAGGATTAATCAAAGGTAGATTGGATAATTACACAAAAACTGAAGTAATTACATCTTATTCACCAAAAAAACCTGTGATATTTCAATAATAAATTTTTCTAAAGAAATTCTTCACTAATTTTAGGCTAACTAGAACTTTACAGCGTATTTCCAAATTTTTAATTTTGATCTAAAATAAGAATCCTACTAGCAAATATGAATTTCCTTATTATAGTTATAATGATTAGAGTCACTTCATTCACATATTTATATCATTCTAAATCATTATAATTATTTGTTAAATATTTCAATTATAATATATTGTATTTTCATTACTTTAGAGAGATTTAGTATCATATCGATTATTCTCTTAAAATTCACCCTCAAAACCTTATTGTAATTAACTTTTAAAATATCATCCAAAAATTGTCTTGATTTATAGCTTAAATATTATTAAACCCTCAAAAATTGATTTTATGACTTAGCAATATTAATATTAATTATAACAGACATATGGATACCTCATTTGCCGGATTTACTTTTGGTGCAGATGAACTGGGAATCAACGGTAGTTTTAGTGCATAGAAGCACCCAAGAATAAGCAAATGCTCCCCTTTTTATCGGATGAATAAACCCTAAACGTAAAATTCAAGATCTTAATGTAAGTGAGTAGAAACCGCGATTAAGATTGCACTCTCCCAATAAGGAAAATGAGTTAATGCAAATTCGGAAGCCGGTTAGAGTAACGACATCACCTCATTCTCAGCATCATCAGATGAGTTACAAGGAAATTTGTGCTCATCTGATTTAACTGTTTAAGAGTTAGACTAGATTATACGAATAATTAATGATAGCAGATAACGTAAATATCAGGAATCAACTCCAAAAAGTTCAACTCAAGCATGACTACTACTGCAAATTGTATAATTAATAATGAATAATATGGCAATTAATAAGAATATATGAACAATTTTATATTTTCGATCTCCTAATGTGACATTACACTCTGGAAGTCACATCTACATTCTTTAAATTGAAGCAATAGAACTAAATGATTATTTTATGAAAAATAAATTAATATAGACTCTGAAAAATAAACTGTAAATTCAGGACAGCTAAGTTAAATTGCTCTAATTCTATAAAAAGTACTGCTTGCCAACATCTGAAACCTCCAGTATTATAGACATATTCTAAATTAGATTCCATAAAGTCCTTGCAAATGAAGGCTTACTTCAATTTGATAATGAATAAATCCTTTTTCTTTGGAGGACCCTTTTGTATAAAATATGGCATAAACATGGTTTCAAATCCAGCTACTATTATGTACTCCCCTTTATTTTTTATTGGGTACGGAGTCTGTAATAAAAGTATTATAAAATATAGGCTACTCTGCTTATGTGTACTTTGAAGGTCTGAGGAACAGAAACCTATCTGAAATTAACATTTTGGCTTTGAGAGAAATGTCGCTTCAAACCTATGAACATTTATTGTATTTGGATGCTGAATTTCATTTAAATACTTCTTCGAGATCAAATATCTACTCCCTGTATAAGGCCTAGAAGGGAATCGAATCAAACTTAAGGTCTTTGAACCAATATTTCCTCCCTCTTTTAGCAGACATTTCGTTAACGACAACCATACTTTGTTTTAATTTTGGTTGGCCATTCTTTACATCCTTTTTGGCAACATTTGCTGCCTATACTGCATTCACAATTCGGTATTCAAATGTATGATTGTTGGACTTATTTAATTAGTATAGAAGAAAAATAATATCACAGAGAAAGAAACAAGAAAAGTTAGCAGATTTTACAATTTCACAAGCTTTGGATAATCTATTCACAGTCAAATACTTCAGTGCTGAAAAGTATGAACTCAAGAGATACAATAATCTATTAGAAGTATCTAGATTATCTTAACAAGAAATTGCAACAATTATCAATTGATACTTTTAGAACATTAGCCACTCTCAATGCAGTCTAAAGATTTATACTCTCCATGGGATTGACGGTAAATTTAGTCTTAGGAGTCAGCGGTGTATAAGCTGGTGTAATTACTCCAGGCGATTTGATACTTATTCAGTCTCTTATGCTTCAATTGATTCAGCCATTATTCCAATTAGGAACCATGCACAGAGAATGGGTTGAATCTGCCATTGACATGAAGGACCTATTATAGATAATGACGAGAGTTCCCAAAATCCAGGAATTACCGAATGCAAAGGATTTTGTCTACCAGACAGGTTCAATCAGCATCTAAGACATTTCTTTCGAGCATATTCAAAATAAGCAATTGTTTAAGAATTTTAATTTGTAAATCAAAGGAGGTGAATGGATTGTCATTGTAGGTGAAAGTGGAATTGGGAAATCCACATTATTTAATTTAATTGTAAGTAATTCAGACTATTCATTTAGTTTAGGTTGTTGGATCCTTCCTAGGGAAATATATTAATTGATGACTAGAATATCAAGACTTTGAAGTTGGACTCATTTCGTAAATATTTTGGAATTGTGGCACAGCAATCGTATTTTTTTAATGATTCCATCAAAAACAATCTCTTGTATGGTCTTGACTTGATTTACGATCTTACACCTGAGATGATCAAGCAGAAGGAGGAGGAGATGAAGAGACTGTGTGCTTAATTGAAGTTGTCAAAGTTGATTGAATCATTGCCAAATCAATATGATACTTAGATGGGAGATTAAGCAAGTAAAGAGTGCTTGGAGTATTTAGATAAGTTTTCTGGGGGTGAAAAATAGAGATTACAAATCGTAAGGTGTTTGTTGAGGGGAGCCAAGATATTATTATTGGACGAACCCACTTCTGCTTTGGATCAAAACAATGAGCAATTCTTTATTGAGACCTTGGAATAGGTGTTGAAGATCCAAGATCTTACAGTGTTGATCATTACTCATAGATTGCATTTGACTAAGGTAGCAGACAAGATTTTGTATTTGGGGAAGAATTGCCAATACGAATATGTAAATATATTCAATTCTAAAAGAGGGCACTCATGATCAATTGATCAAGAATCATTAGGCTTACAATATGTATTGGGAAAAGTATTAGAAGCAATGAAAATTCAATTATTTTTATGCATCATACCAAATTGAATAAAAAATCAAAAGAATAAATTATATTATTTTATGATTCCTAATTTTGAACACAGTTTCCATTTAAAAGACAATATGCAGAACCATCCATAATCAGAATAGTGCTACTCTCATCCCCATAATTTCAGTTTAAACAATGATAAAATGAGAACCTATAGCGTGGATAATCTAAAATTAGATTTTGACAGATGGAATACTCAGACTCAAACAGAAGCGGCTAAGCAGGAATCCAACCCTGCAAATACTTTGATATAGAATTAAGTAAGAACGCTAATTTGACTGTCTAGCAAGTAGAATCTGAGTGCTAAATTAATGTTGATAATATCTTACAAATTAATCAGAATTGTATAAATTTCATTTGAATTTCAAGTTAATGAACCAGAACTCATTGATTTCAATAAAGTTATTAAATTCAATTCTGAGGAAACCCACAAAGAGGATCAATAATTACAATTGCAATATGAAAGGAATTATGAATCACACAACACTGATTTAATTGTAGTTCCAACACCTTCATAGAAAAATAAACTCAAAGCAGTTGGAAATATGTTTTTGGGAATATGGAGATTGCAATAGAATGTTGTTGAACCAATAAAATCTACAGTAAAATAGAACTAAATAAAATTAGGAATAATTTTATGATAATTTTGGATCAACTTAGCGTCATTTTAATAGCAATTATAAATAGATTCATCCAGCTAAAGATTCTCAGGATCTTAGATTAATGGATATTTTCAATTAATTCAAATTAGTATGTCTCTTCACTTAGCATTCTATGTCTGGTTCAAGTGAGGACATTCAAAATATGATTAAGATTCTTCAACGAGATCCAAAACGGTAATAATCTTCATAGAATTCTAGCAATCTGACCAATCCACAAGATCCAACTCACATCATAAACTAATTGAATTAGTATGGTCAAAATGCCCTTTATATTGCATCCAAGAATGGGAATGTTGAAGTGATTAAATTTTTGTTGTCTCTTGAATGCAACCCACACATCAGAAGTCGGATTGTTGAGGATCTCACTGAAAGTCCTTTAGAAGTTTCATCAAGATGGCACCATTTGGAATGTGTAAGATTGTTGTTGAATGCTGGCAAATATACTAATGCAGAATTGAGATCAGCAATTAAGGTAACTGAAAATCAAGAAATAATCAATTTGTTGAAATTGAATATGACCTCCTCTCTTTTCTCTTGTTGTCTTTGAATTTAGAATTTTGATTAAATAGAATTTATGTCATATTTTTCATAAATTAATATTTTGTTGTTGTATTTCCTACATAGTGATATCAAAATAGAAATCATCAGAGTTCTAATACTAAATTAACTTATTCTAATTTATAGATATAATACTTTATAAATTGTAACAAAGATAATTAATGTAATTTTACACAAACAAATAATAAGAACTAATAAATACAATTCAATTTTGTTTCAGTATTTCTTATAATTTTTAGTCATTCAGTTCTATTTATTACTATTCAAGAACTTCAACATCTATATTTTCTTCTACGGCTTCTTTTTGAACATAATCAGGAGGGTATGTCAAGAAAGGAATTTCACCTCTTTGCCAATCCATAAGAATCAATTTAGCCGTTGATTTAGTATCAGCCTCACCACCCTATTGATAGAATCGGAATATTTACCTTTGCCAATTTACCTTTCTTGACTGCTACTTTCTTCAAGAAATCGTGTTCATCTATCCAATCATCAACATCGTAAATTCTCTTCAAATCTGAAGCCCTTGCCTTTTACAACAAAGCTGGAATGTAATATTCAGGATCTTCCAATTTCTCAGCTCTGACACATCCCTTCAATACAACTTCAACATCATCTTTTCCCTCATGTTGATAGACAACTCCTGGACAATCAATCAAATAAATTCTTTTTGTCAAAGCCACGTACTGCCATACTCTGGTTTCTCCTGGAACTGGAGCAGCCTTACAAACCTTTCTCTTTTTTAATGAGTTGATAACAGAACTCTTTCCAACATTTGGATATCCCACAAAACCAATTGAAATAGTTTACTTATCTCTATGGAATTTGTCAAACTATCTCAACAGATTTATGAATGGACCCTTACCAAAAGCCTTATTCACATTAGCATGGTAGGCAACAGTTGGATATTCCTTAGATAGATATTGAACCCATCGAGATGTCAACCATGTAGGTATCAAATCGCATTTATTTATTAGCAATACCAAATGCTTATGGGGACAATTCTTCTTGATATGATTCTCTAAATGATATGATCTTGTGCCCATTGGATCTCTTGCATCAAGAATACAAACCAAAACATCAGATGAATCAATCACCTTATACAGTTCTTCCCAAATTCTCTTTGATTGTCCAGCTGTCAACCTTTTATCTCTATTTTCCTGTTAGACTGCTTCAACAGGATTCAATTTCTCATCCTTCTCCACTACGTATGTTTGCTCCTTTTGCTCAGCATGATCTGCCAATCCTTCCATAGTTTCTACATTTAACTTAATTCTCTTTCTTTTTGATTTAGGTCCATATGTGTCCTACGAGTTGTTAAGGATAGATATACTTCATAACTCTCCAATTCCAAAAGGGGTACGTTCTTGTTCTTTTTCTGTGCTTCCACTAACAATGACAATGGCAATTGTTTGGCCTTGATCAGAACACTTCTAGGGTCATGAGTTCTATTAGCCATTTCTTATCTCAATTTATCTAGCTATTATTGATCGATGGTTCTGATGTTTCCGAACCACTTTCTATTTGGATCAATCCTTGCAGGTTGGGTTGCTTGTTTCCACATTTCCTCCCTAAGAATTCTAAGGATTAAATACTTGTTGGGTTTCTCATTGTACAGATTCAATCTCTAAATTGTTTATTTTGATCTGAAGAATTGATGCTTAGCATTCAATTATTTTTCAGGTAGTTTTCTATCTGGATTAGTTGAGGCTCCACTCTTGGACCCTTTCTATGCTGCTTTAAATTTAGTGTTCATCTTCTTCTTAAAGAACTACCCCTTGCTACGCTTAACCATTAAATAATAATTAATTATCAAATTAAACTTTCATTCATTTATATTAACAAATACATTTATATATCACTAAATTTTAAAGGTTCTTTCACAATTTGGACAGAAACACTGCTTGCCCAATCGATAATCTTAAATAAATCTGAATTCGCAATTTGGACATTTATTTAAATTCTCTTGATACTTTTCGAAAATTGATTTTATTTACTTCTGCATCAAAGATCTTATGAATTATTACCCTTACGGCAATTTTAGCAGTACTTATTGTTTTATATCTTGTCCACATAAACATTAAGGAGGCTTTTTCTTCTGCTTCTGTTCAATCTGATAGAGTACCATTTCTGAAAGGCATTCTTGATGATATGAATGACAACATATAAACTTGATTGGTTGATCCTAGATTTCTGATTTGCAATAGTAACATATGGGGTTATAAGTTTACATAAAGTAGGATTTAGTGCAATTAAGTGAAGTATTTTTTGTTGATAAATAATTTGAAGCCGGTCTTTATCTTTCAATCTGTTATTAAGTATGGATTGAAGGTATATCAGGCATTCTAAATTCATCACAACTCAACTCTAATTGCTGTTTCTTTAGAATATCCTAATAATATTAGTTTTATTTCTCGATTTATTTATATTGTTATCTTTGCTATCTTAATACTATATCTATCTAATCTGACAGGCTTTTCGGTTAATTCCTCTAATAGAATTGACAATTTTAATCATGTTTCTATGTCATTTGATCACTGCCTTCTGTATTCCGCTTAGAACTAGAACTTTGAATTTGTTCATTCTCGCATTCCTACTTCAATTACAAATTGTGATAATAATTTAATAGAACTTATGGAAGCTGGGGTGACTTAACTTTTGTAATCTGCTCTCCTTCATTCGTAGAGATGGATCTCAATTTTATTTATTGTTATTGATTCTACAAGTTCTCACGATATTCTGAGTCCCATACATCCTGTTGTATTTGCCTTAGTCGAGTATTTTTATTATCCAATTAAAGTGTAAATTGATTTGGATAATTAAGATTATTGCTTTACAATTTAAAATAATGAGAATTTCTTATTGCCATTCCAATATCAATTAAGTTAATTAAATTATAATTAAAATAGGCAAATAACATACTTACCTAATTGAAAACTATAATTTGATTAAAACTGCTATGTATTATTAAATTCCGATTATACTTGATGAGGAATTTACCTCATTTATAATATTGTTCTTGATGACAAATCAACTCAAAATTGTAGTTCTGAAATAATGAAGAATTCTTGTTACTCTGTATCAGAATATCGATGTTTTCTTAGGGTAATAAAATAGGGAGGTGAAATAGTATACTTAATCCAGGAATTCTTAGGTCAAAATACAGAGAACTGTTAATATTTTGATAAAAAATAAATGTCAATTAATTTTAGTATATAAGCCAGTGGAACTCAGAAAATCATACTGAAGAGGACTAGCACAACAAATTTACTAGTAAGATTACAATACGTATTTCAATTGAAATGTTGCTAATCTGACTATCAACAGTTGCAATATTACATGAATAAAATAATTCTGTTTAATTTATAGTTATACGTATAATTCTTTTATGTAAGAATTTCTTAGAAGGAATACTAATAATGATAAAAAAATAACAGTGATTGTTATCAGGTTAAGATTTATGATAGGCCATTAAAATGTGTTGTCGTCAGGGGAGAGTAGTTCTAGTTATAGGTTTCCATGTTATTAATAAATAAAATATTATATTTGAATGTGGAGCCAGACAATTACAATAATTTTATGAATTTTCAAGATTATGATCTATCTTCGTAATTAGATCAAAACAGAACTTCAAACTCAAAGGAATAGCATAGGATATTGTGAATTGTAATTAAATTGTATAAGTATCTTAATATCAAATAAGAAAACGAATGTGGATCAAATGAATTCTTAAAGGAATAGCTAAATTTATGATCAAATTATTTGACGGTATGATAATTTCAATTGGTAAATTTGAGTTCATTAATATTTTCACTTACAGGCATTTACTAAATTTTAATTATTTTATTCATTTTCATATTTAATATTTTATCCAATCATGAATAAATATACATTAAATTTCAGAGATAAAGAGATTGAATCTAGCTATCAAAACGCGATTTAACAAAGCTTTAGAATGTTCACATTCAATATTGTAACATTTGGACTCCTCGCTGTTGTGGTAATAAAAATTGTAGAGAACATTTTAGTAGAGGAATATCAATATATTTCCAAATATTGCATTTTTATTTGCTATTTGCTAGTCCAATATGGAATCATCAAGAAATACAAAAAGTATATGCGAATTGCTATAATACTATTGAATCACATGTTGACCCTCATATTTAGTCTGCAAATATCAGCCTAAGAAGATTCTTATAACAATTATCTAAAGGGAGTCAATGTTATGGGTGCAAACTTCTTGATGTTCATTTCAGGTGAGTTTATGGACACAGCCATCTCTGCCATAACAATGAGCGTGATGAGAATTATATTGGTAAGAATCCAAGCCAACTACATGCAGTTCTCCACCATCATTAGTTCAGTACTTGTCATCTTTTGCGTGATTCGTTACTTGTATCATTATCATAAAGCAATGCGTAATCAATACCTATTCACACTAAACGATTCCCATTGGGAAAAAATCCTAAATTCAATTGCATTTAAACAACCCTACCTCATGTTATCTTTCATAGAAGATACCCTGCAATTCACATTAAAATCGGAAGCCCAATGTCAGAAATTTTTTAAAAAATAATTTGATGGCTCAACTTTTATAAGAGATTCAGTATACAAAGGAAATAAATTGGAGGCTTTCTTATTTACACAAATTCAGAAGTATCGCGTAGACAGAGCATCTGTTTTCAACAAGACCTTGGTCGTAGAGTACCTAAGAAAAATGATAAGAATTGAATGCTCCATTTATTATGGAAACAAACCAACAATACTTCTTCTTATGAGAGATTTCCTAAATGAATAAAAGCCAGACACCTCAATCTACGAGTTAAGACATAAAAATTTTATAAGGCTCCTTCTTAAGATTTTAGGTCATTTAGATAAGTTATCTTCATTTAAATGCCGTCTCCTGGAAAGAAAGCTCTTAATTTTACAGTTGTACGAAGACCTTAGACACTCAAAGTTACGTGAAAGTGAGGTAAACGTCTATAATTTAGCACACATCTTACACAATCTGTATTCTCATCTGTCAGTTAAGGCTTTTGTGAATGGGAACAGTAATTTAAATACAATTTCTAATATATTTTTGTTGATTATGTTGATTTTAGCGGAAAACTCTAAAGGGCCATATCTTTCTATTACATTAACTAATGAGGAGAATAGTTAGAAATGGCTAGCTATATCAAGTAATTTTGAAATAGAGAAGGTAAAAAGAGCATTAAAATAAATATCAGATTACATTAAATTGATTAGTTCTTGTTAACAAATTGAACAATTCAAAATTTCGTTCAATTTAAATTAATAAATCTATATACCATTTCAACTAAATGAGATTAATGCAAGAAGTCTAAAACATATTGAATTATAATGATCTTTTATTATTTTCTTTCAATCCAATTTTTAAATCTTAATTTACATTTACATTAATAAATAATTAACACTAAAATTCAGTAAAATATTAAGAGTGAATTGAATTAGATTTTATCAACCAGAGATATTATTATGGATCTCTATTTTATAAACTAAGATAATATACAAAATCAAATAAAAATAATGGAATGAATTCGACCTAATAAATAGATTGAAGAAAGGATTCTTAATTTGAAGAGATGGATTCTAAGACAAGTGAGCAAGTCTGAGGTTAAAGCCATGAGAGAAAGGATTTACGAATTGAGCAATACAATGGAATAATTGAAGGAATAGGAGTACAATATAGTATGAGTACACAACCAGAGGCATTGTTGAGTGAACAATTGGAGGATCAGAAACGTTGATTAGTGAGAAAGCAATGAAAATTTATAGAAATGATTATTTAAAATTATAATTGATAATGCAATAGTAATTTGAATAAAGTGTAAGAAGGTTAGGAGATTATTAATTTGATACGAAATATCTTTTGGGAGAAGGGGCATTCGGAAAGGTTTATAGAGGGAGTAAATTGACTACAAACTAGGAAGTAGCTATTAAAAAAATAGATAGCTCAATGATCAATAAGGATCAATATTTAATCGATGCATTAAGTATCTATGTAGAATGAAAATGTTTTAGACTTTGAGATCCAAATAATGAAGTAACTTGATCATCCTAATATTGTGAAGTTTATAGATAAATTTAATACGGATCGCTCAATCTACATAGTCACAGAATATTGCGCAGATGGAGATCTGAGAAATATAATGAAGGGAAGACGCATTCCAGAATCTGAAGTTAACTAGATATTCAGTTAATTGGCAAGTGGATTTAAGGAATTGGTTAAGGCAAACATAATACATCGAGATTTGAAGCCAGCCAATATAATGAATCATAGAGGAGTAGTAAAGATTGCGGATTTTGGATTTGCAAAAATAGTTGATAATTTTAGCGGGGAATTATTAAGAACATGTGTTGGATCTCCATTATATATGGCTCCTCAAATTTTGAAGAGAGAAAAGTATACAACAAAATCTGATATCTGGTCATTGGGAATAATCTATTATGAGATGGTGTTTGGTATGGCTCCGTGGTCGGGAGTGGATGAAAAGAGTTTGACTGCGAATGTGATGAAGCAACCTTTGAGATATCCGGGGGGGACTTAATTGTCTGATTTCGGAAAGAACTTTTTGAGCAGAGCTTTGGAGAAGGAAGAGAGTAAACGAATGGAGTGGGCAGAATTATTCAGCATGTTTGAGTCAGTGAAGAAGAATGTAGATGCCATTTAATTCAATGTAAATATGAATGGTAGTTACATTTTGGAACAGCCATAACCTCAAATTCAACCTCAATAACTACTCTAGAGTGATGCATCATTCCAAAGATTTCAGAGTCAATTGAATAACTATAATTTATAGAGGATGTAAATCAATTTTTCTCATTTTGTTAACGTGGAAATGACTCAGCATATTTCCGCAATTGCACAGCACTAAAAGAAGGAAATGTATTTCGAGTTGCTTTGTTTGTTATCAGCAAAATTCATAGCCAACTCATTTAAATTGCTGTAATCTAATGTTCTCTCCTTATTCGAATAGTACAAAAAGACGACTGAGTACATACGATTTATTAGTCAAATGTAATAGGAGAGTCAGTTGGCATCAGAATTATTTAATAACACTATGCTGTACTTTGAGAGAATAGGATTGCTCTCCAATCTGAGATCTTCGGCTGAGTTTTCTTAATATATTGAAGGAGGAGATTTAGCTTTAAATCAACTAATTTCAGTTGAGAAGATAATCAAAGAGAGAGTGATTAGCATTTCAAAACAGGTGTTGCAAAGTGCAAAGGAAAATGACATATTTTGTTTATTAGATTACATGATGGAGATGTGTCTAACTAGAAGTAAAATAATGAATGGAAATACGAATATAGATTTCTCTTTGATATATGAAAAAAAGTAAACATCAGATTATTAAGCCTAGCTAAATTTTAAATTAAATGAGTTATATAGTTTTTGAAATTTATCATTGTTCATATGATTTATTTTTTTATTAAAACACTGAAGTTTAGTCTTCCTGCTTGATTCCTTTATCTCGAGCACTTTTCTATACTTACTCAACCAAAATTTGATGCTCTCTTTTATTATTCAAATACCATTTGCATGCACATCCCAATCCCATAATCAGTATCAATCCAAACAAAACAACAATCAAATATAGTAAGTATTGCTCTTCTTCATAGAAGTATGTCTTAACCACCTCCACATTCACAATTTGAGTGTGTCTCATAACTAAATCTTAAACATTCTCTAGCGTATTGTTGTATTGGAGGGTGTATGTGAAGGTTTGACCAACTTAAATAATATCAAATGCAGTACCATCAGATTAAGAATACAGACACTTCAATTTGATTGGGGCTATCTAAAATCGAGTAAGAAAAGCACTCTAGGCAGTGATTCCAAAGAAGAAGTCATCATAATAATATTCTTTGGTGACATCGTCCTAGTCTTCCAATCTGTAGGATTGATTAAAGAACGCGAAGTCTCGTAAACCCAAATGTTTGAATATTTAATCTTGATGATGATTCATTACATAATCATACCCATTTGCAAATAAAATCATATGCTAATTCACTCCTTAAACAATAACAAAGTCTTCTGTGGCATCCAAATCAATTATTCGATGATTAATCTGTTTTTTTCTGATTATAAAGCTATTTCCATTATCTAAATCAACATTGAATTCATGTACATAATAATGATTCATTGATTAATAGGCCATAAATACATTTCGACCATTTCGAGTGTCCACTGATATCCCACCTGATTAATAACTAATCCAGGATCTTAATCCAAAACTAATAGATTGGTCTCTAAAAACATCTACCAACAATAAACCATAACTTCTATCCAATAACAACAATGAATAATAATTCTCCTTTGTTTGATGCTTCAATATAGCGAAATCAGCAATATCTATTTAATAATTCAAACCGAGATTATCCAACTTCAAATTCTTAAGGAACTTTAGATCCCTCTGTACAATCTTATAGACATCTAAACCATCTCTCCCTACAACACTAAACACTAAGCCATCTATTTCCTTTGTTAATCCTCTGTACTTTCTTCTTCGCCAATCATTTATTTAATACACATCAAGTGAATCAGCTTACTATTCCATTTATTAGACACTAAACACTTGAGCACTATCACTAAACAACAAAAAAACGAGATTATTAGAAGGCGCAAATAATAATTGTGGCAGTTCATTCTTAGCAACCAATGATGGGGCAATAGTTTAAAGATCTGCTTTCAATTGAATCCTAGCAAACTATTAACCTTTCTCTTCAAAATCATGTTCGAAAACAGTATCATAATTAAATTTCAGGATGTATGCAATTGAATCAGAAGTAATTGCTAACATTCCATCTTTTATATGAATCATTGAAACAAATTAACGAAAATTGAGAACAGTGTCTTGTTAGAAATCACTTTCCGCAAAATCTTAATGCTAAATTATTCTGAATTCTTAGGTTTCAAATTAAACCTGCAGTGAAGTGACCTCACAACCTTTGCTTTGATTAAATGATTTGAGAATTGCATCTCGAGCACCATCAAATATGATAGATCTATGTTAATTTGGATGCATTTTGATTAATAATGGTGGCTCATTGATCTCTGTGATAGTGAATTCTATTGAAGTAACTATAAAATAGGCGATCAAAGAAATTTATAAATAGTTCATTAAATTTAATTTATTAATAGTTTTTCGAAATATTAGATTCTCTAGCATCTCCATTAGTTCAATCAATTGCTCTAAAATGATTATTTGATTCTTTTACCACAAATTAATAATAGAGGCAGAGTGTAAAAAATGTTAATGAAACATAATTCAATTAGAATGTATATTGATGATTCTTTTTAAGTACATGAATAAAAATAAGTAGTAATAGTATTCTTATATCATATTGCATGTCAGTAGGGCATTAAATTGTTTATTGTACTAATTTAAAAATCTAAAAATCTCTAAATTTTATCCACTTCTGAGAGATCTTAGAATTTAATAAAATATTTTTCTCTGTGATAATGCAAAACTTATATTGATATTGATAACTATGAGGTAATGGATACTTTCGATAATATATATACAATTTGAAGTATGATTTTGAGTTTCTCATAATTTTAATTATGATAAGACTAATCACAAGATGTAGGAAATGTTTTACAGAATTACAAATTATATATAAGAAGATTGTTTATATAATATATAACAATACATCTTTATAAGATTTAGATAATTATGAAAAAATTAAAGTATCAACTTATAATTAGAACATATTAGATTTAAAATTAATTTATTACGGTAGTTTTAAAATGCAATTTTTTTTTTAAATAGATAGTAATGGTAGAGATTGGAAGAATGAGAAAAAGAAGAAAACTAAAATAACATATTATACATTATAAAAATTGTAAGAAAAATTTCAAAATATTTGGCTATTGAATTTATATTTTGAGGAATTACTTTGACAAGAGAAAAAACGGATTCAAATTGAATTAAAATAATTTATCAATATGTAAATTACACATAATTATTGTATTTTACACATTATTAATGATAAATAAGGAATACTATTAAATAAGCAATATAAACAACTCCTTATATTTATAAATGATTGAATAATTATAACAATTCAATATATATTGCATAAATATATCTAAATCATTTGGTTTAGTAGTCAGAGATTCTAAATAATGAGGAATTAATGTTCAAGTTCTGCCAGATTCAACTGGATTATAAGTATAAAATATCAAAAACTTAAGGAATATTGAAAATTTGTTAGTTGAAAAAACTGAATTTTTTAATTATTGCTTTTATTATTCATTGAAATGAACTATATAGTTTTAATTAAATTGTAGAATGTTTAATCATTGTTAGTACAGATAGTATCAATTAACGAATAGAAAATGGACTGCTAAATGTTTTAACTATTATATTGGAGTCTCTTGATATAGTTTCATATCATCGAAATCCTCAAAGTACTTCAAGGCCTATTCTGCGGTTATTCGTTTACTTGGATCCAATTCCAACATCTAAAGTATGATTTTGGCAAACTCCCCGTGTATCTCTTACTTAATCAATTCACTCAGATCTCCTATGAATTGTTGGTCAATAATTTAATTGCTGTTTTCCTATAACAAATTCTTTCCTGTTATTCTAGACAGTAGATATGGACATCTTACAATCTAAACAGTACAACGCCACAACTGAACATATCACATAATTCATTGTAATTGTGTTTTTGATCAAATGTAATTATTTCTGGAGCAATATATCCAGGTGTACCACACCTTGGTCTGTTAGTGGATACATCATCGATCTTTACTGCGAATCCAAAATCAGAAATCACAATATCAATTAAAGAATCCTTCTTTCTCAACAAAATATTCTCAGGCTTGATATCTCTGTGAACGAAGCCTTGATTATGTATATAGGCTAAGCCAGAGAGCAATTACTAAGGTAGCGAAATACTCTTACACACATTACTGCAATAATTTCGGAGTTATCCAAAGAATGGTTTTCCAAATACTCTTTTAATTAACCTCCTTCACAATACTCCATTATCAATAGCCAATATTTCTTGTGCTAGAATATACTCTTTAACTAAACGACATTTCTATGTTTTAAGGATTACAACGCCGCTATTTCGTCTTGAATGTCCTAGTTGTAAATACAAAATTCATTACATCCAAAGAAGTCATCAAATCGTTTCTCAAAGTCTTGGTTGCATACATTTTTCCATCTTGTATATTCTTTATGAGCAAGACCTACAATAAATTGTTTCTGCTTACCTTCCCAAAGTTGCCTTCTCCAATAATGGTTTATGGTTTGTAAAAGGAATTGATATTCTTATAAACTACTTTGCTATCAAGCTTATCCTTCAGAAACACACAATCCAAATGAGAAATGAGAAAATATTTCTCTTTCTTTGCAATTTCAATGGTGAATCCTTTGAATTGTTTTTGCTAATCCAATTTCCATTCCAAAATGGTGGCTNTATATTGCATAAATATATCTAAATCATTTGGTTTAGTAGTCAGAGATTCTAAATAATGAGGAATTAATGTTCAAGTTCTGCCAGATTCAACTGGATTATAAGTATAAAATATCAAAAACTTAAGGAATATTGAAAATTTGTTAGTTGAAAAAACTGAATTTTTTAATTATTGCTTTTATTATTCATTGAAATGAACTATATAGTTTTAATTAAATTGTAGAATGTTTAATCATTGTTAGTACAGATAGTATCAATTAACGAATAGAAAATGGACTGCTAAATGTTTTAACTATTATATTGGAGTCTCTTGATATAGTTTCATATCATCGAAATCCTCAAAGTACTTCAAGGCCTATTCTGCGGTTATTCGTTTACTTGGATCCAATTCCAACATCTAAAGTATGATTTTGGCAAACTCCCCGTGTATCTCTTACTTAATCAATTCACTCAGATCTCCTATGAATTGTTGGTCAATAATTTAATTGCTGTTTTCCTATAACAAATTCTTTCCTGTTATTCTAGACAGTAGATATGGACATCTTACAATCTAAACAGTACAACGCCACAACTGAACATATCACATAATTCATTGTAATTGTGTTTTTGATCAAATGTAATTATTTCTGGAGCAATATATCCAGGTGTACCACACCTTGGTCTGTTAGTGGATACATCATCGATCTTTACTGCGAATCCAAAATCAGAAATCACAATATCAATTAAAGAATCCTTCTTTCTCAACAAAATATTCTCAGGCTTGATATCTCTGTGAACGAAGCCTTGATTATGTATATAGGCTAAGCCAGAGAGCAATTACTAAGGTAGCGAAATACTCTTACACACATTACTGCAATAATTTCGGAGTTATCCAAAGAATGGTTTTCCAAATACTCTTTTAATTAACCTCCTTCACAATACTCCATTATCAATAGCCAATATTTCTTGTGCTAGAATATACTCTTTAACTAAACGACATTTCTATGTTTTAAGGATTACAACGCCGCTATTTCGTCTTGAATGTCCTAGTTGTAAATACAAAATTCATTACATCCAAAGAAGTCATCAAATCGTTTCTCAAAGTCTTGGTTGCATACATTTTTCCATCTTGTATATTCTTTATGAGCAAGACCTACAATAAATTGTTTCTGCTTACCTTCCCAAAGTTGCCTTCTCCAATAATGGTTTATGGTTTGTAAAAGGAATTGATATTCTTATAAACTACTTTGCTATCAAGCTTATCCTTCAGAAACACACAATCCAAATGAGAAATGAGAAAATATTTCTCTTTCTTTGCAATTTCAATGGTGAATCCTTTGAATTGTTTTTGCTAATCCAATTTCCATTCCAAAATGGTGGCTAATCCAATTGTGATTTCATATTTGATGTTGTTCTAATCCTAAGGGTGAGATTCATTTAACATACTTTCCCTATTTGGATTGAATTTTCGGTTAAGTAAAGAAAATAATGCTAATCAAAAAGACATTTCCTTCTTTTACAGATCATCAATTTAATTAATTACAAAGTGTCTTCATATATATATGATGACTTTTATTATTGTTATAATTCAACCAAACCAACTAAAAGCTAAGCACTGAAAATTAATCTGATTTATATTATAAGATAGGTAGTATTAATTTATAAGAATCACAGAACATATTCTGAATTCTCCTAATTAAATTAGTAAATGATATGATCATAAATGGTACATTGCACAATAAAACAAGATGTGGAATACCATTAAATTAAAATCGGAATTTCTGAATAATAATATTCTCAATAATATTATTTTAATAAGATTTAATGTCAGGCCTCTTCTACAATATAGGCTATTTCGGAGCCAAGTATCCATGCCTTGTGTTCGTGATTTGCATGACAGTAACGGGTATAATGTCTCTGGGACTATACAATCTGACCGTGTTGACAGACCCATAGTGTAAAGAATATTGAACAATATATTTTTCAGCATTGTGGGTATCATCAAGCAGTAGAACCTACAAGGAACAGGAGAGTTCTGCAGAGAATTATGGTCCTTTCTACAGAACCAATTAATTTATACTGGCATACCAGAATGAGGACTGGGTGAATGTATTCTAAAAGGATGGATTAAAAGTGATCTACTTTTTATAGAACATCATAAGAAACAGAAAAGTGTTGATAGGAGGCAAGAACACAACTCTGGATGATTTGTGTTACAGACCAATATCTGCAAAAGGGTGTTACGTACCAAGCCCGATGGATATTTGGTTACAGGATCCTTCACTATTAGATGTTTCTTAATAGTATTATTATAATAGAAAGACGAGGACATTCAATTCACAACGCTTTGCACAGAATCAATCGATGTGAACCAAACGAACATCCCATGCAGTGATAAGAACGGTATTCCCATTATTTTAGAATCAGTATTTGGTGGAATGTATAATAATGATGTATATTCAAAACTAGAGATTGTGAAGAAAGAGCAAACGATACCCAGCCATGCGATCATTGTTACATTCAAGCCAAGACTATGTCAGTAACTTACCTATTGATGAACGATGAATTCACTAAGAAAGATGCTGAATTGTGGGAGAAGGAAGTTTGGATGGACACTTTGGATGCCTTGAATAAAAGAGACTATGCTAAACTATACAAGTACTATGACAAATCCTTGATGCCTGCTCCTCGCGAATAACTGTTAGATTAATATAGAGTGGCATTTATGGCAGAGAGATCAGTCTCAGATGAAATAGATGATGAGACTAATCAAAATGCTTGGATTGTTGTTGTTTCTTACTTTATGATGTTTATGTATATTGGATTTGCAATTGGTCAATTTCCAAGTAAGATCTATAATGGATTTACATTGGGTTTGGGTGGTATCTTCATTGTGGCTGTCTCAATGATCAGCAGTATCGGAATGGTCTCGTATTTCAGCATCGGTTTGACTATGATCAGTTTAGAAGTAATTGAATTAATAATAATAATGTAAGGTTATTCCGTTTCTTATTTTGGCTATCGGAGTTGATAACATGTTTATTATTACACACAACTACAAAAAGTAGAAGCATCCAACAGTGCCTGAGAGAATGGGTCAAACATTAAAGTAAGTAGGTCCTAGTATAACAATTGCAGCTATTTGTGAGACTCTTGCATTCTTAGTTGGATCTTTAACTAAGATGCCAGCCTTGCAATCCTTCTGTATTTAGGCAGCAGTAGGTGTATTTATAGATTATCTTTTGTAAATCACCATGTTTGTTGCCTTCCTCACTTTGGATGAATAACGAAAGAAGCATAAAAGATACGATTTAATGATTTGCAAATAGGATCCAAATTATGCAATCAAAGAAGACAGAAAACTCATTCAAACTTTCTTCAAAAAACATTACTCTCCATTTATATAGAAACCAGTCTGTGTGATTATTACAATAGTCATCTTTGTGGCCTTATTTGCCATAAGTTGTGTTGGAATAACCAAATTAGAAGTTGGTTTAGATGAATAAGTATCGATGGTTGAGGGATCTAATCTATTCAATTATATGACTTTGGAGAAGAAGTACATTGAAATTGGACCATTGGCTTATCTTATTCTAGAGAATCTAGATTATCAAGATCAACATGATTTAGAGTTGGTCGCCAATCTGTCCAACTCATTGTCTTAATTAAATGAAACAGTTTAACCTCCAATTTACAGTTGGGTGGCTTCTTTCAATCTCTTTATAAGAGAAAAAGCAGAATGGACGTAAGCTTGTGAAACTCAGGATATTGCACTCTATGACTTACCTACTCAATTAAAGCGATTCTTGGGGGTCAGAATCAATTCTCCCTGTTGTCAAAGATACGGTATTTGTGGTGAAACTTTTGAAGCTGATATTGTACTCAATGAATAAGGTTATGTCAAAACCAGTAGACTCAGATTTCAACATAGACCCATTCATAATTCAGCAGGATATATATTATCTCTAGAATAAACCAGACAAGTCATTGATAAAGTAGTTAAAGATGCCAATCTTAAAGAAAATCAGAAAGTCTATCCTTATTCAATGCCGTATGTCTTCTATGATCAATATTCTTATATTCGTGCAGTTGCCATTACAAATGTACTCCTTGCCTTAGCTACTATCTTCTTCACCATGACTCTTGTTTAAGATGTTGTTTGTGCTATCATAGTGGTGTTGTTTGTGTTCTTGATTGCCTTCAATCTCATTGGAACCATCTGGTTAACCAATGTTATTTTTGGAGGTTTTGTTGTAAAGATACATTGTTATTTTAGATTGAAATTAATGCAGTAAGTGTAGTTAACTTGGTGACTTGCATCGGTCTGGCTGTCGAATTTGTAGCCCATATTGTTATCAAATTCAGATTGTGTGAAGGTAAAAGATGGGACAGAGTTACTGGAGCTATGTCTACAATGGGAACTTCAGTCTTTGTAGGCATTGCTTGTACTAAATTTATCGGAGTGGCTGTACTTGGATTCGCTCCATCCACTCTTTTTAAACTCTACTATTTTAGAATGTATATATTGATGGTTGTCTTGGGAGCTTTTAATGTAACTTATTATCAAACTATTTCTAGGGTTTAGTCTTACTACCAATATTTTTGGGCCTATTTGGACCTTAATTCAGTATTATGAAGGTAAAAGTTAAGTCTCTTATCAATTAATCTGAAGGCACTAATTTTTCATCACAACAGCAGGCTAAAAAGAAAGCAAATTATAATTGAATTATTTATTATATGTAAAATTATAGAAAAATTAATTTTTATCATTCAGTGCAATTCGATTAAATTCGATTATTTAAATATATATAATGAATAGATTTACCCTAAGGTTTAAAGATTATGCATTAGAGTAACAGTATGAATAAAGCCAATTTGAAATGTACAGAACTAAATCAAATTACTACTTTTTAACTATCTTTTTAGTAATTTGTGTCCTTTAGTTCGTTTCAGAATGGCTATACTGTTCATTAGAAACTGGACTTGCCTGGAAATTAATCAATATAGCCTTAATATTGTTTACATTAATTTTTCTTTGCAAATATCCACAATTTGGAAAACAAGCCATATTCCTTGAAAATCTTATCTTGATTTCATAAAAGTTATAACACCTATATTCCCATATGAATAAAGATGATAAGATAACTGATCTAATCACCCTTACAGATTTAGAATATCACTTACATATTTTGTAGGTTTTCGATATAGGTTGCATCTAAATAGCCCTATCAATGGCTAACAACATACTAATGGAATACTTTATAGGTAATCGTGTCAACATAATATATATTTTCAATTACATTTTATGTGCCACCATCAAGATTATAGTTACGTATTTCTTTAAAGAATGGAGTAGATAGCAATTTACTCTATTTTTAAAAGACCAACTCTGGTAACAGTAGCTTCCAAATATAATCTAAAAACCATTTTTTAAATTCACCTTGGATAACTTCACAAAGCAATTTAGATCGATTCTATGCAATCAAATTGACATGTTCCCTTCATATGATCCTAATTTGTGTGAGGGATGCAATTTGAGGTCATTCTTAAGATTTTGTATAAGGGACAAGAAAACATTAGAGTAAAAGTTACTCGACGATTATTTACACAAGGATGAAATAAAACAAAAAAATAACGAGGAGGTCTAATATATCAATAATCTGAAGCATTTTTCCATTAGAATATGCAATCTAAATGTCGAAAGATTTAAATGTTTAATTATTTTAGAAGAATATTAGCATAAAGAGAAATAATCAATATCGAATAAATTATTCAAAAAGTAATTATTGAGGTCTATGTCATCTCGTTCCGCTCATGTGAGCAATAAATTTTTTAAATTAGGCATGTACACAATACTATCCATCAATAATGAACAAATTGGACTAGTAAACATGTACATTCTACTCGAAAAATTGTCATCTTATTACAGTTTTTTGGATCTAAAATTGTTACCTATCCAAGGTGAGAATTGCAAGTCTTTTCTAATACAAACATACAGTAAAAAAATAGTGAGTTTTATGGTGTGTATCTTTAATATCTTCATTACAATATAAAAGAATAAAACTAAGAAAATATTTCTGAAGATTGAAATCCTTGATTGTGATACGATAAGCATCCAAACAGATGGAGTTGATCGTAGTGAGTTTTTAGAAGAATACAAAGGGAATCTATATTTGGTTTAAGTTGAACAGTAGCTTTTGGTGTTTCCAGTGAATGATTAATTAAGGTTTGTGTTTTAATCTGTAAAAGACAAAGAATCGTAGGAGATGAAAAATTAGTAAAATGATTATTGATTTCTTCCATTGAATAAATAAATTTCTATCTTTTTGATTTAATATATATGCAACTTGAGAATTGCGATATTGATTTTGGATTATTAAACAAACAAAAAAAATAAATGATTAAATGATAAGTAAAACCAATTAAATCTAAATTTCAGCATTCCAGTGTTTTGAGTCTCGAAAATCTTTTCTGTCTTGGCATGATTTATTATTCTGGATGAATAATTTCAGTACTAACTCTTCCTTCGATATCTACTATTTCCAAGGCAGTATTGAATTCTACTTTTTTTTTTTTGGCTTATAGTTAATCAAGATCTTTGAAGGATTTGCTAGACTTATCAATGGAGGAGGGTTATAGTACAGTATTTGAATGGAGTATTCTGCTTGAGTGTTAGTATTTTTATTTTGTTTCGGGAAAGAAGTAAACATCCTCAACAGCATTATCTCGAACAAACTTGGAATTTATTTTGGGGAGCACTAAAAATTTGGTATGTTGTGTTTTTTGCATTTCTCTTTTTTATTCAGTCTATTTGGTCAAAAGAGAAATGCTTTCAGATTTGAACCTCAAATTGTAATCTGGGAGTGCATCGAAGTTATTTAGGAAACTTGCTGGATCGAAATCAATGTCTCTTTAATTAGGTTTTGATTTTAATTCATCTTTTTGTGGGGCGAGATGCAATGATCTTGCTGGCTTGAGATATGGATGCATTTCTCTTATAAAAATTAATTGAGATATGATAATAGAAATCATTCAAATTCTGTAAGTTAGGTGGGATTACTTAGATGGAATCTCCGAGTATTTTTTCTGCTTAATCGTCTATGTTCTTTGTGATCATTCAAGGATTCCTTAATTATGGAATTAGTCGTTTCATCTACAATGTCAACCATTTTTGAGAAGTCCACTCTTTTGTGTCTCATTCTCAACTTCTTGAGTATATCCTCATTCCCTTTTGGACTCAAACCATTCTTTTCATAATATATCGGATTCTTAAATAAATCTTTGAAGGTCAGATCTGGCATTAAATTTATTTGTTGTTGTCTTGGAGTAAGAAACTTCTCTTCAATCATGGGTAGTTTGATGTATGGTGAGGATTACTAAACAGTGGGGAGGTGTTAATGTGAATTTTTTCTGAATTTGTGTTTGTTAGTCATAACTGGAGTCTCCAATAAATAATTGGGTGAAGTGGCTTCGCTCTAAATGCCAGTGATTTAATGGTGGTCATTATAGGATTCGTACGTCAGGAGGTTTAGAGGGGGAATAGTATTTAATTTGCGATGCATTTCCAAATTTTGATTGTTTAATCTGATTGGGAAAAATTAATTTTAATGAAGAACATATCAACAATGCAATCTAAATTCATGATTATTCTGTTTAATTAAACACCAGTACTTTCATGTATCAATTAATTTTACTTTACGAATTAGTCATAACAATTTATATTTATATATATTCATTTCAAATATAAAATGCAACCAGTCCAACCTATTGTAGAAGGGTAACGAACCAGAACTATATACACCTTAATCAAGGACTAGAAATACAAAGACGCCATCAATTATTTGAACTACGAATTACAATTTTGTCCCAAAAGCAGAGCTCTTTCACTTTTGGCATATTGTCATTATATGAATCAAGATTTTTCTCAAGCCGTGGCTATGTACATACCATACCATCTAATCTAGTTACGAACAATTAGTCAAGTATTATCCAGAAATTGATGATTACAAAATCTACTTAGCTCAATCCTATTACAAAGATAGTAATCATTTATTTCAAATCTAGGTCTCTATGATGAAGCACTCAAAATATGTGCTTCAGTTGAAAACCCTCAATATTAAGGCAAGATTGTATAATTGCAAGCATTGATTCGCTATGAGAAGAATGAGTTTCAACATGCAAAAACCTTGCTCAAATAAAATGATATGGACGATCCCGATTCCATAATAAATGAGGCCTGCATCCTATTCAAGGAGAACAAATTTGAAGAGGCTAGATAGAGATTTCAAGATGCCATGAATTTAACAGGCTATTCTTGCGAACTCTCATATAACATTGCACTTTGCTATTATAAATAAAAATAACTGGCATAGTCATTGAAATTTATAGCAGAAATAATTGAGAGAGGAGTCAGAGAACACCCTCAATTGGGAGTGGGATCTAATGCTGAAGGAATCGAAGTTAAAAGCGTTGGAAATTCATAAGCATTAAAAGAGTCAGCCCTTATTGAGGCTTTTAACTTGAAAGCAGCAATAGAATATACAATCAAAAATTATTCAGCTGCTAAAGAAGCACTTATTGATATGCCTCCAAGAGAAGAAGATGAACTAGACCCAGTCTCCTTGATGAATTAAGCATTGATGAATATAGAGGATAAAACAGCTGAAGGATTCAAGAAGTTGAATCACTTATTATAGAATCCTCCATTCCCCCCTGAGACCTTTTCAAATCTATTGCTCTTGTATTGCAAATACGGATATTTTGATATGGCTGCAGATATCTTAGCAGAAAATGCTGATCTCACATTTAACACTATCAGTCAAGATGATTTCGAATTTGTAGATGCTCTCATTTTAACAGCCAGTAGTCCAGAAGAATCTTTCCGAAAATTCTAGATCTTGGCCAATAAACATATTGACACATTAAGGAGAATAACAAAGTCAATTTAAGATTCTCGACTCAACAGGGATAATGAGGGTATCAAGAAATCATTGAAAGATTTTGATGAATGTCTTGAAAAGTATATTCCTGTCTTGATGGCTTAAGCTAAAATCTATTGGGATAAAGACAATTATTAACAAGTTGAAAAGCTATTTCGATAATCAGCAGAATTTTGTGCAGATCATGATGTTTGGAAATTGAATGTGGCTCACGTTTTCTATGTTTAAGATAATAAATATAAAGAAGCCATTCGATATTATGAACCAATTGTCAAGAAAAACAATGATAATCTATTGTCATTGACAGCCATAGTCGTAGCCAATTTATGTGTCAGTTACATTATGGTCAATTAGAACGAGGATGCAGAAGAATTGATGCGAAAATTAGAAGCTGAAGAACAGAAATCACAATATTAAGAACCGGATAAACCTGTCTATCATCTTTGCATTGTAAACTTGGTCATAGGAACGTTGTATTGCTCAAAAAACAATTACGAATTTGGTGTATCCAGAATTATCAAGTCATTGGAACCTTACAACAAAAAAGTAAGATACTTACATCGAAATATTAAAATTAGATTAATACAGACACATGGTATTATGCAAAGCGATGTTTCCTTGCTCTCATTGAGGTTCTAGCAAAACACATGATCATACTAAAAGACACATCTTACAGTGAAATATTGAACTTCCTGGATGACGCTGATTCCTGTGGTAAAGCAATTCCATCTGTAATGGCAATATCTCTTATGTAAGGTGATCAACCCTCTTGAGTAGATGGATGAGAAGCATACAGTCTCTTACGAAGCGAGAATGATCAAGAGAATGTTTTTGAAATTAAGAACATGATAAATATATTATTAAATTTAAAGAATAAGTTTTTAGAAGGATGTAAGAAAATTACATTCTATAATAATTGACATTTAATTTATTAAAATTAGATTATTTTAAAATAATTTTATAATCTCTAAATTTAATCATTTTTAGTATAAGATTAATTATTTTTATACATTAAAACGATAATGTTAATCAATATTAATTTTTTGAAGAAAGATGTAATCTCTTTGCTTTTTGGCAATTCCTCAATTTCATGTATTGACAAGCTTATTTTGCTTTGTTTATTCTATACTCAGTGTAGAAAAGTAAGAATTTCATTAAAATAAGTTAATCTGAAGAATTGGCCTCCTAATTTCTATCAGGCTTACAACTTTTGGTCTGTGTGATAGTCTTAGGGTTAGTGTTTGTCAGACCTAAGCATAAAGTGAAAAAACTTTACATATTATGCTTTGTCTGTTTGTTCGTTGCGATATCACTTTATTTAATGGTAGAGAATTTTAGAAGAGAAAACTGTTTGGTGTTATTTATTTTCGAATTTCTCTCCATAGGGATGATATTTTCATTGGTTGTCCTCCCAAATAAGTTAATTGGAATAGCCCTTCAGGTTTAGGTCTACCTGATTGCAATTTGTTTGGATCTGATGTCATTTTATGTTTAGTAATAATTTTCGTAAGATTTAGTTATTATATGGATCAGTTCAACTTAAACAGATCAATCTCGATCTTAGGTTCAAGTGTAATTGAGATGATTACATTGATATTGTGTATAGTGTGTCAACTGAACCCATAGAAAAGATTGGCTGATGAAGTGCATCTCATTATAGGATTTTATATCTTTTGTGAACTCTTTGTTAGTTGTACTTTCGTAGCCGAATGTGTTAATGTAAATATACATTTTCTATTGTATTAGTAAGGAGTGAACATATTCCTATTGGGATTAACAATTTTGAAAATGTCTAACATATTATTGGATTTCATACTTTATTCCTTTGTGAAATTGAATTACCCAGAGAATTAGATAAAGCCAGGAAGAGTTGATATAGAAAATCCACCTTAGAAATCAGAATTAAGAAGTGTGGCAACAAGAGAGACGCTTAGTGAGGATTAGAACAGCTTAAAGTAAAATACACAGGAACCCATTCGCATAGAAAGGAAGGCTTGTCCATCAATTTAATGGATTTAGGATTTATTAAAAATTTATTGATTTATGTTACTTAATAATCTTTATTAACTTATATTAATGCAGACAATTTCTGGATCATGATTAGATGCTTTAATAAATTTAATTGAGTATAAGAATGATTGGATTGATGTGAAGAAGCAAGTTAATAAGAGATCATTTAATGAGGTCAACTCAGAGGTGGATTGAGGATTTGAATTAATTGAATAAATAAAGGGTTCATGATTAAAATTCTAACGATGATATTGTGAAATCATTAAAATTCAAATAGTTCTTACTCAATTTGAAGTGGTGGGTACATTATATTAATGAACTTCTGGCTTCTGATTTTCTATTTTTTGAAATACTCAATCACGTACTCTAAGAGATGATATTACTAATAAATACTCTTGCTTATGCCATTGCTCAATGTTTCAAGATATTTGATATAGCTGATATCGTTGTTGGTGATGGTTAATGATTCTGAGTTTTTGCGAGGTACTTGTTCTTGATCCTTTTTTTACTCATGTTAGATGATTTCTTTAGTTAGTAACTGTTTTTAGCCTGATTTTTGAAAAACTTGGTTGAATTTTTTGATCTTCTTTTTAATTTGTTTGTAGAGAATAGCAGATTCTGTTGACTTTTGAATTTATTGTTTCATATTGATTGCAATGTTTGTCTTGATATTTTATCCATTACAGTTTAGTTCCTTGATGTAGAGTAGTACTTCATCCTTGTCGTTGAGTTAGGTTTCAAATTGGGATGCAATTCCTTAAATTGATGTGATAGATAGAAGTACCTTGGATGTCTGTTTGCTGAGTTTGAATCTGGTATTGATGACCATCTGGATCTATGAGGATATTATTGGAAATTTGGATGGGGACTTCTTATTTAAATTTAAGTCCTTATCGTTGAGCATAAATAAAACTTCTGCAAAGCGGGAATAGCATAAAGAAAAAATTAAAGAAATTTTAAATCTTATTTATTAAATCGGATTCAAAGTATAGAGTTTGAGTTATTGTATTAGTGTTAAGGTACGCACCATATTAGGATCAAAACAGACCATCATAAAACGGACTTCATGTTTCCGATTTGGAGGAAGGTATAACAGAGGAGTAATTATATGTGGAATTTAGAAAGTTTGGATAAATTAGCTTCGTAAAATTGCATAGGTATGCTTATGAATTCCTAAAATAGATATCCTTTTATTGGAAAGTCTAAGCATTATGCTTTCATTTATTTCTCGTCTCAAGAAGAGGCTCGTAAAGCAAAGGAAGCGATGAATTATAAATAGCTCTTAAGAGAGCCAATGCGTATCACTTACATCTAGGAATACGAGAAGGATGCTAATTTATTCTTTGCAGGCTTCGAATTGACTGTAACATTAAAGCAACTTGAAGAATTCTTCTAAAAATGGGGTCAAGTTGTCAGTGTGAAGTTGTCTACTGATGAGAATAAGAAAAGTCGAGGTACAATGTCAATTAAATTTAAGGTTATGGATGGGTGTAATTTGAGAAGAAGGAATAAGCCAATGAATTGTTGGCTGAGAGTACTGATGGCACAATCGTGTACAATGAGAAAACAAAGATCATAATCAAGAGATTTGTTAAGAAAGGCCAAACAGACAGAGAGGACAAACGAAACAACCTCTACATCAAGAACTTCTGGCCATCATTCGAAAATTATGATTTGGAAAACCCAGAAGTTCGTGAATCCTTAGTATAATTAATGTTCATCATCATCATAGGAAAAAGAAATGAGAGAGAAATTAAATGAGTGGTTCAAGGGTTATGGATAGATTGTTTCAATCCTAGTCAAAATTGATGTTGAAAGAAAAGCACCATTCGCATTTGTTAGTTTCAATAGACATCAAGATGCTAAGGAGGCCTAAAGAGAACTTGGTACAACTCAAAAAAGAGATCCTTTGAGTACAGGCAGAATGATGTATGTTGGGTGGGCCTAGACCAAGACAGATAGAAAACAGTAAAGAGACAATAACATCTTTGCTAAATATATCTATGCTGATCATCTCTCAAGAAATGTCACTGAAGAAATGATCAGAACTACTCTCAAAGAATGCGGATATGGTGATATTCAAATGGTATTCCTATGACACTATCATATTAGATTAGACTAGAGAAAATGCAATAAGGATTCCAATAGATCATCAGAATTGGATACATTGTCTTTGATTAGGCTTCTGATGCCAACAAATTGGTTAAGAATTTCAAGGAAAACGAAAAGTTTGAAGAAATTAAGAAACTCTTCGATCCAAATGTCGAAACTGCTGGTGGCAAATACTTCTAACATCTCTTCCCTCAATAATCTTAATCAAGAGGATAAAGAAGAAACAATCAAAGACAGTCACCCAACAGAAGAATGTATTCTATGCCATAAGGTCCTGCTCCATTTGGCTAGAGAATGCCTTTCCCTCCCTACCCAATGCAATAGAGAATGTAGGGTCCAGGAGGAATGAGAAGACCTTACCCAATACAAATGCCAGGATTCCCTCAACCTTTAAGACCTAACATCCCTCCTCCTGTTTAATAACCTGAAGCTCAATAGCAAGCTCCTCCTCAAGCTGTTGCCTTCAATAAGAGATAAGATTTATTAGATTTGTTGGCTAATATTGAGACTTTCAAAGCCAAACCTTAGGAAGAATAACTCAGATAAATTTAGTAATATAATTTAACTACAATTTTAGACAAATGCTTTATTACAGAATTAAGGCAAGACTTAGTACTGACACAGAGGCGCATTGGAAGAGAATAAGTGAAATTTTGTCAGATCCCACTAATTACTCAATTGAAGAAATCATTGAGATGTTCAAGGAAGAAGAGCAGTTTGACTCCTATGTAGATGAAGCCATTGAATAATTAAAGGAAGCATCATGCTGGTGATCATTTTATAATCTGTTCATTAAATAAATATTAATAATATCGATTAATATGTAAAGCTGATTCAATTTGCACTCAAAATAATATTGTTAATTGGAATGAAGACTAGTTTGATGAAGTATCCAACAGCTCCCATTACTGCAAATCCGATCGCACATGATGTTGCGATTTTGATATACTCTAATTTGAATATTAAAGGGATATACCTCTTTTATCTGGTTTTGTGCATTTTCTGAGGAATCTATAACTTTCCTATCCAAAACCTTGGACGTCAGACAAAATGCCATTGATTCCATTGAGAGTTTCTTGGCTCATTTTATTTTAATTATTGAATCACACACAATAATACTTAAGTGATATAATTGCAATATACGTGTAATAATTATTTATAAAATATTAATATATATATAAATAATCATTTTGGAAATATGCGATTGTCAACCTTGTTCCTGTTGACAAACTTCTATTCCCTGTATTGACTTGGAGCTTATTCAATAGGATTGTTGTAGAATTGTCCTATGGTTACAATACTTACTTACCATAACCTTTGTATTGAGCATCATCCAATTCTTTCTTGCGATTCAAAATTCTGCTGTTTTAACGCGCATTATTGATATTCTCAGTCTCTTGGAGATCGACATTGAAAATGTTGGAATTCTTGTTTTTCATCGATGCGATTTTATGCTATTATACTATTGATTAGGATAGTATCAAATACATTAACTAAATTGGCTGAGTGCATCATCTTATTGCGGTTATTCATATGGATTATTTCTCTAATATGAATTGGGATCTCCATTATAAGCAGTCTGAGTATTCTAAGCGCCATAAGCAATTCCAGTGATTGGGTTGTACTGTTGAATTGGTGGTTTAGCAGAATAGACCTTGTTGCCACTGTTGCCTTATTTATACTAAATAATTGAACTAAGGGACATACTTTTTAGTAGAGTGCTTCATCATCATTGGGTTATTGATAATGATCATATTTATTGGATTATTACAATAGTTATGGTTATTAGTAATCAAGATTGAGATTGTCTTAGTTGTTATAATTATAAGATCCATGTGGTTTCCCGTATTGGTCGAGTGAATCTTAATAATACTGTTCTGGCTGTTTGTGTTAGACTCCAGCCTACTCTTGCTTCTTGAGCATCTCCTGGTAGTACATTTACTTCAGATAATCGTCGTCTTATTTTTACTGATATTATTATTGAATACTTCGGCTTAATAGACATTTCCTTAATAGGCAGCATTGTTGTTTCTCTGGTCTTAACCAACCTTGCCTGCAATTTTATAATCCTCCTTTCTTGTTTAATCTATGTCCCAACCTATTTTGAATCCTTGTCTGTTATTCACATTATCTAATTGGTCAATCAAAAATGATACCGTTATAAGTTCTGATCGAGTTCTTCTTGTCTCCGTCAAATATCACTTGATTCTTAGTTCCTGTTCTTGACTAATAATGACTTAAATATTTTTAAAACCATCGCTAATCTTCTATATTCAAATTTTATAAATAATTAAATTATAACCAAAAAATTCAAATATAATTATTAAATTATCATCGTTAATAATAATCATCATTTCTACTTTGACTATGCCTTCTTGATTAATTTATTCTCAGTTCCTTCCCCCCTCCCGAATTCTAACAAATAACTAATAATCTTATTGAAAATATCCTAGAACAACACGTCCTCCTCTTTGTCTTTGAACTTCCTTATAGACCACCTCACTTCATTTGTCCTCTTATTTTGACTAGATTTAATTTCCAAGTCGCTCTTATAACTCAAAGCCAAGTTCTTATAATTCTTATTGTTAACAATCATAGCCTATAATAATGCGAGTATGACTATACCGATATCCTACTCTTCCAAAATTGAACTGCTAATTCCTGAGCTTGCTTGATCCACAACTCTTCAACCACAATCAACACATTCAATGTGAGACTCTTAATATTTGTTAAACAATCAGGCCAATTGAATAGATCAAACCTAGCCATTTGTTTACTGGAAATACTGATGTTTTGCTGATCAATTAACTTTCGATAATAGAACTAATCCAAATAGATTTGAATCCCACAAGCATTTTTGTTGGTCGCTTTATTATTCAAGTAATGACTGTAATTGCCCCCAATAATAAAGGAATCAATATTACTCTTTTAATGTCTCTTCTGATAACTAATTTATTACGAATGTCTGATACCTGGTCTTCTGAACAGGCTCTGATCTTGATTGCATAACATCCTATTCATAATTCCTACTTACATTACTCTATTCCCTCGTTATCTCTACGAACTATAGTATAAAATTCAAATATCAAACCTCGAAACAGATTCCAGAATAATAACATGAAAGTTCATTCAATTAGAAGAATTAATAAACTACTTCAAGATCACACAGTATTTTGGTATCCTGAACAAGTTCTTCGAATTTTTCAATCTCATTTATTATATCCTTGAATCTTGATTCAAAACTTGTAAAGTAACCCTTCAACTCTTCTCTTAATGTACGTTTTTTATGTCCCGATCCATGTTCGAGTGTCTTTTTTCCACTATCACGCAATGATGACGAATGATGGATCTCATTTGTGTAACTCTTAGGTAATTTCAAAGTCATTAATTTCAAGAATCTATCAATCTAACTCTTTGTAAAATTGAATTCCTCGCTCAACATCTTCGAAGTATCATTCTCTAAATCAAAGTATTATTGGTTTCGATTTACCATTGAATTCAGCTTTGCAACCTTTTGTAAGATAGTCGAATGTCTTAGCATTCTTATAACCATTTAGGAATTGAACCCTAATTCTAATAGAGCCAATTCCAAAAAATGGGTATGACTGATCCTCAACTCAAAATGACTTGCATTTTGAAATTGATTAATCACATCTCTGGAGATACTCAACAATTCAATAATTCTGATTGGACCAGGATCCTGTTCTGAAATGATGTCATATGCAACGCAATTATGTTTTGAGAGTTGAGGCCTATCAGAATGCTAGACTTCACCTAGAGTGTATCTCCTGAAATTTTTAAGTGGAAGGATCTTCAACAATTAAATCATTGGTTACAGTAGGTTCTGACAATATTACACCAATTCACCTGATTGTGTGATCAATCTAAAACTCTGATTTTGATGAATCGAATTTTCATACTCCTCTATCTGACCAAATATGGATAAATATTTCAGTGTATTTTATGTGGGAATAAGAGGATTAAGATCCAATTAAAAGGCTCCTCTAAGTTTAAGTATCTTTTCAACTCTTGCAAACAATTCTAAAATACCTGATAAAAAATTGCTAAAAAATGACTCAGGACTCTTGCTTATGGCTTCCTCCAAACAGGAAGTAAAGAGATTGTTTTGTTATCTTAGTTGTTTGCATTCAAAAAGAGTTGAAACTAATTCATTGAAATCAGGACAATTGGGATTGGCAATTGATCTAATCACTTATTACACTCTTTTATCTTTGTACTCATTAAGAAGACTCTAAGTAGCAGGACGCTTTTGAGGATCCTTGTTGACCAGACTAGCTATCTTCTCTCGTATTTCTATGTCTATTTTATCAACTTTCTAATCGAAATCTTTAGGAAATTTAGATTGCTCTCTCAATTGAGTGATGTAATTAATCCTTTCCATGTCTGTTTTGAAGGGATAATACATCTCAAATAGGATGATGCCCAAGGAGTAAATATCAACCTTTGAATCATACTGCCTTTGTTCTTATTCAGGTGCCAAATATAGGAAGGTGCCAACACCCGAAGTCAAAGAGAGTCTCTCATTTTAACCTTGTTATACATTGGTTGAGGTTCTCATGATTTTTTGATCATAAAATTTGATTTCTTGTTTCATTTCAGTGGCTAGACCAAAATCACCCAATTTGACATTCAAATCTCCATCGAGAAAGATGTTTTAAGGTTTCAAATCTCTATGAATGATATTATTTTTATGCAGATAATGCAATGCATCCAAGATTTATCGAATAATCTTCTTTCGTTTATCGGATGTTAAATTGCAATCATCAATCTTCTTTTTTAGAGTATCCCCTTTGCAATACTCCATCTGAATATACAACAATTGCTTAGTGCAAGTCTACCTTGGTTAATGAGGTTTGACCTTTGGTGTTTGAAGAGACTCCTCCTCTTGATTTTGTTGATCACAATTCAGCCACTCAATTTGAAAATCAGCATCAGGACCATCTTGATAATCAAAGATCTGATCATCATCCTAATATTCTTAAATGGAACTGCTTTCCTTTCTTACATGTTGTGGATCATCATAGTCTGAGTCATCTTCGCTTTCTTCATCAAATTTTTGGTCGTCTTCAATATTTTCATATTCATCCTTAACGTATTCTTCAGTCCATGCCTAATAATATCTCACAATATTAGGGTGTTGGATTCTCGATAATAGCACAGCCTCATTCTTTGTCTTTTCAGTTAATTTCTTATCTGAATAATCCAGGACTATTCTCTTTAAGGCGTAATAATTTCCATCAAACTTATTCCTTGATTTGAACACTTTGCCGAAACCTCCACTTCCAATAAGTTCAATTTCATCAAAGTCTTATTGAAATCTAGAGAAACTACATGCCTGTAATTGACAGAGTTGATCAACGGGGACTGATTGTGAGATGGGTTAGAATTGCTGTTCTGATTTGTCATACTTCTCTACTAGATCATCTTTGAGTGTGTTGAAACCTAGGATAGATTGTCGCATGTCTTAGTCTTCACTTGTGTTTCCAAAAGTATTTGAGATTCCTCTGGTAATTTAAATTTCAGGATATAATTCTATTTATTAATTGCTACTGCTAAACTTATATTAGTTTTGTGTTCTCCTCTGTATAAATTCTTTATCGAGTTCTGTCAGTTTGGTTTCTATTTAAATGATGGTTTCCATCAAATTGTTAATAGTGCAAACTGACACTATACTTAGAATTTATTATTTCTCTTAGTCCAGGAATGAAGAATGAAACAACACATCTATTGAAAACACTGGTCCTTTCACAAGGAGGACAATTTAAAATGTGGATTGTTCATCCAAAAAACTCTTTAGGTCTAATTGAAATTGAATTGAATCCTCTTTCTCGTAAATCAGATGAATATCATAAGGATAGATGTCTTACAATTGCAAAAACTGATCTTTAATTTAACTCAATCTGGGATTGCCTTACAATTGCAGTGCTTATTCAAAATCATGATTAATTGTTTACGAATATTCATTTTTTTGCTCAAAATAACTAATGTCTGTTTGAGTACTTTTATTTTTCATTATTAAAACTATAAATGATCACTATTAATTTATAAACTTTAATTCAATGTTAATCTTGGCTGTGGACTACACTTCCAACAATCTGTTCCTCAAATTCAATTCGTCACCCCAATCTGTTTGATTCCTAACATTCAACAACCACGCTATTACTTTAAGAAATTCACGTGCATCTCCTTCAGTCCTGTCCACGACCTTATCGACTGAAGCATCACAGTAACCTAACCCCCTGTGCCCTGAACGCTCTCCAAACTCAAAATCAACTTCTACAACTATTTCAACTTCTGCAATCCCTAAAACAAGGTGTCCACTCCTTTCTCGCCTAATGGATTACTACATACAATGGAATGATACTGATCCAAAATCATCTTCACTTCCTCCAATTGCACTGCTTCTCCAAAACAATTATACAGCAACTCCATCCCATTCAATCCTATCTGATTGGATCTAAAGTTCAAATTTATACTCCGCAATTTCCTCTGACTCGTCAGAAATCTATTCACATATCTCAACCCATAACAAGTACAATTAACACTTGCATAATCATTAATCCATCATACTTTTCAATCCAAAGCTTCAGTTCCCTCAAAGACTGTTGCATCTCATGAATTGCCTTTGCCAAAAACCTTACACCATCATCTTCAATCCTATTCTTCGATAAGTCAATCACCAACACACTCAGTTGGGGCAACTTCAACAATGCCTATCCCAAAGCCTCGCAACCTCTCTTGGTAATTGAATTATTCCACAACACCAAATTCAATTGTTTCAACTTCTGACACTTCGACAACTCCTTTGCAAACTCCTCCATACCCAAATCCTTTATTTCGCAACTCCATAAAATCAACTCGCAATACTCCAACCCTTGTATACTCTCTCCCAATTCATAAAATCCCTCGTTCTGTATTGGATTACTAATCAATACATTATGTCTCTTACTTCGAAAAATTTATGATCAAATGAGTCAAATTCGGCAACTTCTTAAGTGATTGATTGACCATCTTTGACAACACTTGATTCATGTAATTGCTCTCCAAATTCAGGTCCAACTTCTTTAACTTTGGCATCGCACAAATCACTGTGAAAAAGGCTTCACAACATTCAATAGGAAGATGGTTTCTTCATTTATTAACATACTTATACAATCCAAAATCCAATCGGAGTTCCTCCATTTATACCAAATTCTCCAGAAGAGGCAATGAATTATTTATCCCTTCATCTGAGAGCATATTGCTCGATACTTCTAAATTTAACCTCTTCAGACCCACCATCTTCATTATTGCCTTTGACAACATCAACAAACCCAAATTCCCTAATCTGTTACTTTGAGGTTAGACATATTTCAATACTTCCAGAATTGCAGTGATAACTCCTTTAAATTCAAAGCCCTGCTCAGAATCTTCTCCAATGGAGCCACAGTTTTTACATTTAAATTACTCATCTCCAATTTTATTTGCAAAGTGACCATCTAAAAGTTCTTCACTTATTGAGCAATTGCCTCCAGAACCTTCAGTTACTCCTCTTACGATTTGTTCTGCATCCCATTCAAATCCAATTGCACATCCTCCTTATTCTTAATATCTAATTAGAATTTCTCAAATTGAGTTATGGATTGTAAATGCTGGTGATTGATCTTGGCAGGCTACTCAATAGCATTCCAAATCTTACCTATTTTACTTCGAGATACGCTCTCTCATGAATTATTTCGTTCAATTAAATGAAGTCATATCGTTCATCTGGTGAAACCTCCAGCATTAGTTTTAGAATCTTTGAAATCCCCTTGATCCGAGGATAAGTCTCCTTGATCTTTCTCCTCAACACCTTTAAATAATTATTTAACTTCCTCTCGTCATCAAATAACTCCTCTCTTTGCTAATCAATTTAAGTCTCATCATTTACCTATTTACTAATAACTTGAGTGGTGGCAAACAAAAGAAAAACCAGTCCCAATGAGAACACATCGCTCTTATATGGATTGTACTTAGCTTAAGGTTTTCTTCTTTTAAATGCTGCATAGATTTCTGGAGATTGATATCCTATGGTCCCTCCAATTGTACGCGATCTCGACTCTTCATCAATAATTTCTGTTCCAAAACCCACCTTGCTTGGTATAATAACATGATTACATCGCAAACTTTAAAGATTAAGTTCTCGTCATTTACTAATATTATATTTTCAGGTTTAATGTCTCTATGAGCGATCTTCATCTCTTAGAGATGTGTATGTGCCTTGATCATGGAGACATAAAAATTAGCCACATCTTATTCTTTGAATTTAAAATCAGGATCAGACTGCTTCTTAGACTTAATGTATTGAGATAAATTAGTGATTCCCAATTCCATCACAATACACCCAAAAGTGATAGACTGCATTAAAATGGCATATTCTTACTTTGTCCTATGTTGTAACCTTCTCATAGTAGAAGCTATCTTCAAACGCAATGATATTAGGATGAGGATTAGTCTTTATTTTCTGCAGAATCTAAATTTCTAATGAAAACCGTTCTTTTAACGAGGAATCAATCAAAACTTGTTTGATGCAGCATTTTTGTTTCGATATTACATTTTCAGCCATATAGACTTCATTCCAGGTTCTCGCAATAATGCTCAAATATTTATATTCTCCAGGCAACATTATTATAAAATGTAATATTAATATCTAATTTTATAATTTACTTAAATCAAAATTAGCCCAATCACTTTGATTAAATCTGTTAACCTAATCGAACCAAAGTTCATAGGCTATAAATTTATAATAAGCAAAATATACCTATGATTAGTTACATAAGCAACTCCTTGTAAGGCTCATTACTGCATGGACTTTTAAGAAACCAGATTAAGTAAGGCTATGAAATTATCCCATTTCAAACCTAAATCTTGAGTTTCCCAAGGTTTTAAGTTGCTATATAATTAAGTAATTGAAGTAGAATTTAAGATAGTGTGTAATGAAATATATAAGATATAATTATAGCTAGTCTAATTTGATTGCTATCAAAAAATAACATTTATATTTAATTGAAATAAGTGTTCAATGTCTTAATGTATATTCAAAATATTCTTTTATCTTTCGGATACATAGTTTCATCTGTGAAATTCATTGTGTTCATTTTTTATTCGACATGTTGTTAGATAGTTCTAAAAGTATGAGGCATCAATAATTTTGAAGCTCTGTTTTGAGGTAAATATTAGATTCTCTATTCCAAGTTTAATTTTTCATTATTCCTGTTTTGATATTGCTTATATTGATAGGCAGCAAGGATCCCAAGGAGTACGATGATTGATAATATGATAATTAAAATTATCAAATTTGTTGATATCGAAAATGGCATTTGATTGAAGAGAACTTCGAATTCTGTCGATTGCCAATTTAGTTGTGTCTTATAAAGTAATTTGTACTTTTATCGAATGAATTGTTGATCAGCTAAAATTTCTATTGAATTAATTTACACTCGATATAGCATTTGATTGAATATGGTTATATTAGAGGACGAAATTTGAATAAGTAGTTAGAGGTAGTGCCATAAATATAATTCTATGATGATACGAACTGTTTGACTGCGCCCAGGTGAAATGAGACACTGCTCTGTTATTTCTTATACTAAATAAAATGATGATTGTAAGTTCCTTAAACCAAAACATAGTTTTCATTTACATCAATGTCTATGATTCGATTGGATATGTTGTATTTGGCAATGGAACTCCATTTCTTATTGTAAGGTTCAATATTGTAGTGAACCAAATAATAATAATGGTTATTTTTGTAAGCCACAAATACATTCGATTCATCCCAAATGTCAATCACAATTCCATCAGATTTGGGGCCAATCTGTTTTAGAAGTAGTTTAAAGGCTATCTATTCCCTAAGGAAGGACAACTCCACAACTACAACCCCATTGATTTTGCATAGGATAAATATGAGGAATTTCCTATCATTTAATTGATAAACAGCAAAGTCTCTGAAATCAATATTTTGGAGTCCAACAGATCCTGTATCTATGGTATTCAAAAGTGTGAGATTGCGATAAATATCCAAGCCATCACTTCCAACTGCAGATATCAAATATGAATTTATTATTTTTGAGTAGTAGCGATTAGTTCTACCTTGGAGAGTGGGAACCAATTTCCACTCACTTCCTTATTATGTATCTGCTGAATATGCAATCTTGGGATATATAATAATTAATTATTAAGGCGAATAAAGCAATTAAGGTAATATTTCCTAATCAATGTTGATGCTTAGTTTATATAGAGTGGTTGTATTGGTTGAATTATAGAAGTAGAATAGGTTGGAATTTGCAGTGAGGCCTATTTGAGTTTCGTCATTTAGAGTGATCATATCAATGAGCAAATCATCAGTATTTAAATCAGTGTATTCTGACAATCGATGAATCGTTTCCTCTTGGAACTGAATAGTGGGACTGAGGAGAGAGCACTAAGCTTCTTCGGTTGGACTAGAGAGTTATGAGGAATGAGTACTCTAACAAAATCAATTCAGCCTCCAGGGCATCGTTAATGTTGAAGAGTGTTTTGACCTCTCCATAGTTGACGGTGTATTGGAAGATGGCCCTTACAACCAAGGGAATCAGCATGAAAAGTGCGAGCATTCTTGAAGGAAAAATTGGATATAATTTTATAATTTTTATGTATTCATAAGGTGAATTCCTATTTAAAGATGTAAGCATATTTCGCAACGTCATCCTATTTAAAGGATAGTAGCTTTTATATTACATCTTTTGCATCAATCTGCATGAATACGGTAAAATACTGATTGTTCTGTCTATCCTTTGATCTGATTTCCCCTTTCCGCAGTATTCTTATGAGGATCTCTAGTCCTTTCTTAAGATGATGAGAAGGTATTTCTCTCTCCCAAGCTAACTCTAGCATCCCTAGAACACTCTGAATGAGTTTGTTCTTGACCATCTGATTTACATCCTCATTAGTCCCGTGTTGTACTGCATTTCCGATCATTTCTAAAGCATCTCCTCTGATTTCCGAGTTCTCATCCGATAAAGATCGAAAGAGTGATATTAAGAAATTCTGATTGGACAATACTTTGAACAAGGTTTCAGTAGCTGCAAAGGTTTAGATCATGTTGCCACTCTTTTCTCGACTCTTGGGATCCAGAATGTTCCTGATTTAAGATAAGAATCCACATTCTAATAAGTAGCGAATTTATTCTTGATTGCCTTGGAATATGCATTCAAAAATTCTCAAGATGGATACAAAGTTGCATTGATGCATCAATTCCATCAATCTTTTGATGATGCCTTGTTCAATAAGGATGTTAATTCTAGTAGGTTCTCCATCCAACATGTATCCAAGTGCCCAGATAGCATCGTTCATCATCTTGATATTAATTGGTGTAGGTTCATACATGATGACTTTCATGAATATGTTGAATGCTGGTCTTATCAATTAGAATTTTGGACTGGGTCTTCCAATACACATGTTTGCCAGACACCAGACGTAGGTTGCTTCGTATTTGAGTTCCATTTTTCGTATGATGGTCTCCAAATCACAGGCTTGGAGTATGCAATCTCTGTATTGGATTGATTCTCCTGCCAATTTACCCAGGATGACCATGATGAGGATTGACAATTCTGGATTATCGTTTTGGAGGATGGTCAAAGCCAATTGAAGAATGCCATTTTCAAAGATTATTCTTGAAATGTCACTTTTGCCTCCTGCAAAAATGGAGATGATTTCTAATATATACAATTAATTTAACATGTAGCTTCCAATTTGATGATGTAGGTGCTTCCATATTGGATTAAGTAGAATAGGAGTGGTACAAGTTCATTAGTAAATATTTCTGCTTAATCAAAATTCTTATTAAATTATTGAAACAATAATACAGACAAGGTCTTTCTGAGTTAAATTAAGGCTTTATGAGTTTCGAGAAGATTCTCGGATTTTATTGCTTCAAGTGCTTCCTTGACGGTGATCTGTTCGTTTGAAGTGTTTAATATAAGTGATAATTGGTCTTTAAGTTATTTTGACATCTCTTCTTATTCAAGCATCTCCTCGTGGTTATAGATTTGTTGAATTTTTTGATTGCCACTCAATTTCTGGCTGTTTTTCATATTTTTGTTAGTGTTTTGGATAGATAAAAAGATTTTATTAATTTTCCATAAACATCTTAGATCTGCTTATTCATATTATTTGGTTTGCTTTTAATTTATGACGTTGGAAATGGATACCCTAAGTGGTATCCTCGTAACAGTCACACTAAGTGATTGGGGGAGAGAGGTGCATAAAATATAGTGGGATGAGGTGGAATTTGAATGGAGGGAATGGAAGGGAGGGGAGTTAAAAATGTGAAAATACAATGAAAAATATTTAAGTTATTATTATTAAATGTAAAAAGTTGCTTTGGCTCTATACGAGTACATTAATAAGAAGTATGTGACCAAGATGATGCGTAGATCGGAAG